AATTTGGCAACCGGAAATCGCCGCCGTCGCCGCCCTAGAAGCCTTGCCGTCGTCCTTATCCGTCTCTCCTTGTTCCTTGTTCGGCTGAGAGAAGTGGGAGGCAAAATGGGAAAAGACTGATTCATTCGGTCTCTTACGGTTAGGGGTTTCTAAAAAATCAAATTACCCTCTCTTGAATAATTTCTCTTAAGACCATGAGGGGCTATTAAGTAAATTTTAGTTTATAAAACTTAGATGATTTTTATCTCCCAATCCATAAAAAATTTTAATAAGTTCTTTATATAAAATTGATTGAAATTAAATGTACAATTTTATAAATTTATTTCGTCAAAATCTGACAACTTCGAAAATTTGTTCCTTTTCGTCACGGTGCGTCGCAACGCATCGTTACATTACAATTCATTTTCGGGTTTTACAAAAAGGATTCATGTAAGCCGACCCCACAGTGGGATAAAGGCTTGATGTTATTGTTGTACACTCCATGCGTCCTCTTAATCCCATCCTACAAGAACATATATATATTTGTCACCTTCATTAAACATCCTTTTGCTTCACATATACACTGTAGCCATTCTTAATCTTTTCCTAAAACTTTTTTTAGCTATATTCTAATGCAACTTGAAAAGCATTTCTGATGTGAAACGTAAATGCCATATACTTGCCTAGGTGGCAAGATTAATTAAAGCCCAAATCAATTTGGGGAGAGAGAATGGAAATCTGAAATTAAGGAGTAATTAATGTTAATTCAAATTCAAATTTTGAATTTGAATTGTCATTAATTGGGAGGATTAAATGATTAATTGATTTAAATCTGAAATTAAATTTCAGATTTAAATTAATGGTTATTGGCTTAATTGGAGGGACGAATTTAAGGAGTAATTAATGCTAATTCAAATTCAAATTTTGAATTTGAATTGTCATTAATTGTGAGCCTCTCCTAATTAAGAAATTTCTTTATTCCAAGGAGGAAGAGAGGGGGAGGTGGGGGTTGGTGGGCGTCGACCTAAGGGATGGCCGGCGGGTGAATTTCTGGACGGGCCAACAGGGCCGGCGGCAAGGAGAACTTGGGGAGGAAAAGCCCGAGCTTGGTAGAGGATGATAAGTTTGGGAAATCTTGGAATTTCTAACCTCACGCTCTTAAACTTCAAGATCTCAAAGGAGATTGTAGGGATGTCGGAACTCACACAGAGATCCACGAAACTCTCCTCAAGAACTCACAAAGAGATCTTGAGAATCTCGGAACTCACAAAGAGATCCGCGAAACTCTCCTCAAGAACTCACAAAGAGATCTTGAGAATCTCGGAACTCACAAAGAGATCCGCGAAACTCTCCTCAAGAACTCACAAAGAGATCTTGAGAATCTCGGAACTCACAAAGAGATCCTCGAAACTCTTTTCAAGAACTCACAAAGAGATCTTGGGAAAGTCGGAACTCACAAAGAGATCCTTCAACTGATGTGAAACGTAAATGCCATATACTTGCCTAGGTGGCAAGATTAATTAAAGCCCAAATCAATTTGGGGAGAAAGAATGGAAATCTGAAATTAAGGAGTAATTAAAGCTAATTCAAATTAAAATTTTGAATTTGAATTGTCATTAATTGGGAGGATTAAATGATTAATTGATTTAAATCTGAAATTAAATTTCAGATTTAAATTAATGGTTATCGGCTTAATTGGAGGGACGAATTTAAGGAGTAATTAATGCTAATTCAAATTCAAATTTTGAATTTGAATTGTCATTAATTGTGAGGATTAAATGATTAATTGATTTAAATCTGAAATTAAATTTCAGATTTAAATTAATGGTAATTAGCTTAATTGGAGGGACGAATTTAAGGAGTAATTAATGCTAATTCGAATTCAAATTTTGAATTTGAATTGTCATTAATTGTGAGCCTCTCATAATTAAGAAATTTCTTTATTCCAAGGAGGAAGAGAGGGGGAGGTGGGGGTTGGTGGACGTCGGCCTAAGGGATGGCCGGCGGGTGAATTTCTGGACGGGCCAACAGGGCCGGCGGCAAGGAGAACTTGGGGAGGAAAAGCCCGAGCTTGGTAGAGGATGAGAAGTTTGGGGAAATCTAGGAATTTCTAACCTCACGCTCTTAAACTTCAAGATCTCAAAGGAGATTGTAGGGATGTCGGAACTCACACAGAGATCCACGAAACTCTCCTCAAGAACTCACAAAGAGATCTTGAGAATCTCGGAACTCACAAAGAGATCCGCGAAACTCTCCTTAAGAACTCACAAAGAGATCTTGGGAAAGTCGGAACTCACAAAGAGATCCTTCCGAACTCACTAAGAGATCAATACGAAAATAAAATTTTTCATTATCAATAATCCATCCTCCAAATACAAGAGAAAGGCCCTCTATATATAGGCCTCAAAAGAAATTAAAAGACACATTTTCCCCTTGGGCTTACATAAGACAAGAGGGTAAAAAGGGAAATTGCAAAAATTAAATAAAAATACACTTAATAAACTGAAATGAAATAAAGTGATCTCGGCCGTCGATCTTCAGCTCCTCGGAATAAAAATACACTTAATAAACTGAAATGAAATAAAGTGATCTCGGCCGTCGATCTTCAGCTCCTCGGATAAGCATGGACGGTTGGATGTCCGCATCAATTTCACTAACTAATGTCCTTGTATTTTTATACTTTCAATTTAGTTTATTGTAAGCATGCATTAGTTATTTTTTGTCTAATGATTTCTTTTAATTATTATACATATATACTCTGTAATTCTCATCTTTCTAATCTAAGTCTCTAAATTTTTTGTACTGAATCTAATATTAGTTTTAATCTTAGTCAACACTTACTTACTCATTTCACAATAGTTCATGTTGTGGTGCAAACTAATATCAACTATCATGCTATCTCATAAGCTTATGGCTGGTAATGACTGTTTAATTTTTTTGCAATTAGCTATCTGCTAAAAAAATCTTTTTTAGTTTTAAATATTTTTAGTTGGATTTGATTTAAAAAATTATGGAAAATGTTAGATTACATATGCTAACTTGGGTCAACTTGGGAAACTCTTGTATTCTTTGTATAATATTATAATTTTGAGCAAAAAAAATTGATTAAATGTTAGATTTATTAAGAAAATTTTGATTAATTTATGTTATACTTGTTAATAATAAATAGGATTTTCTTGAGTCAAAGTGCATTGCACATGCCATTTTAAAAATAGAAAAAAAATCTGGAATATTCAAAATTTTAAGAGAAAATATCTTAAAAAATAGAATGCCATATAGACAAATCATTATTTAACTTTGACATGCATGAAGCTAGCATATCTAATACTGCAATAAGATAGACAAATGAAGCAATCATTGCTAATAAGGCAATTAGATTGAGCAATTAGATTGAGAAATGAAACTATCATGGTAGCAGCAATACATAATATTAGACAAAATGCAAAATATTAAAGCTTGGATTATGGATATTAGAATAAGGCTAGGCTTATTGATGCAAACCTCAAAGATTATTCTCATTAAAATCGCACGACATGCGTAACACGTGTGGCATGTGCACCGAGACAAGCATAATGATAGTCAGAGCATTAATTTTATTAGTTTATTAGTTGTTTTATGTGATTCTATTAGTTTAGTGTTTTTTTTCATAAACATTCTTGTGATGATCCTTATAGCGAACATGTCGTGTTCTTTTCCTTGGTTCAGTTATTTGATTGGTCCAACAATTGATTTGTGGATTGCGACCAATGCTTATAAACTGAAAATGTTGGGAAGTTTTGTATTGTTTAATCTTTGATTTAATTTTATTTTAGGAGCTGACTATCAATATATTGAATTTTTCTTTCTTATTAACTCCTTGGAATTTCATATCCAATGCTTTACGAAGCACTCTACACATCTTGTTTCAAAGTCAATATTAGATGATTAGATTATGTTTACTATTAATGTTAGATACCAAAAGTTACATGTGCATTGGCGTGACAAAACTAAATATAATTATTTGTGGTTGAATGCATATGAAAGACAACAATTATTCTGAAATTGATTGATGAATGTTTCATGCTTAATTCAAAGTCTTTTCAAGCCGAGCAAATTTGATGTAAGTTGTAAAGTTTATTTTTTTTGTAAAGTTTATTTTTTTCAAAAATATGTCATATTGTGTCTAGAAGAGTGGATTAATAGTTTGACTATTAATTTCATTAGTTTATTTACTATTTATGCTATTTTATTAGTTTAGTGTTTTTTTTGGGTAAACATGCCTATTATATCCCCATATATAACTTGTGCTATTTTTCTCAGTGTGGTTCCTTATTTGGTTCAACTATTATTTCTATGGATTGCTTTTTTAGGCTTTAATTAGACGATTTAATAATTTTCTATGATTTGCCTTAGGGGCTTTTAAATGTGCTTTTGCTTTTGCTATATATATATAAAAGTCAAACAATCTTGATAGGGATCATTGAGCATATGGATTAAAACTCTTAGTTGTTGGCTATATCCTCACCCTTAGATTGTAAGATGAATAAAAAAGTTAACAAACAATGGGGAGCATTTCTTCACCTCTCATTAAAAAAAATTAAGAGAAAGAGAAAATTGCTTTTTAAATATGATATCCATGTATTAGGCTTTGCGTATTTACTTTGATATGACTGTTGAGGAGGCTCCTATATCAAGACATACATGATGAATACAAAAGGAAACAAATAATGGTGGCATATATTCTCCTAATATAATTCTTCTTGATAAAGCTTTCCTTAATATATATCATACGCCAACAAACTGCTTTTCATATCTTTATTATTTAAGTAGGAGAAGCATGTACTTCTATTACCTTAATTCTGGGACAAAATCCACTGTAGTGAATGGTGGATCACCATCCATCGTGTATTTCACTTGGATAATGGACGGCTTCATCATTCCCTACGGTAAGGAATTCCCTATAGAAAATGTTTCCAGTAGTTCAGTTGGGTTTTTGTTGCTTTATTGTTAGTTCTTTCATTTTTTTTTTCTTTTATACTTAGGGTATTGCAAATTCAATTGCTTTTTCATTGGGGTTAGCAACGACATTAGCCCTTCTAGGCATTGGAGCTTCTTTTGCTGGAAAGGCTTATGGACAGATAGGAAAAGGACTTCCATTGGCTGCTTCAAGCTTGGCAATTCTTATGGGTTTGAATCTTTTGGAGGTGAGTTTATAATCCGTGACTTTGATTTATTAAGCTGTACGGTCATACCCTGCATTTCTCATTTTGAAAATAAAGAGATCTTGTATCAATTATTTATATTATTATTTGTATCATTTATGACTCCCCTTTCATAAAACCCGCTTTCTAGAGCCCGATTACACTAATGGTATAATGATTATCTTGAGTAGCTGTTAGGTAACAACACAAAATAATGGAAAACAGAGCATAATTTTAGAGAAATTCTGCAGTAATACAACAGTTTTTGTCAAAGCTGTAGGAAAATCAGGGTGAAAACACTTGAAGTTCAATAGTAGAAGAACAGGAACATTGGAACAACCCGATACAATGAATCTTCAATTTGAGAGGAAGATTCAACTCTCTAAATCTCTAGCCAAAGTGTAGAGCCCAAAACCAACACCAAGATCTCAAATTCAGATTAGAAAACTCAAGATCTTAACCCTAGCAAGGAGAGACTATTTAAAGCAAGAGGATAATTACTTAATCCCTAAATAGCCCCTAATTTGAATTTTCCCTCCAACCCAAACCTAATTAGTGTGTGGGCTCCATTCCATTAGCCGCCCCCTCTCTCTCTCCTTGGTTCCACCCCCTTTAGCCCGCCTCCTGTAGGTGAGAACCGGTCCAGGATGGACTGGTTTAGCTGGCCCCGTTGGGCTGGTCCAACAGTACCACATTTGAAACTACGACTAATGCCATTTCTATATGAAAATTTTTGGACCACTGTCGGAGAATGTTTCATGTGATATGCTTTGTATATTTCAAAACTTATTTACATTATGAACGTTATAGAAAAAAGTAGTTACTGCTTTTTGATTATGCTACAAAGCCTTCTACCATGGATGTTGATTTTTTCTAGTATAAATAATGCTGATTTCCTTGTAGTCATCCCGAAACTATATTTTCTGTCTTTGTTCGCATCTTTACACGTGTCTTCTCAACGGGTGCCTAGTATCTAACGTTCAGCCAGCTTTCTTTGCTGGCTTTTCTCTCAGCTTGATCTTGCAACGATTTCCTTGACATATGAATTCTTCTTCTTGTCTCACACAAGTGTTTCATGTTAAACAATCTCTTTTCTACTCTGACATCTTTGACTTCAAAATATCTGTTACCTCTCCTTCCTCTATAATTGCTTCATCTTTCCTGTCCCCTTTGTTAAATTTCCCTTAGGGATTATTTTGTTTGCTAAAAAAGTAATGCAGTGTAAAAGGATATGGTGATCTGAAATGTTTGAAGTTGTTTGAGTGAGTCTAAAAGGAATTGATGAGATTTTTTTTTTATTTGGCTTGAAATAAAATGAATGCAATGCAAATTCAAATTCAAATGAAGGTGGCGGCCAGCGTTGGAATGACGAGCTAGAGGCCATTGCTAATGGTTGGATGGTGGACTAGAGGCCAATGCCGGCAGTGGTGACGATTGTGACAGGTGGCTATGGTTAGTGTTGGGTGGCGAGAACATAATCATCTTGCAATAAAAATGAATTAAGCCAAAATTGACGAATTTACAATACATAAAAAATGAACTGGAGAGTGAAAAATGAATATATTAAAATTTTACACTGCATTCTTTTTATAGCAAACCAAACACCAAAATTTAATTTTCTCGGTATTTTGAATTTTTTGCATTCCTTTTTTTAGAAAACCAAACGGTACTTTAGTATGTTATGAAATCATGCGCTGAGTTGCCCTCTTGAAACCCTCTTGAAAGAAACAGGAACAAAACCTTTTGTTCCTTTTTCTTTTAGCATAGACCTGATCGGTTGAAGCAGGAGTTTCTTTTCATATTATTTGTTTTTGCAGGAGTCTCTTAATGGAGTACTCCCCACATTAATTATCATTTATTTCCTAATGTCATGTTTTTACTTTCACTACTGCAGATTATTGAATTAAAGCTGCCATCATTCTTTAACAATTTTGATCCCCGTGCTGCTGCATCTAATTTCCCTTCTGGTATTCAACTACGAGGAGTTTTGGTTTTTGCATCTTTGCTCTACATTGCTACTGCTTTATCCGGAAATCCAAATTTCAGGTGTACAGGCATACTTGGCTGGTCTAACTTTTGCCTTAGCTGCCTCACCTTGCAGCACACCTGTCCTTGCTACTCTTTTGGGATATGTGGCTGCATCCCGGGTATGTATCAAATTTTGAATTGTGCTGATTTTGCTTATTGGTGATTTATATTATAATAAGCGGATATGACTTCTTCAAAATTTCTCCAAGTAACTTTAGTATATAACTAAAGCTTCTTGCACTATATCATGGGGCATATTTAGATTATATGGAAATTAAATGCAAACAAATTAAATGTTCTTTTCTATTAGGCTAAAAATAATGAAATAGTTCTTGGAAAAACAACAAATTTTGAAAAAGGAGATATATAATAGCTTGATGCATTAAAATTGAAGATAATAAACCTTAGTCAATGATGAAGACACCCAGGAAAATTGAGAAATTTTTTTAGAAGAATATAAAGAACAATGTAGTAATTATATTAGAGATTTATCTAAAAATCAAGTGGAGTTGGTTTTAAAAAAGTGCATATAAATAAGACTTTTGGCCTTGATATGATATTTATTGATATTTGGAGAGTTATTGCGGTTATTGCAGTGATTTAATTGATATTTTTAATAGAATTTGAAGACTAAGATGATGCCAAATAATTGAAGAGGTATTTTTGTATCAATAATTAATAATTAAGGCATTGCTTAAGATTGTACTAACCATAGAAAAATCAAAATTTTAAGTCATACAATGAAGCTATGAGGTAAGTAATGGAATATAAGCTCAGAAAAATTATTTCAGTTTCGAAGGAACAATTTAGTTTCATGCTAGGAAGATCTCCTATGAAAATAATTTTCTATGAATACATTAATAAATGTATATAGAGAATAAATAAAGAATATTCATATGATTTTTATTGATCTTAAAAAGCCTTGTGATTGAATGTCATGATAATTAATTTGGTGTGTCAAGACAGAAATATATGTCTAAGATATGTATCATGAGTATTGACTCGTATTAATAGTTGTAGAGTGACTCCAGAGTTTCTAATTGTAATTTTTCATCAAGGATCATCATTGAATCCATATCTTTTTATGTTAATTATGGAAATGCTTATAAAGGATTTTAAAATTAAGGTACCTTGGTTTATGTATTTTGTATGTGATTAAGTTATCATTTGTGAGATGTTCAGTGAATTTAATACAAAATTACAACAATAGAGCAATTAGTTAAAAGATAGAGGTCTTAGAGTTAGTAAAACAAAGATCGAGTATATGATATGTAATTTTATTGGGTGTATGTTATTGAAATTTGGAATTTCAGCAAAGTTAAAGCATGATTTGAGATAAATCCATGTGGCAAAACACTAAGGAAATTTGATAATTGATAAAAAGTGGAAGAAAACATACAATATGCAATTGATCTTCAATTCAAGAGGAAGATCTGGCTCTCCCAATTCCTAGCCGGGGGCTAGAGCCCAAACAAACCTAAGAGAAATACCAAATTCAGCTAAAACAAAGATAACCCTAACCCTAACCATTCCCATCTATTTAAAGAATACAATTTTAATTAAAAAAAAGAAATATAATTATAATTACTAAACATCCCTTCCCAAATTTAATTCTCTACTAAACCACCCACTCCTCTTTAATTTTTGTATTCAAATAATGGGCCCCACAAGGGGGACCAACAGATGTTTAGTCCACTTGGAGTAAACCAAGGGCCGGCCCTGGTGCTGGACCGGTCTTTCTTGGACCGGTCTAATAATCCCCCTCCAAAAGAATCACCTTGTCCTCAAGGTGAAATGATGAAAATTGATACTTCGCCCTCTAGTATGGCTCCCAGGTGGCATTATAGTCCGGTAAGTTCTTTTATTAGAGCCTCTTTGGTCCCTTCTTCTTCCTGTTGAACTCCTCTCAACTCCAGTAGTTCTAATAACACCTCTAAATCCTCTATCAGTGTCACAAGTAACTCTGAACTAGTTGCATGATCCCCAATAGTCTCCTCAGTTGTGACACGTGAAACATTGGGTATATAGTAGCGGTCAATGGTATTCTCAAGCGGTACGCCACTACTCCAATTCTCTCCAATATCTCATATGGGCCGAAGTACCTTGGGGCTAGCTTCTCATTCCTTCTGTTGGAGATTGACCTCTGTTTGTAAGGTCACAACTTTAAGAACACACTATCCTCCACTTCAAATTGGATGTCCTTCCTGTGTCCATCCATCTTCTTCTTCATCGTAATTTTGTTATGCCCTCAGCAGGTGCCTCTTCTTCCAACACCCTATCTCTTTCCTCCAAATATTAATCTACTGAAGAGTGTGGTGTGCTCCTCTGCCCAAAATGCACCAAGTGGGGAGGGTTTCTTCTGTACAACACTTTGAAAAGAGTCATATGGGAAGCTGAATGATATGAAATATTGTACCAGTACTTTGCCTATGCTAGCCACTTGGCCCACAATCGAGATGTCTCTGAAGCAAAAGACCACAGGTTAGTCTCCAGGCCCCTATTTACTATCTCCGTATGTTCGTCTATTTGAGGGTGGTAAGTGGTGCTTCTTTTTAGAGTTGTTCCCTGCAGCCTGAATAGCTCTCTCCAAAAATAGCTGAGAAACACCTTATCGTAGGTGCTAGAGTTGTAGAGGAACTCCTGTAGGCCCCTCCCATGATGTTGCTTATGTTGGCCTTCTCCCTCCTATATTCCACCATCTGAGCAAGCTTCATCATCTTTTTCAACCCTCTAAGCCTCAGTACCCTAAGCTCTGCCTGTATGTCCTCCCTAAGCTTCATGAAATTCTCATCCAATCCTTCTTCAAAGATTCTTGTTAGTCTCCTTGATAGTAGCTCAAACTTATCTCGGTACTCCATAACTATCGCCTCCCTAGTTAGGACGTAGAATGTTCGTGGTGGTCTCCTTCCTGAATGGCTTGAAAACATTCCAACAAGCACTCCTTAAATATTCCCTATGAGTCGATCAAATACCTAGCCTCCCTCCATTGAAACTAGGCTAAGGCTTTCCCTTCCAAATATAGCCCCGCCGCCATGAGTTTTTCCCCTTCAGTTAATCCGTTGATAGCAAAGTAACGTTCTACCCAATACAACCAACCCTGAGCATCCTCCCTTTCAAAGACCGACATCTTTAGGTTCCTCGATCTCTCATCTATACCCCAATGGTTTCTTCCTCCGTTGGTTCCTCCCGTGTAGTGGTAGTGTGATTCCCTTCCTTCCTCCCTTGGTTGAGTTGGACCCTATGGCTCTCCCCAACCATTCCCTTCTCCCTTCCACCTCTCCCCATGCCCGGGTAGTCTCCCAAAGGGTTCAACCTCCCTCCTCCTTGCTGTCCTCCCTTCGAAATATCCCGATCCACCCACCAACGGAGCCTCACATGGCGGTCCTTAATGGAAAACACTCTCCAATTCATCACCGTCCTTCTGAATTTCCTTTTATCTTGTTTTCATCCTAGGAATCAACGGCGATGCTTTTGACTGCATTACAAAGAGTTGATGATCATTTTAATCATTTTCTCATAATTATAATTACTAAACAAATCCTACCAAATTTAATTCCCTCCTAAACCGCCCCCTCTTTAATTTTGTATTCAAATAGTGGGTCCCACAAGGGGGGTTAGCGATTGGTTGGTCTGCTTGGAGTAAACTAGGGGCCGGCCCTAGTACTGGACCGATCCTTCTTGGACCGGTCTAACAACATAATGGTAATACTTATCATTTAATATTATCAGAATGTATGATATTATTTTTGTGTCATAAATTCGTGTATCTTGGATCTATCATATAGAAGATTAGAGAAATAAATGAGTTTAGTTTGATGGTTAAAATGGGCAATGTCTCATGAGTTTTGTGTGATAAAAGGATAGGAAGACTTTATAAAATTACCTTTAGGCCAATAATGTTACATGAATCCGCCTGTTGGGCTTTAAAAATTCATTGATATCTTGAGTGTGATACAAACGAGAATGTTGGGATGGATGCCTGACAAAATTAGGAAGGATAAATTAAGAAATGTTTATATTAGAGGAAACGTTAGAGTGATTTTTTTTTAAGATAAAGAAAATAAATTTAGGTGGTTTGGATGTGGACAACGAGTAGAAAATGCACTTATTAAACAAGCTGATAAAATTTGAGACAAATGATTAGGAATGAAAACTGATAGAACTACAATTATTTTAATAGAAGCTGTTCAAAGTAATTTGTGAAGAATAGTTTTAAAACCTCAAAAACACTCAAAATGAATAAATGAAAAATCAAAAGTTGTAATGCCAACATTGAATAGTTGCGATGAGACTAATAATGAGATTTTAGTCTTTATTTATGTTGATAGATGAAATTATTTCATATTCAGTGCATCAGTTTTTCTAACTGAAGATGCCTTGTATTAGGATCCCGTGGTTGGTGGGAGCTTGCTGCTGACATATACTGTGGGATATGTTTCTCCTCTTCTGCTTGCAGCTTCATTCGCTGGTGCTCTGCAGGTTTTTACCTCTTTTTATTAATATAGCTCTTATAATATTTCAATGTACTGTCAGTAGGCTCTGCAGCGGTTTAGTTCTGCTTTTGCTTTTTGCTATTTCATTGGAACAATATCTTGATGGTACAAGCTAGAAATGTTTGAACATCTAGCCTTGCTCATGAGCTATTATTGTTTTAGAAAATGCGCTATCCCAGTGTTAGACTAGTCCATTTGACCGGTCTAGCCAGTCCACATGGTACCGCCCAGGCTAATAAGGGTGAAATCTCTGCCTCCTGTACGCCCTGTGCAATCCGCCAGATCCCAGGGAGTTGTTTAGGAAGGTTTTTTGACAGAATTATGAGGGAAATTTGAATGTATGGACTGTTTAGGGATTTCCTTTTGATTTGTATGCATTAAATAGTTGGTTTTCCTAGTGTTAGGACATCTTGAATTTGGGCTGAAATTTGAGATATCTTAGATTGAGTTTTTTGTTTTTTTTTTTTGCTCTAGCAGTGTCTAGAGATTTGGGAGAGATCGATCCTCCTCTCGAATTGAGGATCAACTGTATCTTGCTATTTCCCATTTCTATTTCATCAAATAATACAAAATATTTAATATTTTTCCTGTTTTTGTGTGGATTTTTGTCGAGAATTCTTGTTGTTTTTCGTAGATTGATAGGAAATACTTGAGATCTACAAGTGTTTCCTATCACCCAATTTCTAGAACTAGGTTATAGACCAGAATTAGAAGGAACAATACTATTTAAGCTAGCCAGAATTTATTTTCTTGTGACAACATTAGCATATTTATCGTTTTTAACTTTAATTTTTTTTATTTCAGGGTTTACTATCGCTTAGGAAGTTCTCAGCATGGATAAACCCAGCAAGGTAAAATTCAAGGCTTTTTTTGGATTGAAGGAAAATAAAGAAAATTAAATAAAATTCAAGAAATTTTTGGATTGCAGTGACTGCAGCCAGATTTTAATTCCATGCCCACATGTCAATTTGATATGAAGTTTTAATATCCTATTCTATGCTCATAAGATTTTTATTCCAGTAGGGACCAAACATACCAACCTCTGTCCTGCATCTCTTAGACTTGTTTTATTAAAACCTTACACATCATGACTCTGCAAGGAGTTTAATGAGTATTGTTTCTATGCAATGGAGGAAAACCTACCTGCAGCAATTCAAACATATCTGAATACTTTTTTAGCTTCATTTGGACAACTTTCGTACTGCTTCCTAAAACAGTTTTTTAGTATAAAATTTTCTGATTCAAAAATTTTTTATACTAAAAAGTTGTTTTAGAAAGCAACAACAAAGTTGTCCCAAACGAAGCCTTAATCTTCTTGATGGTCATGCCACTTTTTACTCACCATACAATATACATCCAAAAGGAAGTTGATATCCTATTTATCTACTTGTTAAAGCCAGTTTCCTTAAAATTGCAATTGAACCAGCAGAAAATGTGGTAAACACTAGATTTTGTTAAGGATTGTATATTTGTTTTCCTTAAAATGTTATCCTTTGACTTACCTCCATTTCTTTCTACTGGTTAAGGTTTTGTTTGGGATAGCTTTCTTACTGCTTCTTAAAGTAGCTTTTTAGTAGAAAAATTTTATATTTTGTACTAAAAAACTGCTTTATGAAACAGTAAGAAAGCTGTCTCAAACAAAACCTAAATCATAATTGCTTTTGCAGCGGAGCACTTCTTTTGGGTGGTGGCATTTACACCCTACTGGACAGGCTGTTTCCAGTAACCATGGCAATGTAGCTGATGTAAATAAGCCTCTGCCTCAATAGTTCTAAAAGGTAAATAACCATTTGTGAAGTATTGAAATTTAAATCTCACACCTGAACTACAGCAGGGAGCTGAATGAATGTAATATTGGCCAACCATTTTTTATTGTAAGAGATTGCAATTTGGTCCATTTGTTGTTGGGGAATTTTTCAGCATATTTCTGATAAGAGATGAAATATCATCCTTAAAATTTGTTTATAGACCTCAATTTTGTTTCTTTATGATATTGTAAACTATTGAATCATAATAGAATTTCGAAGTTCTGACTTTTAATATTTCTTATTGTCTGTCAGTCCAAAAATCGACCTGATCACATTCAATTGTATCCATGACCCTCATGGTTATGTTTCCTCTGTCACCTTTAGATATTGTTGCCTCCAAGAGGATTAATTATTCTCTACAGACGCCGAATTCTGTCTGGAGACCAACTAGAACGCGCCACGTTACCTCTATGCTCGGTACTGCGGCTCGATACCGCTCGGTAACGTGGCTCGGTACTGCTTAGTGGCACATTCTGGTTTGTCTCCGGGCGGCGTTCTGTGTCGGGTCTCCGCAGAGAATAATTTCTCAAGGGAGGGATCTTCTTGATTGGTTTCAATCACCTCCCTTACCTTTCAACGTCATTTTATTGCAACCCTAAGATTGTGTCTCTCTTACCTTCAAAATTAGGACCAACCTCACCATTTTTAGTGGCCTCCATAACCTTCATCTGCCGCTTGGTCTAATACCACAAAATTTGTGGCACCTTTACCACTAAGTGGATGATTTGATTGACTATCATCAATGGCCTCCATAACCTTCCTACATTGCTTTTTTCATCCGCCATTATTGTATATTTGTATTGTCTTAACTATAAGGGGAGAATTGACTTAGCTGTCCTTAGTGGCCTTCATGTGTTGCTCTATCAAGAAAAGGACAATCTTGATAAACTTTAATAAGGCAGAATCAATAATCGAGCTCCAGAAGAATGATCAAATTCGAGCTCGAACTCGACTAAAGCTTAAATGGCGTGCTCGAGCTTGGCTGGTGGCAATGGAGCTAGCTTGCGAGGCGTAAGAAAAACGGGCCAGTGTTTGCTTCTGCTTCCGATTTCAATTTTGGGTTCAACCTTTCACTTTTGCCTTCCACGTTCTGCTTCCGCTTTCGCCTTCCACGCTTCCGCCTTTTGCATTCATTATTCCGCCTTCTGCACTCGAGCGGCTCGACGAGTCAACAAGTCGAGGAGCACCTAAATCGAACTCGAGCTCGATTACCAACGAGCTCCTAAATCTGAGCTCGAAACTCGATAAATCTGACTCATGAGCTTGTTATCGAGTCAAACTCATAGTGGCTCATCATGAAAGAGCTTTTCATTATATTCATTTTATTTCAAGTCAAATAAAAAAAATAGTAATTATCTATATTTATTTAAATAATTTTAAAATATTATAAACACCTCATAATATTTTCCTACCCTACTTTTCATTTGCATTTGGATTACTACTAATTATAATATAAATTTTAAGAATTTTCTTATAGAATAAAAGTAAAATAATAAGGCAGAATCAATATTATTAGTTGATCCACCACAACGCTGAGGCGTAGCATAAGAAGAACTTGAAATGGTCTTTGTGAGCAGAGATTAAGACCTCACATGATATGTAAGATATGTAATATCATTATTTTTATATAAATATAAGTACTTAATTTATATTGCTATATTGATAATATAATTACTGATTAATCATATTATAAACAATTACGATAAAATTTTTTATAATGAAAATAAAATTGTTGTTTAACAGAAAAATTAAAACTAATGACCTCTTGTAAGTATTACAATATACATAAGAATAAACCACTTAATCCCAGGCAAAAAATGCAAACATAAAATTATTATTTTTGTAATAATTTAATTACATTTTGAGTGAATAATAACGAAATTGTTGTAAAATAAATTTGGAAGAGAACCCTTACTCAAATCTTTCTTTCACATTAATTTGAATTCTAATTTCTAACTAATAAAAACTAATAAGTCAAGAAAAAAAAACTAATAAGTCATTTAAAATTGTTTGGCGGGTTGTCAGGTAGACGATAGACCCGTTCAATGGCCGGCAACCTGAACGGGTCGTTGGGTCAAAATTTGGTTAAATCGGGACAAATGACTAGGTCTTAATTTGTTTTTCAATTTTTTTTATTTGAACATATTTTAATTAAAAATATATATTTAACAAATCAAGTAAATATTGTCATGGGCTATAAAATTTGTGATGGTAGAGATATAATATTGTACATCTTAGCGGTGCACGAATGTCCAAAACAAAAATTGATAAATGAAATAGATTGAAATCGTCATAATTTTTTTATGTGAAAAAACTTGTAATGGAAAAAATATTGCCCAACCAAAATGATTGAACTATGTAATAGTGATTTATAGTAATTGGCCCTCCATCAATTTGGAAACAATTAAATCAGAAAATATGGAGAATTGACAAAAATATGTAAGGGTTTTTAGGGGTGAATAACCTCATGTTTGAGGGTGGTTGTTTGATGGATGAGGTCGATGGCGGTTGGCACAGGGCCAACATTGATAACCAGGTAAAAACCAAAGCGGATACAGATGAGCATGTGATAGCGGCAATGAAGAACAAATGTTCAATGTGAAGACCAGATAAAAGTTCGACGAAAAAAACTGAACGAAGATTCGACGGCGGTTCTCTCTCTCTCTCTCTCTCTCTCCGTATTCAATGTCTGGTTATCCACAGGGCTCCGGTTATCCCTACGGCGCGCCGCCGGCGAATCCATACGGTTCTGCTCCGCCACAACCATATGGAGCAGCACCTCCGCAACCATATGGAGCCGCACCTCCGCAACCATATGGAGCTGCGTCGTCACAACCGCACGGTTACGGCGCTCCTCAACCATCGGCGCCTTACTCCAAGCCAGAGAAACCTGGAAAGACACAGGGAGTCGGATACGAGCATCCTCCTCCAGCAGCAGGGTACGGTACGGCGAGCCCTTTTGCTGCACTTCTGCCGTCGCAATTCCCGCCAGGAACGGACCCAAGCCTGGTGGCGTGCTTCCAGATGGCTGATCAGGACGGGAGCGGCCTGATAGACGACAAGGAGCTGCAGCGCGCTCTCTCCTCCTACGACCAGAGCTTCAGCCTACGCACAGTTCACCTCCTCATGTACCTTTTCACTTCCTCCAACATCCGCAAGATTGGTAAGAGTTTCTCGCCCCTTTTCTTCCTCAAAACCCTGATTTGATTAGTCTTTGATCCGGTTGGATATTGTTTTGCTCGGGAGTTGTAAAGGAGAAATCCCTGAGCGTACGGTTTTGGATTTCGGCCTTATGCGTACTTAAGTTGTAGAGTTTACGAATAAGTCCCGTCCCTTTCTTCGGTGTGTTTCATGGAGATGCTTCTTTGGTCCGATCGGTTTATTTACTTCTGCGATGTGCTATGATCCCTGTTTGATTCCGAGTTGACCTAAAACTATTAAAGTAATGTTTGATTTTAATTACATTTACTCAATTTTTGTGTTCGGTGGGTATGGAGGTGAATCTGTATTAGAAAGCACGCGTTTTATTCTTTGTGAATCTAGCCTTGATCCGGCAAGCTTAGTCCACTAGTACGGAGTAAACGGGTAAAAAAATGTAAGGAAATGCTGTTGCAATTTAAGTCAAATGGGCTCTTTACGTTCTTCAATTTCCGTTGAAATTAATAGAGTTCATGACATCATTTGTAAGTATTAATTTCAGAGTAAATTTAAGGGAATTTAGGTCCATGATGCAAAATATGTCACGATGTCTAAACCCTTTTTTTTGTGACAACCCAATTTTTTCTCTAAAAAGAACCTAGAGTCTGGTGGTTTCATTTGAGACGCTTGAACAAACTATGATTAGTTTTGATCGGTTCTTTTTATGTGTGGATCAATTGGTTAGATTAAGCTGGTAAGTGTTCTTAATCCTCATTTATCCCCAACTAAACGAATATGCTAAGCAATTGTGGTCCATTTTGGCAAGCTCACTGTTTTCTTTAATTGTTATTCAAACCAAATTGAAAAGTCAAATCTAATTAAAATTGTTTGATCTGATTCAAAAGATAATTTGTATGCTCTTGGTTCGTGAAAATGTATTATTTGTTTTTGTAAAATACCACGAACTCAAGGAGCCACGGCTCTCCTATGCTTATGTTGATTTTAATGCGATGCCTATAACCATTATTAGGAAATGTTGCTATTTTTAGTTCTCAAAATAAGTGATCTGCCTAGAACTGTGATCCAAGGGCTGCAACAAAAGCATTGGTGTGTCACTGATGCTTTGCAAATGCAGATCCTTTAGTCTGTGATACTACAATCCCTATATAAGCCTACGAGTAAATTAGTTTACTTCACAACATGACATTTTATCAGTTGAGGACCATTTGTTGCACTCAACTTCAGGCTTGGATAGGAAATGCAATATATTTATCACATTTAAAAGTCATTGCATTGTTTGTTATATGTTTATATTAATAAGATTATCAAAGATAAACTTGACCCAAAAGACAAGAAGTATTATTTCATATTTTCATTAGATATTGTGGAGATGAGTTTGGATGCAAATTCTTAGATATTGAAGTTAATGAAATTGTAAAAGTAGAAATGTTAATTTTAATAAATTTTTTCTATGCAAAGATAGGTCAAATACGACTGTAAAATACACTTCCATTCTAGAATAAAGTTGAATTAGAGGATGTATTTGTTCCAGAGCAAAAATAGGAAACACGTCATGAAACTCGAGAGCAGTCTGAGCTCAATACACTTGCAACCCAAGTTTGAAGGCCAGGAAAAACTCAGAAGCTAACTAACCGTTATTCTTCTTCACTTTCTTACTTGTTGTTTATAAATTTAAGAGAGTATGAGTGTTATAATAAAATTATACAAGTTAAGAAATATGTCAAATGGGAGATTGCCATAAAAGAAGAGATGGAATCTCTTTATGAGAATGAAACTTGGAAATTGACCAAGCTACGCAAAGACAAGATGGCATTGTAAAATAAGTTGATATATAAAGTGAATGAAGAATATATAAAAACTACAAGGTATAAAGAGGCTTTTTGTCAAGGGGTTCTAACAAAACGATGTCATGACTCAACCCATCACAACCCATATATTATTATATGTTATATTAGGTCGAGTACAAAATAGAGATTTTGCCTGAGATCTATTCGGAAGGAATTTCTTTTTATCATCCATTTTGACAACACAAAGCCACTAAACTATCAGTATATAGAAATAAAATAGAAGACACCATCCAACATGTATATATATATATACAATGACCATGATTTTCCAATAATTCCAAAAAAATTTTTTACTATATGTTTACAAAATAATCAATCTATTATTGAAAAGAGTATCTCTAACAACAAAACCATGACAAAACTCCATTGGGATCTTACTATTCTTTGGAACTTATAGATATAATGAATAATGAACAAACAATCCAGTAAGTTTTACGAAGCCTACAACTATATTCAATAGACATAAATAAAATAATATGCATGTTATTAATTAGGTGATCATAAGAATTAAATGTTGGGGAGAGGGGAAGTAAAACAGGCAACGAAATAAACAAGAAATTGAAAATACAGTAGAAAAGAAAGAACACTAGGATTTTGTTGGGGATGATGAGGAGTAATCACCACAATGACGAAACAAGCAAGAAATTAAAAGCAACGAAAAAGTAAAGGACACCATGATTTAGTGTAGAAAAATTCAAAATAGGAAAAAAAAACCACAGTCACATCACACCAAGAAGTCCACTTTGAAAATTGAGAGAAAAAAAAATACAAATCTCTCTTCTCTCTCACTCTCTCACTCTCTCATTGCTTCTCTTCTCACATGCATCATTCTTAATGTCAACATACTCAAAATATAAGAGAAAGCTAAGTAAAATAACCCCAAGGGACGCAACCCTTCAAACTAACGAGAAAGAAAATTGTCCAGTTCGTCTTGAAGCGCTACGGTGCCAGTTAGGCATTGCGGCGCTCAAACCTCTGTCTTGATCTGCTGCGGCGTCGTATCTATACCATTGTGGTGCTCAGCTCTCTGTCATTTAGCTCTGGGGCGCTCGGGAACACAACTTCGGGGCGTTTGCATACGCAGCATTAGGGCGTTGTACGGAAAAAAAAATTTTCAGGTGCAATGCACCCGCACCCGAACCCAAGCAGAGGGTAAGCCCCTCATCCTGGAAAATGTAGCACCCAAAGATTTCAATGAAAACGAGATCGATGGGTTGCGAAAGTTCTGGGTTGGGGACACTTGAAATACGTTCGAACGTCTGCTTCAATCATGGATTAAGCAGCATCTAAACTATTGAAAGTGGTACGCCACTGCGTGTATGGATTACTCTTGTTCCCTTGAGATCGTAGAAACATGACTTGTTACCATCTTAGTGAGCACGAGAAACTTGAGGCCCGAGGCAATAAAACAATCTGATTGATCAACACAATTATATTCCATACATACCAGATTTAACATAGAAAGCTCGAAACTGGCAAAAAATCATGGAGTCACACCACACTAAGAAATCCTCTATGAAAATTCAAGAGAAATAGTACATATCTCTCATTTTTCTCATTCTCTCCTTCTCTTCTCTCTTGCACCATTCTCAAACTAAAACATACAAAGAGATTCTATACAACCACCAAGGGACACAACCCTTGATGAAAAATGAGAAAGAAAACTATCTAGTCAGCCTCGCAGCGCTGTGGTGCCAAGTTGGAGCGTCATGGCGCTCCCACTCTATTATTTCAGCTTGCACAACAGCTCTGCAGCTCGAGTACATAGCATCAGAACACTGTATGGAAAAAAAATTTCATGTGCAAAGCACTCAGCTCGAACCCAAGTAGGGGAGGACCCCCATTGAGCTTAACAGATTTAATTGAGGTTTAAGACAATAGTACAACCCAATTGATCAAACATAATCAAATCTCGCATTGAACTAATATTAAACATGTACTGAATAAGTAAATCTCTATGCTACTCATGTATAGGTATCATATTCAGGCAATTATAATCAAGATTATCATTTTAAAATCATATATCGTATAAGTAACCATATCATATAATTTTTTTTTTGTAATTTCATTTATTATACAAAACAACATTTTATACAGTATACTAAGCAAGATAGGAATTCTGGCTAATCATATCATATCATGTGATGTTTTTCCTTTACCAATCATTACATCATGTGGTATAGTATTATATAATGTCATATAAATAAGAAGTAAGAACAATTTGGTGGCAAAATCATATCACATTTTCCCCTATATTTCTCATTATTTATCGAGTTCACACTACTAAACCATATTTAAAAGAAAGCTCGTCAGGCTACCCTCCTGTACAGGGTATCATAAATACTTGATCCTAAATCATATAGTAATCATCCTTCTTTGCATGCACATATTTCACGGCATATATAACATAATAAACGAATGATATTATATTTAATATTCAAATCATTATATCAATTCTAGTGCATATAAAATTTACATATAAATAAGGAATAATGAAATCCATAAGAAAATTCAGTGTAACCTTTTTTACATGTATATGACTATAATATATGAATTATAACACATATCATACACTTTTATTAATAAATTTTTACAATTATTTATCAAATTTCGAAATTTTTTTAAATTACTCAAACTAGAATATTTTCCCCAAAATATAGAAATACCTAGTGAAAATTCAATATGATCTTATCAATATATGCATAATGATTAAAACTATTATATACTATAGTTACATGGTAAGACTTTGCCAGAAATTAATATATTGCAACTTCTATAAGTTTTGATCAAACTAAAATTTAGAAAAAATACAAAAAATGAAATTATTGAAATGAATGGTAGGGTAATTGTAGTCTATCTTGACTCTTAAGATGAACAATTTTCCCAACTGACCCGTTCAGTGAAAACGGCTTTATGACCCTCAAATCTATCTTTATCTCTTCTCACCTCTTTCTTTTTCTCCCCTGTACAATATAGGAAGATGAAATAAAATGAATGAGTGCTTTCCTGAAGTGGGAGTTGATTTTTATAATAAAATAAGTTAAAAGTATATTTGGAATTATGTAAATTGTTTATTTTTTAGCCTAAAGTTTTTATAAATCTTTTTATATCTTCAAATCTTTGGCTATAAAAATTATAGAAAATATTTATAAATAGCTTATCATATTTAGAATACTCTGGTGAAAAACATCAAAATTTATAGAATTCCATATGTCTATCAAAATTTTATCAATTTGATGATTAGGCAATGAAGATTACAACATTATTGTATGGGTTTGCTCCCGCATGCTTATCGACTTCACAAAAAGTAATTGGGGTGATGTCTACTGTGAGATCTCATAAAGTAGATGCTGAGTTCACCTCCTTGGCCTTAATTTTCTTCGCACTTGTCATGGAGTTTGCTTGCTCATAGCCCATGAGTATGGGCAGGACTCTTGCGATATGCATTGAGCAAGCTAGACTGGGCTCATTGTTGCCTCCCTCTGTGGGAACCATTCGTGGGCGTCGACTAGAGTCAATGAGTACACTCATTTAATATTCCTACCTTGCTGAGCTCCACCACGAGGCTCCACAGATGGCAACACTCCTTCGTGTCATGGCCGTGATCTTTGTGAAAGGCATAATATCTTCAAGTATCTCAAGTGTGCGCGTTCATATTTTTTGGCTGCACATACCTAAAGAACTCCTTGTTCTAGATGGTCTCACCATGCTCGGCCATAGACACTCTCAGCGGAGTATATGAGGGATAGGTCGGCGGACATTGTGTGACTTATTCGTGGTATGGGCGTGTGGCATGAGGAAGTTCTACCATCAGCGCGGATGGTCCTACAATTCTCAGCAGCTTTGGTTGTATGGGTGCTTGTGGATGCTTAGGGCAACGACAATTTCACGGTAGGATAGGACTTCTCTCCCTCCTATCCTTGGGATGAATTATTTCTCTTTCGCTTCTTTATTATTGCTCTCTCCTAGTGGTGAGTTCGCATGGGCTATTAGTTGAGGAAGATTCAGCCAGCTTGTTGTATTCTGCAATGTTTACATGGTTGTTGGCTAGCTCTAACAATTCAGCAAGAGTCTTTGTGATGAGGACATCCGATCGTATAAAGTTTATCAGAGAAGGAACCAAATATCAACGGCCACGACTAGGCCACTTTATTTTTGATCTATTATTTGTATTTGATTTATTTATGTATCTTTTTCATTTTTACCCTCACTTGAAAGAGTAGGTTTATTTGACCCCAGGGGGTACTTTTGTCTTTAGGAATGTTATTGTAGTTTGGCTATTTATAGCCCCTTTCCCCTCCTTTGAGAGGATGATGATTATAATGATTAAAATTTCAGCATTTGTGTTCTTTGTGAGTTCATGTGAGAGCTTGTTTGAGATCCCTAGATAAGAGCAACGTACTACCACCAACTGCAGGAAGCATCTGTGCTCGTGGTTCACCTCGTCCACCAACCCCCCTCCCTTTCTCTCCTAGCCGCCGGCCCCAAGCCCTCCCCTCCTACTAGCCGCCGGCTTAAACTCCACCCAAAACCTTCCTAGCCACCGGACATACATCCTCTCCTCCACCTAGCCGCCGGCCCAACACCCCCTCCACCTAGCTGTCGGCCCCAAGCCCTCCCCTCCTACTAGCTGCCGGCCCAAACTCCACCCAAACCCTTCCTAGCCTCTGGCCACATCACCCTCCCTTACCTCCAAATTTCAAATCACAAAATTAATTCTTTCCTTTTATGATATTTCTAAATTAGGAAGGTTTTAATTTCATATTTCCAATTATTTGAATTTGAATTTTCCTTCCTAAAATAGGCCCAAATTAAGAGTGTAAGCGAGGGGAACCTTATAGTAACTATTCTAATTGTTTAATTGGGGATTCTCTTTTGAAACCCCCACATTAGCATGGTCTAAATTGATGTGACTATTTTATGATCCTAAACTTTTCTTATGTAATTGATTGTCTAAGTTTAATCTCTATCTTGTTGGTTTAAAACTTTGCTAAGAAACGCGAGAAGATTAATTAATTGCAAAGCTCTACTCATGTATGTGTAATTTTCTAATCAATTGTATTTGCCTTTGCACGTAGTCCTACATCACTTTGGCTGCTACAAGCCAAGTACATATCTTAACGTGCCCTCTCTCAGTCCTTGAGTCGGTGCGGTCTGGGCGATTGTAGGCTCTAAGTTCTTCACTTCATGCATCTTGCTTTGGAACCTTACTATGAAGTTCCTTATGAATTCTCCTAGCTCCTGCCTCACCTTCAGTAGAGTTTACGAGATCTTTTGGGCTTCCGAACAATAACAAATTGAATTACAAACAATATTTTTTTGAACTTATAGAAAGAGGTGATTACCCCAAATGACAGGTGAGTTAATCACCTTCGCGCCGACTCCTTGAGTGTAGTAAAGAATAGACGACGCTTGAGGGATTCGTTAATATCCAAAAGAGATGTCATTGATTCAAAGGTCACCACATGGTTAGTTAGATCAGTCTTCCCATTATAGAAATTCAAGTGTGGCACCTTAAATTTGGGAGGTGGCTTAGCCTTGGTGATCTCTCTCAAGAAAGCATTAGTGAGTTCAAGCTAGATCATTCTAACTCACAGAGTAGCCGAGCTGTAATCCTTTTCACTCATCAACATGCGAGTGGGATTAAGAATGGGCGTCAAGATTGAGCTCTATCTTTTGGGGTCCTGCAGCGAACAACCAAGTCAGAAGAACCCCCGGGGTACCTTCCCTTCGGCTTCACACTTGAAGACAATTCAAAGGGTCTTAAATTATCTTCATTATTCTTTTTTCCATCTCCAACAGATCACGACGAGTTGTGTATTCGACATTCTGCATGTTTAAAGAGGGCTCTTATTGATTCTTCTCGTCGAGTAGGGTCTGTCTTTCCGTCACTGGCATCAATCCACATTCATTGCACCTGAGAGGATGTTTGATCCATATTTCTTTGTGAATGAAACCTATCCTTACTAGCAGGCTTACCTTGTGAGTGGATGACCTGGGAACTCTTGAGTGAATGGAGAAAGGGTGGAGGGAGAGAGAAAAGAACTAGAGAAGAAGAGAGAATCCATAGAAAATTTAAGGAAATTGTAAATCTCAAACTAGCTTAAAATCCTCATAATTTGTTAACAGTAAAAAAAAGCCTCAGATTGTTCCTCACCACCCCTTATTCATAGGGTTCTGAGGGCTAGAGGAAAGGCTACATAAAAAAAAAATAAAAAATATAATGCTACATAGAATACACGTATAATGCTACAGAGATTACAATAGACATTTGTCATCCTTCAATTGGCTGTAGGAGGGCAAGGTTGAATAGCCTTTTTATGACTACCTCTAGGGCAACCTTAGTGGTGCTGAGTTGGCAAACTAACTTGATTGAGTATGTTGGCGAGTGTTGAGATAAGGAAACCTGCAACAAACAAGCTTGCTAATATTGTTGGCAACTTGTGTGAGAGATCTTGAATCGCCTAAGGAGAGAGAGAGAGACGAGCGAGATGTTTTCGTGGGAAGGGAGAGGTTACAGGTTGGATGGTCGCAATAAGATGATCTGAGGGTCCCGTGAATAAACGTTTTTATGTAGCTAAGCTTGGTGAACTTGTATGAAAATGATCGTTCTGGGAGAGCGAGTGACTGAGATGGCGATCTATGTACGTGGCGGGTGCCGAGTTGCTAACTTGACAAGAAATTCCTGCTTCACCTTGTAGATGGCTGAGCTCCTTGGTAAGCCCAAACGAGTACCGTCGATTGATCATGCAGGGCAAGATCTCCTACATGTTCCTGGCGATCAACGTCTATCGAATTGTTAGACGAGTTCTTGATTTGGGCCAACCATATGTGGCGTTCATGACTTGCTGGCTACCTTCTAAATACCTGTGAAGACATATGCAAGTGTATAATATCATTGTCTTTATTCATATGAAATGTAATCTCTTTGTATGTACTACTTTTAAAGCCTAGTGGAATATTTAATTTCTCTGTGTGGCTATGGACTTGGTTGAATTTGATTAAGCTACGTATATGAGTCATGAATTTGAAATCTTTGTGTGATTATTATATTGTCTTCATTTACTTTTTGCTTGAAAATTTTATCATTTTCTTAACATATGTTCTTTTCTTTTTTGAAGATTACACTGAAGATAATGACAAAAATAATGAATTCAGATATTTGTAATTTATTAGTATTGAATACAGAGTGGATGCAACATCGCTTGCAATCTGTTGGCCCCTCAAACCTCATGTATTGCTGTTCTTTTTCGCAGGTCCAAAAGAATTCACCTCATTATTCTACAGTCTTCAGAACTGGAGGGTAGCCATCTTATTTTCCTTAACAAAAGTTCTCATGCAGTAGACTTATTTTGCTAATCTATTTGGACAGTCCATAGTGTTCATCAATGGGTATTACTGCAGGCCATCTTTGAGAGATTTGATCGTGATCGCAGCGGCAGGATCGACGCATCAGAGCTACGAGAAGCCCTTCTAAGCCTGGGATACTCAGTTTCCCCTGTCGTGCTTGATCTGCTTCTCACCAAGTATGACAAAAGCAGTGGCAAGATCAAGGCCATTGAATATGACAACTTCATCGAGTATGATCCTTGTCCTCACTCCTCTCCATCTTTATGAAACAAGTTTGCTAATGTGCCTCCTTTTTGCATGTTCCATTTTGAAATACAGATGCTGCCTTACTGTTAAGGTAATGCCTTTATTTTTTTAATCACTGATTTAGGTTTCATTTGGGACAGATTTCTTACTGCTTCGTGAAGAGGCTTTCTAGTACAGAAATGTACTAAAAAGCCGCTTCAAGAACCAGTAAGAAAGCCGTCCCAAGCGAAACCTTAATAAGGTATGTTTCTTTTCCACGGAACTAAGTAATTGTGTGTGTTGTGTTGGAATTTGGCAGGGTTTGACTGATAAATTCAAGGAGAAGGACACAATGTACACTGGCTCTGCGACTTTCACCTATGAATCCTTCATGTTAACTGTGCTTCCATTCCTCATTGCCTAGTTATTGGCTGCCAGCCTTTGGATTGATACAATAACATTTGCATTTGATCTATCTTTGAGCTGCTGTAGGTTCGCTGAGCTTGTTGTGAGTATGCTTCCTTCATTTCTGTCGTATGGTGGATAATATCATAATACAGTTTGTTGTTTAATAAACTCTATCTTCATAACAAACGCTATTAGAGCTAATGATTCAACTATGAACGAGTGATTAATACGTTTTGCAGTTCTTATTTGTTATGAGTCTTGATAGTTTCTATCATCCTATGTTGTTGAGATAATTTCAACAATAAGTATTGTCACAAGGGCTCTACATTGGAGAGATTATTAGGTGCGGAGTGCAGACGGGGAGAACCGTCCGCACAAGTATTGGGTACCTAGCGGTACCCGCACTCGGTACCGTTGAGTACAACTAGGTATCCAGTGCTTGTGCGGACGGTGCGCACTCTGCACCTAATAATTTTTCTGTACATTGAGGGGGCTTCTGATGCATGATGTTTAATGAATGGTTTCAAACAAGGAGAATATGGTAAAGATTGACATAATAGAAAAAGAAAATCATAGTAAAACTGAAAGTATGTTTTGAGTTATTATTGTAACCATGGTAATGATCCTTGTTCATTAAGTCAAAGTATTTTTGAGTTGATGGAGATTCATCTGCTAATCTAGTGTTCTTAACTTGGGGTTTTGCATTCCATCATCTACAGATGATTTAGGCTTCGTTTGGGACAGTTTTAGATTATTATTATTTTATTATTTTAAGAGTTTTTTTTTAACTAAAATTAGCTTTACAAAGCAATAAGAAACTCTCCTTAGGTTTTATTTGGAATAATTATTTTACTACCTTTTAAAGTAGCCTTTTATTAAAAAATTTCTAGTTAAAAAAAATTTATATTAAAAAGGTGTTTTAAAATCATTAATAAAACAGTTCCAAATGAAGTCTTAATCTTTATTTAGAACAACTTTTGATTATTATTTTCAAGAAATTTCTATGTCAAAAAATTGCTATGAAAATTAGCAATAAAAATGTCTCAAATGAAGTCTTAAGAGCCGACCTGACAAGTGAGCTCGGAAAGCAAGCTCTTCCAACTTTTGCATAAAGGGTTACATATGAAGGAATTATATCTAGTTGGTATTGTGAGGTCTCTCTCAGCTCTTTCTCCACCCCCAACTCCCAAGAGTTGTTAAATTGTCGATGTGCCAACCCACTTCCATTCAACCAAAAGCTTTAAAAAAGAGGGAGGTCGGTCTAAACATGAGAAATTATTTTATACAGGTACCGAACGATTCAAAGGTGAATTAGGATGTGCCACGTAATCCCATACATAATATCGGTACACAGCAAAAAAAAAATAATATGATGCATTCTGATTCGCTTCTGGATACGGTCTAGTGACTGCACAAAATAATTTCTTTCGAAACAGACAAAGCACACTGGTTTCGGTTGCAAAAAAAAAAAAAAGGTTAGGATATTATGATCTAATTTTTATTAGAATAGTCTTAAAACTCTGGGAAATATTGTATTTTCTCTGTTGATTGACATATAAATGTCTTAATATTATATTATTTTATCATACATTTTATAGGAAATATCTTCTTTATAGTTTAAATTTAATTGTAAGTTAAAATCATGCAATTTCTTACATTTAAATATAATAGAAATAATATATGTCCAATTTTGATAGCATTTTTTATTTTATAATTATTTACTAAATTTCTTATAACAACACTAATTCAATTTTTCTTAGTTGCAAATAATTTGGCTCAAGCCTTAGGGACATCACTAAATGCATACCACATAGTTCTCTTTCTTGAGCAATAAGAATACTAAAATCTCTCCCCTCAACATGGGAACAGCTCATTTTTTTTTTCGGAACGGGGGTATCGGCCCGCTTCCACGTCAGCTTGTGACGCGCTTAACGATGTCCACTAATCCCTCGGCGAGTCTACCAGCAACCAACCCCACAGGTGCATGACCCACAATTCTTTTCTCTCCACCTAAAGAGTCGTGCTGTATGAGAGGGGATTCGAACTTGAGATGGGGGGTTCCCAACCAAGCAAGCCCACCAACCCACCTAAGTCCAGTGGGGTAACAACTCAAATTTTAACTTCTTATAATGTTTCGAACCGGTCAATATGGTCAAGTAGGTTTGGACTAGCTGAGAGTGAGGATTTGCTTGAAACGACTTTTTTGCTGCTTCTTGAAACAATTTTTTAAGACAATAATTTTAATTTTTGTACTAAAATGTAAGTTAAGTAGTAAGAAAACTATTTCAATGAAGCATGAGTGTGTTAGAGAGCATTCCCTTAGCATCAAAAGAGGCTTAGGGTCTATTTGGACTGATTCCAATTTTTTATGTACCTAACACATGCAATTCATCTTAGTCTATTGGTTGAGAGCTTTGACTATCAATTAAAATATCTCGGGTTATAATATCACATATGTGATGTGTGCATGAGTTTACTTTAATTGAACTAAATGTCCCTTTTCAAGAAATATTTAGCATATATAATAATATTAATATGATAACATTATAATTCTAATAATTGTAATATCCTCTAACATACTCATGATGTTATAACAAATAGCATCGAGAGTTTATATTGTGCAAGAAGAATCTCAAAATTTAAGCCAACAACTGTCTAACAATTTTTTGAAATATATGAAGAAATCGAAAACAAACGAGATATTAACTTTGGGCTAACCTTTCTAGAAAATGAAGGTTCCAAAATTGTTATGAGAGATAGGATCTTCATGGAGTCCTCTTAGGATCCTCATAAAATATTTACAAAATCTTTAAGGGATCTTCATATGAGCATCGGGCGGCAATTGCTCTTTCTTAAAAAAATTTATTATAATTCTTTAGGTAATTTATCCCTCTCAATCTGTTTTTTAGTCTTTATTATAAGGGATTTTAGGCAATCCCCCCCTCCCCCCAAATAAAAAAAAAACTTAAATTGTTATGGCTTTTACGTAATTGCCCCTAGCATAATTGAACACATTTTGTAAATGTGTTATTGTTAGAATACGATGGACAAAATACAAAAAGAAATAGTAAAGACAACCCTAAAATATACTTACAATCAAAATTTGTTCTGAGGGCGCTGCCTGTTGACCATGCAACTTTAGGGTAGAAATGCCTATTGCATTCCTTAGCCAGAGAACAAAGGAGATAATTGTTCTGATTAATCATACATATTTTTTTAATTCTCCGGTTTTAATAGGAATTCCTCCTCCCCCTCCAAAAATCGGGTAAAGGAATTCCGGTTTCTTGAAACCGGAGTTTTTTTAATCAGGCTTCTTGATAACTCGTAATTTTGTATTCCGGATTCTTTTAAAATTATCATTAAAGTAGAAACCGAAGAATTAAATTCTGGTTTCTATTAGAACTGGATAATGAAGTTCCGTGTTTGCTCCTTTTTAAATTCTTTTGTTAAACTGCTCCTTAAACTAATTTAAATTTAAAACACGCTCTTTTTTATAAAATGCCATATTTTTCATATTTACTCCATTTTAAAATCATTTACTTAAATAAAAAGTGCTCCAAATATTGAACCGATCAATATATTTGTATATATATTGAAAATAAATGCACAATTAGAAAGAGAACCATAAAATGAAACGGAAGATAAAGATAAGAGGGAGAGAGACCCAGAGAGCAAACACGTTGCCGCCTCAGCGTCCACACTGCCCGTTCAAGCGAGCAGTATCGCGATGATGGAGAAAGGGCTGGAGAAAGGGCTGGAGAAGGGCAAATCAAAATATCAGAGCACTACACCAAGGAGTAGATAACACACGAACTTTAGTGCAATAGATAATGGCGGGAGCAGCCGTGAGCCCTAATCCATTTCCTCCTTCCCCCTCCTTTCTTCCATCCATCAAGCCCAGGGTGATCATACTCGGTGGAACCGGCCGAGTCGGCGCGTCCACTGCCGCCGCGCTTTCTCGACTCTGCCCTTCTGCTCATCTTGTCGTGGCCGGAAGAAACCGGTCCTTATCCATCTCTATTCCCCAGTTTATTATTATTATTTTTTGGTATATTAGTTTAAGGTCATTGCGTTTTGGTAGGGAGAAGGGAGCTGCTATTGCTTCTAAGCTCGGGGAGAACGCCGAGTTTGTCTGGGTGAACGTTGATGACATCTATAGCATACAAGCCGCTTTAGAAGGTTCATTCTCGTTAAAATACAATCCTTGCTTATGTTTATCTGGTTTTGATTAAATGGAGATGTATGGATGGTTCTGCATGCTCTTCGAATGTGGGATGGGTTTTGTGTCTATGAAACCGATCTCTTTTCAATTTTAGCACCTTTTTTTGGTTTTGTAAATTTGGTCTTTTTTTATATTTTCTGGTTAAGTTGTGCGTATAATCATTTTGTGTGTGGGCTTGTGATAACTTTATAATGTGATTATTTATAAATTTTTTAATTTGAACCCTTAGGCTTCTCTTTTATGATGAGTTGGTTATGCTAGGTGAGTATTCTCTAATGTAATTTATAAGTTTTAACAATTGAGGAGCTTTTTTGAAGACAAGGAGCTATGAAGCATAGATATTGACATGATATACGAACTATCACATGCTCGAGGACATAGCATTACCATAAAATGTGGGACTCAGCACACCATTGAAATGATGTTTCTTTTATAAAGTGAACTTCACCTCCCTATGGAAAAACGTTGAGGGAGTATAATGTCATAGGAGATTATAAAAAAAAGGGAATTTATAAATTTGCAATCACAGTAACTATTGTATGTTGATTTGAGTGTTCGGCACCAAAGACAAAAACAACTACCTGGAATGTGGTAGAAATGAGAATGTTAATACATATGCATAATAAAGTAATAAAGTGTGCATCTTGAAATGGTTAATTTGAGAGGTGCTGAAAGTACCACATATTGAAGGCTATGAACATGTGGTTTAGCATAGTAAACCATTGAAGATGAGTAAAAAATATGAATAAATATAATTAATGTGAAAGGATTGCAAAGAAATAGAGTAAAATAAGTTGAGATGTGATGTAGGATGGTTTAAGGTTTAGAGTTTACTAATGCAACTTAGGATGAGACGCATGATGAAAATTTGTAAAAAAAAACCACAAATCGCAGGCTCCTAACTTTTATCTTTAGTAAGAATTAACGACTTTTGATATAAAAATAGCAAACACATTCTTTCTTTCTTTCAAAACAATGATTTAATAATTGCAAAAATATGAAATTTCACTATGAAATAGTGAATACATAAAATTTTAGCAATGATCAAATTTCACACTATGACAAGGAATATACCTTGTATTGCACTTAACGAAATTTCAACGCATGCAAATTAACCACTAAATAAAATTAAATAAGCGACACATATAGTTCATCTTAAAGGAAGAAACATGCATCACACTTTGCTTAAAGACTTGCCCAATTGTAATTTAAATAATTCCTTCCCAATTGTAATTTAAATATTCCTAAATAATTCCCCTTTGATTAAGAACATCCTAAATAGCTCCCTCTTGATTAGGAAACTTCATGATTCCCCCCCCCCCCCCCCTTCATGATCCCCCCCCCCCTCCAAAAAACCCAATCGGCCAGTCCATTAGAACAACAGGGGTTAGGCTAGGCTTTCAATAGATGTGGAAGAGTTGGGAAAGTTTTATGATGTGTTGTAGCCCTTTCGGTAATATTGAACAGGGCATTGGTGTTATTGTTGTAGTTATAATGGTGGAATTTGGCTACCTACCAATTATAAAGCAACAACTTTGAAAACTAGGTCTAGCCTTCTTCCATCATTCAGACATACTAAAAGACCATGAGAATTGGGAGCAGCATGAAGAAAAACTTACTGAAAATAAAGCTGCTAGACCCTATTCTTCATATAAACTCAACTTTTTATAGTATATGTGCACGTTATAATTTTGTTCTCAGTATGTTTAGGAAGTAGAATGAGGTGAAAGTAAAGCTGGTAGACCCTATTCTTAGTATGAAAATTATTTTTAATGTTTTACTTGCATATTATTAAGGGAGTATGAAACAAACTTATTATTCTTTTGTTATACTGATCTATTGGACCGGTTCTACGGGACCAACCCATGCACAAAATTGCTTAAGACTTCCACCTCCCTGTATGAGCCGCGCGAGCTGCAAGTTCCATGGGAGCCATTTTGGAAGGATTTTTTAGGGAGTTAGGAGGAAAATTTAAATATAGGGACTGTTTAGAGATTTCCTTTTTATTGTATGTATTAAATAGTTTATTTTCCTAGGGTTAGGGCATCTTGAATTTGGCTGAAATTTGAGATTTTTAGGCTTAGGTTTTTTTTGGCTCTTGCGGCGTCTAGAGATTTGGGAGAGATGGATCCTCTTCTTGAATAGAGGATCAATTGTATCTTAGTATTTTCTTTTCGCTTTATTTGATTTCTTGCAATAAAATTACTGTTTTGCTATTTTCCATTGGAGTTGTGGATTGTTTTTGTTGTTTTTACCAATAATATTAGGTTTTATTTGAAATATTCAAGTACTTCCTATCAAATTGGTATCAGAGCTATTTTTGGGACCTTTGGTGGGCTGTTTTGGTGAATTTCAGCGGCTGTTTTTTTGGAATTTCGAAGAAAGTTGTTTTTGAAGGTCGAAGTCTAGATTTTTATTTCTACAAAAATCTGGGCATCAATGGCGGCGAAGAAAATGGATGCGTTGGAAGAACGCCTCGAAGTGGAGATTAGACAAATGAAAATTTAAATTTCATATCTCCAAAATATAGTTTAAGATTTTAAAAAAAGATGTTTTAGCCATCTATGTTAAGTTCGATTCGAAATTTTCTATCGTGGAGATGTTGAAGAAAATGCTCGAGGGCCAAACCAAAATATCGCCGTCGGAGGTGAAGGAAGGCGCCGACAGCCACGAAAGTGGGAAAATCCGAAGCCAATCAGATGAAAGGAAGATCAAGAGGTGGAGATTTTGGAGGGAACAGAAAAATGCTTTCCCTAGGACCTTTTTTTAGGAAGGAGCCTGATAGAGGATATGTGGAGAGACGTGAGGGGGTTGGGCATGAGTGGAGGGATGTTGAATTTGAAAGAAAAGGGGTTGAATTGGAAAGACAAGGACTTGATTATGATGGAAGAGGTGCTGTATTTGAAAGGAGAGGGGTTGAATATGATCGAAGGGGTGTTGAATTTGAAGGGGGGAGTTGGGTTTGCGATGAAGGGTTTAGGTATGAACGTAGAAGGGATGATTGTTGTTTTTGAAAGTCGAAGTTTAGATTTTTATTTCTACAAAAATCTGGGCATCAATGGCGGCGAAGGAAATGGATGCGTTGGAGGAACGCCTCGAAGTGGAGATTAGACAAATGAAATTTGAAATTTCAGATCTCCAAAATATAGTTTAAGATTTTAAAAAAAGATGTTTTAGCCATCTATGTTAAGTTCGATTCGAAATTTTCTATCGTGGAGATGTTGAAGAAAATGCTCGAGGGCCAAACCAAAATATCGCCGTCGGAGGTGAAGGAAGGCGCCGACAGCCACGGAAGTGGGAAAATCCAAAGCCAATCAGATGAAAGGAAGATCAAGAGGTGGAGATTTTGGAGGGAACAGAAAAATGCCTTCCCTATGACCTTTTTTTAGGAAGGAGCATGATAGAGGATATGTGGAGAGACGTGAGGGGTTGGGCATGAGTGGAGGGATGTTGAATTTGAAAGATAAGGGGTTGAGTTGGAAAGACGAGGACTTGATTATGATCGAAGAGGTGCTGTATTTGAAAGGAGAGGGGTTGAATATGATCGAAGGGGTGTTGAATTTGAAGGGAGGAGTTGGGTTTGCGATGAAGGGTTTAGGTATGAACGTAGAAGGGATGATTGGGACACTTGGGGGGAACCTCCCCCTTTAGGAAGGGGAAATTATGAAGGGAATAAAGGGAACAAGGGCGATCTGAGGGCGCGGAAACTGAAGATGCCTATCTTTGAGGGAGAGGATGCACATGGGTGGATCTACAGGATGGAAATGTACTTTACTGTCAATAGGTTGATGGAGGAGGAGAAGTTGACGGCAGCTGGGATGTGCTTGGAAGGGAAAGCTTTAGCATAGTACCAATGGAGTGATACGAGGCGACCGATAAGGACCTAGAGGGAGTTTAAGGATTGCATGTTGGAATGCTTCCAAACCAGCAAGGGAGGGGACTTCGAGCAGTTCTTCACTTTGATGCAGGAGGGGATAATAATGGAGTACCGTGATCAATTTGCGTACCTTGTCAGTCGATTGGATCGGCTTCCAGAGACTGTACTGGAGGGGAACTTTATGAAGGGTCTGAAACGAAAAATTCGAGCAGCACTCAGAGGTATGAGATCTCGGGACTTGGGAGAGTCTATGGAGCTAGCTCAATTGGTGGAGGATCAGAGGCGCCTGGATAAAGGAGCAGGGGCAGCAGTTCAGGAGGCTCCTACAGGATGACCACCACCTTTTTGGAAAGCAATGAGCCAACATTGGGTACTCTTAGGGAGACTTCGAAAGTGAAGACTGTTGGAGGAAGACCTGGGTACAACTTCAAAAAGCTCACAGAAATAGACTTACAAGAGAAGAAGGCGAAGGTGATCTATTTCAGATGTGACGAGAGGTATATGTCAGGGCATAGGTATAAGGACCGAACTCTTCAGGTTCTTACCGTTTGTGATGAAGGAGGTATGGAGGAGGGTGTCATCTTTCCACCTTGTGAACAAGGTGGATCTTTGGGAGGGGAGTATTGTTAGACTGGTCTATTTGACCGGTTTAGCCAGTCCTACGAGACCGCACAAAATGTCGGAAGACTTTCGCCTCCCTGTACGAGCTGCGCGAGCCGCAAGTTCCACGGGAGCCATTTTGGAAGGATTGTTTAGGGAGTTAGGAGGGAAATTTGAATGTAGGGACCGTTTAGAGATTTCCTTTTTGATTATATACATTAAATAGTTTGTTTTCTTATGGTTATGACATCTTGAATTTGACTGAAATTTGATATCTTTTAGGCCATAGGTTTTTTTGGCTCTAGCGGCGTCTAGAGATTTGGGAGAGATAGATCCTCCCCTCGAATGGAGGATCAATTGTATCTTGGTATTTTCTTTCCGCTCTATTTAATGCCTTGCAATAAAATTACTGTTTTGATGTTTTCCATTGGAATTTTGGACTGTTTTTGCTATTTTTACCAATAGTGTTAGGTTTTATTTGAAATATAAAAGTACTTTCTATCAACTTTACTTGCATATTATTAAGGAGAGCAAAGTGATCAATGTCTTTTTGTTGCCGTTACCAAATAATAATTAGAATAGAATATTTTGTAATTTGTATGCCTTTTAGTCTTCTAGTTTCCATATTCTACTTCTAGAATCATGACCCTTGTTATTTATGAGGCTATCTTTTATGCTGTACAATGCTGAATAAATTGTAGTGGCAAAGTTTTTTGGAGAACTCATAACCTCTCCCTTTTTAAGTGTGTAGTCTTCTGTGACTGATATTAGCTGAAGCCATGTTTTACATATATGCTTTTGCGCATAATTTTGGAGATGATAATCTTATTCAGATATTCCTGTTGAAGTTTGATGGTACATGTTACTCTGCAAAATGATAAACATTTACTATCGCGCTTATATCTGTTGTTCTGCTTTTTTTGTACTTGATCATTTTCGATTTTTTTTTTTTTTCACTCTATTCTAACTGTGCTTAACTTTCAGGCATGGATCTTGTTGTTCATTCTGCTGGTCCTTTTCAACAAGAAGAGAAGTGCAATGTTCTAGAAGCTGCTATTTTCTCTAAGGTGAGAATCTTTGAATCTATGCTTGCTCGTGTAGTTTCAATTCGTTCCTTTTAAGGATGCTCCAATAAGTTACTGTATCTGCTAAACAGACGACATATTTAGATGTATGTGATGATACTAACTATGCATGGAAGGCCAAATCTTTCCACGAAAAAGCTGTAGCCGCTGGTGTTACTGCTCTGACAACTTCTGGAATCTATCCTGGAGTAAGCAATGGTATGCTAATTTCAGTATTATTTATATCATAGTTTCTGAATAATATGAGGATTCAGAGGTTTATTAGTCACGCAGTTATGCTTTTAATCCAACTTAACAAAGCCTGGCAGTCATCCTTGCTATATGTTGACGGCGTTTGTATTTTTGAATAGATTGTGCAGCATAATTATAAGTAGCTATCCGTTGGAATTCTTAGGATACGGCACCATGATCTCCTTCCAATACAAATTAAAATAAATTTTCTGATGGTTATTTCTCTGTTTCATGATCACCACAGCTCTATTTCATCTTTTATATTGAACTGGTACACAATGAATATTAAAAATAATTCAAACTAAATAGGGCTAAATCCCAAAATTGTCTACTGATTATTCGTATGTGATCATTTTAGTCCAAGTGTATTATATTTCTCCAATTTAGTTCCTTACAACAACAACAATAACAACAACAACATCAAGCATTTATTTCACTATGTTGGGTCGGTTACATGAATCTTTTTTCTCCATTGTGCCCTGTTAAGGGTCAAATTCTCATTTAAATCTAATAAAGAAAATCATTCTAATATTTTCTAATCAAGTCTTTTTAGGTCTATCTCTATTTTTCTTAACATAAGCCAAATCTAATACATTTACTCTCCTAATTAGGTCCTCCGTTTTATGTGACCAAACTATTTAAGGTGACTCTCTTTAAGCTTATCTTCCACTGGAGCCACAACAACATTTTCACGTATATGCTCATTACGTATCTTGTCTCTAAGAGTAAAGCCACTCATCCATCTGAACATCTGCATCTTTGCAACACTTAACTTAATATTATACTTCTTTTTTAATGGTTAACATTATGCACCATAAAGCATTGACCATCTTATAGAATTTTCCCGTAAGTTTGAGGGGGACTTTTCTATTACACAACAAGTCTGATGTATTCATCGACTTCAACCATCCAACTTGAATTCTACTAATAATATCCCCATCTATTTCACGATCACTAAATTATGATCGATTGTTTATAGTCATTTGACTAATTGGGGCCAATTTTGTATTACAATTTGGACATGAGGAACCAATTTTGTATGACAAGAGCCATGATAGTCTCCATTGAGAAGGCATTATTTGAATGCTTTGGTCTCATTATATTGAGGAAATGGTGGAACATGTCGGAAATCAAATCATCGCATTCATCTAACATTAAAAAAAAAAGGAAGAAAGATGATTGAACCTTGGCAACTTTGCTGCTTTGAAACTCTCTTAGAAAATTAATTGCCGACACATCATCCAATTTCTAACAAGCTCTAAAAATCAACCTAAATTTCCCCTTTATTAAATCATCATCATATGTTGTGTTGGTGCAATCGTTCTTGTTATTTTACTAAGACAATATGTCATTGCAGCTTTGGCATTCTTATATGAGTGCCTCCGAATATGCTTGGCAATTAATGCCTTCATTGCAAATTGAAGTGCATTAACATAGTTGGAGTTAACTCTACTAATACTACAACAACAACATCAAGCCTTTGTCCCACTACATGGGGTCGGTTACATGAATCCTTTTTCGCCATTGTACCCTGTTAAAAGTCAAATTCTCATTTAAATCTAATAAAGAAAAATCATTTCTAATATTTTCTAATCAAGTCTTTTTAGGTCTACGTCTACCTTTCTTAACATATCAAATCTAATACCTCAACTTTTCTAACCGGGTCATCAGAAGGCCTCCGTTTAATGTGAACAAACCATCTAAGGCGACTCTCTCTAATCTTATCTTCCATTGGGGCTACTCCAACATTTTCACGTATAAGCTCATTTTGTATCCTATCTCTAAGGGTAAAGCCACTCATCCACCTAAGCATCCTCATCTCTACAACACTTAACTTAGTATTATGCTTCTCTTTTAATGGCCAACATTCGGCACCATAAAGCATTGTAGGTCTCAACGCCATCTTATAGAATTTTATCTTAAGTTTGAGGGGGACTTTTCTATCGCACAAAAATCCCAATGCATTCCTCCACTTCAACCAACCAACTTGAATTCTGCTGATAATATCTCCATCTATTTCACTATCACTCTGAACAATAGATCCAAGGTATTTAAAATGTGAACTCTTATTAATAACTTGATCGCCCAAAGTCACAATCTCCTCACTAGGTCTATTGCTACTAAAATTACACTTCATATATTCAAATGATAAGAAATTTTAAACCTTATTAAGAAGCTGGTAAAGCTATTGTAAGTCAAATGGACAAAAAATAAGCTTATTCTCGATGTCTTTAAGCTTGTACTTAGAGCTTTAAATTCTTAAGATGACATTTACATGCTTTTAATTGGGATGGATAACTTATGGCTCCAGGTACTTATAATGTCCAAAACTAAAGGAATCCATAGGATTATGCATTTTGGAATTACCCCACTTCAAAAAGTTGATGCTATATTCCTTGACATCAAAGCGATGAAAATGTAGAGGTTAGTGTAGTAGCTAAGGTTTGCGATCCAAGCCTCTACCTCCACATCCCTCATGCTGGTGAACCAAGATAACCACAAGTCCTCCCTTTGCTGAACCCCAAAACCTCTCGCCGCCAAATGCCCCACGCGCTCCAAACTTCCCCTCACCCTTGCATCTCTATCTTGCAAACGTAGAGCCAAATCCGATTACATCTCATCCCTCACATCCTCATTAAAATCAACCACTCCACTACTTGCATCATCCTCACTTAAAACATCCCAATAGCCATCTATCACCAAACCACAATGGCAAACTTTTCCCACATAAATAGCCAATGTATTGTTGAATGTGTCATTATAATTCACTCTCATATGATCTCTTGCCCGTTAGGGCATGACTCATGACCTCTAATTGGTGATTTTTCCGCCAAATGACACCGCACATTAATGGTTATGAATAGGGTTCTTTGATAGAGTGGTTTTGTTGCAAAATGGACATTAAATTATGCCCTCCCCCAAAGCCTTCCAGTTCTCCAATAATTGAAAAATTTTGTAAGTATTAAATCATGAGATGCACTTGATAAAACACAAAACTATCAGTTAACTAAGGTTGACTTGAGTTTCTCCCCCCTTGGATAACCATCCACCTCGGATTTATATGATTTTCTTAAATTAAATAACTAATTGTGCAAACAAGAATCTTTCGATCAAATTAGGTCTTTGATTAAGTTGACTAGGGACCATAACAACTTGGGATGACGGAGCCATGAGATCTTAATCAAAAGTTCTCTCTTATCATTGGGTGGGATAATTGACCATAGAGATTTGAACCTATAAAAAATTAGAACCAAATCATAAAGCCCTCATAAAATGAAAGTGAAATATCTATAGGTAGTATCTTATCTTCAATCTAACATGACTTCCAAAATGTTGACCCATAAAACACCTAAACTCTCACAATAGAACTGAGGTGCAAATTTTTGGAGCCATTCCTACAAAATGTCTCCAAATCCCAATGCATATTATTTGGGGTTCCAGATAAAAGTATAAGATTAAAAAATTACAAATCACAAAAAAATTATTGGGAAACTAATCACTTTAAATTTAGATCAACAACCATCTATCCTATGCAATTGCTCGACTAAATTTAAAGTGATTAGTTTCAGCAAGAAGAACTCACTTCATGTCAACATATTGTAATAATTTGGATGGAGTGTAAATTGAAGCTGCTATAGGCGTGCTTTTTTACTCCAAGAAAAGTGCAATTTAACTATATAAGCATGAGGCTGCAGGTTATTTGTTCCTCCATAACCCTTTTTGGTTGATTTATCAAACTTAAGCTATGTATAATTTGTCCGCATGTAATCAAATAATTCTAATATATGCTTGCTATATTTTTGTTTCAATCTGTATTGATTATCTACGTTTGATAGTTGTAATAATCGTCACTATGGATTTATGACATGCATATTCATGGTAAATTTTTAAATTTGCGTTAGATTAATACCTTTATCCATTTTATCTATGCTAAATTTGGTGTGTTGCTTCTCTTTTCTAGTATAAGCTTGCAATTTCTGAGATATTGTCCTGTATAATGGAAAATTAAAGTCTTAGATATAAGGGGTACTGATTAATTGATATGATAGCAAAAATACACCATTTTGATTATTCTACCGGCCTACTATATTTCCTATTTGAATGCTGCAAACGATTATTGTATTATTGAATCTAGTCAGATATATGGCTTAGAATTTCTAGCATGGTTTCTTCTATGATATTAACATGGTGTCTCCCTTCGACAGTAATGGCAGCTGAGCTTGTTCGTATGGCCAGAAGTGATAATATTGGTGAACCAGAAAGACTAAGGTTAGTACTATATTGAAGTGTCAGGTAACAACAGATCATGATTTAGTGGAAACCTTTTATTAGTCCAAGGAAATTAATGTGGATTGAGTTGTTCATTTTTCTTTCCAAAAGAAACCATAATGCCACCATTGGCACTTCTTTATAAGAAAAGATAATATCTACTGTTTGGAACTTATGTCTCTTGTTTCTTAGGCTTCATTTGATGCTACGTTTTTGTTGTTTTGTTTTTCAGAACTCTAATATATCAAAATTATGACTTTTGAAAAAAAAGCAAGAAAGAGCTTTATATTTCATCTGTATCTCCTCCATGGCTTCATGATCAAAACATGATTGTACAGTAGTTGATCCATCTTTTTGTGAGTGGTGATCATTTTGTTTTGTATGGCATAGCAACGCAACAACAAAGCATATCCAAATTATTCTCATGCACCAATGTCTTTTTTTCCAAACAATTATATTAATTAAAAAGACGTGACAGTTCTAATCAAACTAATCTTTCTTGAATTGACGTCAGTTTTAAGGTCATGAAAGAAAATATTATTAAAAGAAATGTTTCATATATTATGTATTTTTCTAGTCAAAGAGTGCGGGTAGAGTTGTAGGACACCAACCATTAGTTGTAGAGTGCACTAAGTAATACTATATGTGGATACAAAGATATGCTATTTTTCTGAGGGCACATCATGAGTTAGAAATGATAATGATGGAGTCAGCATGCAGTGAAGAGCGGTATTGCCACCCTATGAGTTGATAGGAGCCCATGAAAAATAATGGGGACGCCGTGAATTATATTGATGATTATTGAAAGACAACAAAGACAATGGCTACACCATCAATGATGATGAAAACACAATATGCTTTTAACTAGTTGGGGATTGTGGCCCAAATTCTAGTATCATTAATGCAAGAAACATGAATGCTAATGAAACATAACCATGCCAAGGCACATGATGTTTGTTTGGATCTATTCGCTAGAATGAAATCACAACAGTTCTCGGAAAGTACAAATTTGTTGGAAGTCGAGAATTGGTTAATGCAGATGGAGAAGGTTTTCAATGGCATGTATTATTTGCTAGGGAGGATGAAGGTCTTGGGGGCCTACATGACGACCAAGGATATTGATCATATATGGAATGCTTGATGACACATTAGCTTATAAACTGTATAAGTACCACTATATCTTTTGAAGAGTTTGCCTATGCTTTTCGCAACAAGTATAGTGCATCAACAACGAAGGATATGTTGGCAGGGCAGTTGACTCGACTTGTCCAAGAAGACATGAAAGTTGCTAGGTATAAAACAAGGTTAATAGAGCTTGCTTTTTTTATTGTAAAAAATGTTATTGTCGGAGGACCAGCATTTTTGTCTCTTAAAGGGGATTTTGGGATTCCCTCTAGCAAAAAATGGTATCATTACACCTCAAAGACTTTGAAAACTTGTAGGAGAGAGCAACATTTGTAGAGAGCGTGTCATAAATGTCAATGGCATGCCTACAATACTATTTGCTTAGCGCGACGCATTAATTTGAAGTATCACACATTAGTTGTGTCATGAAAGAGCAATACTGTTTGGTGCAAAGCGCAAATAACACTTGTAATTTTATTTAAAGTAATTTTAATCTTAATTTTTATTTAAATTTATTAAATCTATCTTTTAATATATAAATTAATATATCTAATAAATTAAGATGCCTAACCCTAACACTAAATTGACACCCACACCTGCATAGAATAGTTGGCATTCGTGCAGAAGAGTTTAGAAGATGGAGTTGTGCGCACAGGGTTCTATCAGGAGGTTAGGTTTTGATTGAGAAGTGCTGGCTTGGATCGGAGATTCCTAGGCTTTGATCAGAGGTTCTTACACATCCATACAGAGGAGTTTGCACACACACGGAAGAGTTCGTAAGAGGGAGTTGTGCGTACAGGCTTCGATCTAAAGGTACAGGTTTAGATGGTGTTGACTTGTATCATAGATTACAGTAGTTCCTAGGCATCAATCAGAGGTTCCTAAACATGCGTTAGGAAGAGCAGTGCACATGTGGTAGAGTTTGGCAGAGGGAGTCATGCATACAGGCTTCGATTGAGAGGTGTAGGCTTAGATCAGACGTTATAGAGGTTCCTAGACTTCCATCTTCTCAATCGGAGGTTCCTATATGCATTGATTGTGGCATCGAAGGCAACTACAGTGCTTGGAGGCAAGCTATAGCATTAAGAAGGTACCTAGAGGTTTTGATCGGTTTGATCGTAGGTTCCTACAACCTTCGATTGTGAGGATTGTGAATTTGTAGGCAATCTACTGCATTACAAGGTTCCTATAGGCTTAAATTGGTTCAATTAGAGTTTCGTACACACTTCAATTGTGACGATCGTGACTTCGGAGGCAACCTACAACATTCAAAGCTTTCCTACAACAAGCGTGATGATGTCAAATAAGTTTGTGGCGGTATCTTCAAGAGAAGTTTGGGCTGAGCTTCATTCTGAACTAAAGATTTCTAATAACGCGATTTGCAATTGAACATGATTATAATATTTTAAATTTTGAGAGAATGAGGGGTCGATTACTTGAACTTAAATATCACTTTGGTTATTTTTATTTTTATGATAATTTATCTTTCAATTTAATGGTATTTTATATTAATAAATATATTTATTCATAATTATTTTATATTGTTCATCATATTTAAAATGATGTGTGTCACGCTGTGCACTATGTGCTATGGCTTTATGGGGAGCTTTACGCCATAGTATGTCATTCGTCGTTGATAAATATGAGAGCGACACTGGTTGTGAATAAACAAAAGATGACCCAAGTGCGACTCTAAAGAATCAGGGTAAAATTGATGTTCAGGGTGGTCGACATTAATTACAGCTAAATATGAAGTTGATGGGGCAGTCAATATGCTCAAAATGTTGAGTGTGCAAGTGAGTAATGCATTTCCAATACCAAATAGTACAATCGATTCAAGAGTTTGGGCCATTTCATACAAGTTCGCTCATTAGGTGTAGCATTGACTCTATGGAATTGACCCATCGATAGGAGGCATGACTATTGGCTGCCCAGAACACACGAGAATTCAAGCCAATTGGAGTAACCATGCTGCCAGGGGAAACTTGACAATTCAAGTTTAAATATATTCAATTAATCACCATGAAGCTTAAGAGATTTAATGATTGAATTTGATTCCCTTATTCTATGTGAAAAATAAGATGAGAATTCAAACCTAAATAGATAGAGAATTCAAACCTAAATAGATAGAGAGATAACTATTAATGAAAGAAATAAATATGGAGACCAGCCTTTAATTTTGAAATTTAGAATTAACAATATAGTTAAGATGGAATGCTATTGTCCACGGGTTTTTGGATTGCTATAGAGGGAAAATTGTTGTTGATGGATTATTAGATTATTGTAAGTGGAAAGCTAGAGTCTACTTATTGTTGGGTTGTTGTAGATTGAGTGGTGTTGGCCATAGATTCAAGATTATTCCAATATTCATTTTATTAAATGGTTTTTCTTATATAGGATTGCAAACAATATGAACATGAGTGAGTTGAGCCATGTTCACGCTAGGTTCACATAATCTTCCCCATATTTGCATCAGTATGTAGATTATTCTTGACCCTTTTCATTAAGCTTGGCCCACTTTTGTTCATGAAGTTTGTGAGCGACTTTTTAATGCGGACGAAAGATCCACATGGTTATGTTTTAAAGAATATCTTAGAGAAAATAAAGGAAAAAGGAAAACGTTAGTGCATTGTTCCTCATGCTAAATCATCAGTTTAAGCTCACTTGGAAAATCAGAGAATAGAAAAAGAAAAATACAAAAAAAAAATATATATATATATATATATATATAAAACAGGAAAGAAAAAAGAAGGTTTTGGAGGATGACCTTTACTTCTAGCTTTACAAATCCTTGAGGAAGAATTTAAACTAAATTCATTTTCTTCCATATGCAGGAAGCACACTGTCATTTTTATAGAAGAGTTTAGGCATCACATGGTTATTTAGGATTTAGAGTTTCTTTCTTGGAAAATTTGAATGGCACATTGTAAACAAAAACAGCACAGTTTTGTTCTGTTATTCTTTCTTGGAAAATTTGAATGGCACATCGTAAAATAAAACAGTACAGTTTTGTTCTGTTAAAATTTTCTTATTATCTCTTGCTTGCTTAATATAAGGTGGTGCTAATGATACAAGATGTCAAGGTCCAAACAACAATAATAACAACATCAAGTCTTTATCCCATTACCTGGGGTGGGCAACATGAATCTTTTTTTTCTCCATTGTATCCTCTTAAGAGTCAAATTCTCATTTAAATTTAATTACAAAAGGTTATTTCTAATATTTTCTAGCGAAGTCTTTTTAGATCTACCTCTACCTTTTTTAACATAGGCCAAATCCAATAAATCTTACTCTCCTATCTATCGGGTCATCGGAAGGCCGATATTTTATGTGTCTAAACCATCTAAGGCAACTCTCTATTCTTATCTTATCTGCCATTGTAGTCTCCAACCTTTTCACGTATATACTCGTTTTGTTTTCTATCTCTTAGAGTGAAGCCATTCATCCACCTGGGCATCTTCTTCTCTGTAGCACTTAAATTAATTTGATGCTTCTCTTTTAATGTCCAGCATTCCGCGTCATAAAATATTGCAAGTCTCACCACCATCCTATAGAATTTTCCCTTAAGTTTGAGGGACACTTTTCTATCACAATTCACACATGATACCCGATGCATTCCTCCACTTTAACCATCCAACTTGAATTCTACTAATAATATAGCCCATGTATTTCATCATCACTTTGAACAATAGACCCAAGATATCTAAAACATGTACTCTTATTAATGACTTGATCGTCCAACATCACAATCCCCCTACCCCTACTAGATCTATTATTACTAAAATTACACTCCATGTATTTGGTTTTAGATCTACTCAAATAAAAACCTTTTGGCTCTAAGGTTGACCTCCATAATTCAAGAATTCCTTTAACTCCCTCTCTAGGTTTATCAGCAAGAAGAATATCATCAATAGTAATGCCCAACTAGAAATTGAAAATTTATTAACGGTGGAATCATAACCATGCATGATTTTATCCTGTTAGAACAGAAGGTTGGTGTTCGACCACAAATTGTAGATTAAAAATACTTTTACTGCTTGGCTAAAAGAAACTGACCAAGCATGATTGTTTATTATCATTCTTGTTTTAGACACAATAGAGAAAAAGTATTCATATAGCCTACCCCATGTAGTGGGATAAAGGCTTGATGTTGTTGTTGTTGAACATAAATATAGAACTGCTCAATTTTGTGGCTCTACATGGTCATGTTTCAAGTTTCATGTTCAAATATGTGGAGTGTAATGAGCATGGCATCTCAAATGCTTGCAATAATAGCCCACAAGTTAGCTAAAATACTCAGAAAAACGAAAGCCATTCTCAATTTTATAAACTTTCAATGATTTGATTACCATGACACAGCACTGTAAAAGCCTGCGTGGTCAGGATGCATCTTTATAGTTATTAAACTCAACTAACTTATATCTGAATTCTTGAGTTTTTTGTTCAGCATCAATTCTAATCTTTGTCTCTCGTACTTATGGGAGCCCTTCAGATTTTTTTACTACACCGCAGGTTCTGGTGGTGCTGGGCCGACAATATTGGCTACTAGTTTTTTGCTTCTTGGAGAAGATGTCTTGGCATATAATAATGGTTTATTTTCTTTACTAATATCTCTGTACATGCCCAAGAAAAACTGGAACCTGACCTTGGCATTTGCTCTTCCTGTCAGGCAAACAAATTAAATTAAAGCCTTACAGTGGTATGCTGACTATTGACTTTGGAAAAGGGGTCGGCAAAAAAGATGTATTCTTGCTGTAAGTTCTCCAAAGCAAATTTGAAGGCTTATTCAGCCAGTAGAAGCAATGTGGACTCAGTTTATTTACATTCCTATACTCTTTCTATAGAATTAGGTTTGTATTTTGATGCACTTTTAATATACATTCTTGACATATATATACATTTGTTTATGCTACCTATTTATTCTCTAAATGCAAGAATCTCAGAAGCTTTTTGTTTTTAACCATTCTCTAATTTAGCATTGAATGTGAAGAATTATTGTTTCATCAGGATTTTTAGGCCCCAATATATTGAATATAAGACATAGTAATTCATAATCAAAAGCATAGAGCAGGAAAATATTTTATTATATTCATCTTTCCAACTTTTGATGCACAACTCTGATACAATTATCCAGTCAAATTCCAACTTGACTGATATTATCATAATCTGGATAATAATAATAATGATAGGATAGCTTAATAGGAAGGATATGGCATCCAACCATTGAGCGCCATGACAAGCTGATAAATATTCTTCTGATAATTCATCTCCATTTCACATTAATCCCATGTATTATATATATATATATATATATAAGTTCATAAATATTATTCTTATAAGATTTCTTTTTCCTATTAATTTGTCCGAGGGATACAAGGACACATCTATCACACATCAAACTTAAATGATATTTCAATCAACAATATGCCCGCAAATGGCTCATCCATCAGCTAAGATTAATGATTTTTATGCACAAGTGTCACAAGGTTGTCTTATGTTCATGACATTCTTCTGCAATAACATTATCAATTAATTACCAAGCTACGAACCACTCATGCAATTAATGGCATGTTTTGCAAGTTTAGTTATTTGTCATGTAGGATAGCAAATGGGCTCACATAAAGCGGCATTCTCATATGCAGCCCTTTTTTTGGACTGTCTTTCACCCACCACAATGTAAATATGTCCAAACAACAACAACAACAAACACCACAACGGAAATAAGTCCCCTTAAACTAAAATTTAGGAACCAGTGACATTATGTTTGAATTCTTGTTATCCCTGAAAGGAATAGCATGGGTCAAAAATCCTCATAACTCAATAAAAACCATTATATAAAGTCAATATTGCCATCTAGTAAAGTATAATGTGAGATTTGGTATCACTGCAAGGTTACAAGCTCCCAACCGGTCCCTTGAACTGCCACTGATGTTATGGTGCTTAAAACCGTCAAATGAAGCATATCTCTTCTTGCTTTAATATATATATATATGATCTAGCCTAAACATTCAACATTTCCCTTGAGTACATTTATAAATTTATATCATAGAACTATTCTCACCCTCATAAGATTGTTAACTCAATATTATTATAATTATATGATGACAACGCACATTCAAATGCATGTATGATCGTACTCGATGTTAAAATATAGGAAATCATATGAATGTAAATATCAGAATTCAAGACTTGGATTAATCATAGAATTGGGCTGGATTTTCAATGAAATGTTCTTACCTTAGCATCCATGCTAATTGATCTTTGATCTCGGTTTTACCAAATTTTTTCTTGTTATTTAAAAACTTCAACTTTCTTCCAAAACCTAAAACTTTAGCTTTCTCCCAAAAGCTCCTGGCAACCATCATTATAAATCTCAGGTTGTTAAGGGTTTTAAGAGACTAATAAATTATTTAAGATTTTTATCTCAATATTAAATTATTAGATCATATCATTTTCCTATTAATCTACAAATTCAGGATATAAAGATTTTTATCTAGCAACTTCTGATAAATGCCTACAAAATGTTATTCTCTTTGGTCTCGAGTTGGTGCATAATAAATTAAAACTGGACTTAAAAAATAATAATAATAAATTAATGGAGTTTTTACATACATAACGCTTGAAACGAAAATATATATTTAACACTCAAAATATTGTATTTACTAATATACCACCTAAAACATCTCTTTTTCTCAATTCTACCACTCCGTTTGCGCCCCGTCAATCGTTCGAGGGAAGGAAATCGTCGAGCAGTTGAAGCTTCATAATTCTTTTCTTGTCAAATGCAATTTGCGCAAAAGGCATCGACCTGTGGTGTTTGAGCGCTTCGTCCCTTCTCATTTCCTCTCTTTCTTTTTTCCCAACCCTCTCCGTCAAAAATTTCGCCTAGCGTTGTCTTCCATTTCGTTCGCGGGAAGGAAATCGTCGAGCAGTTGAAGCTTCATAATTCTTTTCTTGTCAAATGCAATTTGCGCAAAAGGCATCGACCTGTGGTGTTTGACCGCTTCGTCCCTTCTCATTTCCTCTCTTTCTTTTTTCCCAACCCTCTAGCTTCACCAGGAAACCCCTACGCCGATACCCTCCAAGTCGATGTCGCCCATCCACATCGAATCCTTCTCGTCACCTGATTGGGTATTTTCCGCCACCGTCGGCTACTTCGAGCTTCTCCTTTTCTTGTCATCTCCTAAACTTGCCATCTCACACCTCGTCCTCACCAAAGGAAATGATTCGTTGCCTCCTTCAAGGGCAGATGATGCAGCATGTGAAATTACCTCCCTCTGATCAAATGAATGGCTTCTATGCCAACAAAAACACGGCAACTGACAAATACTACAAACATTAGGAGGGTCGTTCCTGCCACAGTATACTTCCAAGTGTTCTTGCTTTTGGATGAGCTGGAGCTTGAATTAACTGTTAGCGGATTTAGCTGTACATTTATATACCCTAGCAATAACAATGAAACAGAAAAAAAAATTGACTTTCTTAGCGGATCTAGCTGAAGAAGCATGACAAATGAGAGAAATTTCGTTACCTTGCCGACAAGATCGCTTTCAATTTGACAACAACAACATCGTCGTCTAAGGCGGAGAAGCTCGGAGCGAGCGACTCTGTCCGAAGCACTTAGGCCTCAACAATGAAGAAATGGAGAAAATGAAAAAGCAAACCTAAAGAACGTGGGAGTCGAAGGCACGAAAAAACCTGCATAAGCGAAGGGAGATAGGAGTTTTAACTGGAGGTAACAGAGTGTTATTTTAGATGAAGAGAATGGTATTTAGGTGGTAGATAAGTAAATATTATAGTTTAGGTGTTAGGTATGTAAATAGAATAGTTTTAGGCATTGTTTAAAATTGCTTAATGTGAGGCCCGCCTTTGCGCAATTCCAGTGAAAAATGCCTCGAGGCTTACGCCTCGAGTTTCTTTTATGAGGTTTGCGCCTCAACTTTGTTGAGGCCTGTCTTGAGGCTCGCCTCGCCTCACTGACATGAGGCTTACGCCTCACCCTTTTTTATAAATTAAATGTAGATAAGTAGGGAGCTAAGAAAGAAAGAATTTGAAGTTTACTAAATATTATATGATAACTTTATGCAGTTTCTATATTTAATAATTTTTTGCTTATGTAATATTTGTATTTCAATTATATTCATGCAATTTATCACCAAACACTTTATGTATAGTGCAATTTTTTGTTTCATATGTCATTATGTTACTTCGTAGTTCAATAGAAAGATAATATGTCATCTTTTAACATATTATTTAGGTATTATATAAAAATTTACTTTTAACATTTATTTGCACTTAACGCAATATTTTATTTTTAGGCTTACGCCTCACCTCATGAACAAAAAGCGCCTCAATACCTATTTGCGCAATTTTAAACATTGGTTTTAGGTGTTATGTATGTAAAAATCCCTAAATTAATTAGTTAATTAAAACTGGACTCATGTATCATCAAATGTGTCAGTTTTACTCTTTTATAGAAGTTCAGATACACAGAATTGTATGCCCTTGTCATTTTTGGTCCCAGGAACATTTCATTTTCCATTCTGTTTGCATGAGTGTTTCATTTTTATTTCTGACGCAATAATTTATCATATTGCTCATCTTTGGCTTTCATCCTTATTTTCTTCCTTTCCCTCTTCATTTTTTAATACCAAGTATATATTGGCTTGTTACTAAAGAACTATGCTCTAAAATTGGAGCTTGCTTTATAGTCCCTGAAAAACCATAACTAAGACGTTGTAAAATCTGAAACTTTAAGATGTAATCTATATCATTTTTATTTTGAGACATTGTATACACAAACTTATACAGCCATTGTAATGTCAGAATTTGGACTTTACATGCTCATATAATAGAAATCTTTTTAATACTTCGAAACCATGTTTTCTTTGTTGAACTGAGATCAAATTTACCAATTTCCTTCTCTAGAACCACAGATAAACTTGACATTTCAACATTTTATTCCTTATTTTAGTTTCTTGTTTAGAATTAAAATGTTTTAGTTTATCACCTAACTGAACTATGGCTTTCAGGAACTTGCCTGAAGTTAGGAGCGCTCATGAGATCTTAGGAGTACCTACTGTCAGTGCTCGCTTTGGTACAGCTCCGTTCTTCTGGAATTGGGGAATGGAAGCTTTAGCAAGTATTGTTCCTGCTGTATGCCCATATCTTCAATCTAGTTTTAGTTGTCAAAGAAATTTTTTGTTCTTATATTTTGGCGATTGTTTTGAAATAAATGTGGTATGCAGCCATATTCTCCTTGCTTAGTAAGCATATAACAAACATTTATTCCAACATTCACTCTTTCTCCAGAATATTCTTAGAGATAAGATGAAAGTGGGTCAGTTGGTTCGATTATTTGATCCTTTTGTACGTGCCATTGATGGCATTGCAGGAGAACGTGTATCAATGAGGGTAAGTTTTTACATGGAGCATTTACTAGTGAGAACTAGGGAAATGTTCTACTTGCATAATACCGGACTGATTTCCTACATGTGCTCGGTTAATAAAAAATCATAGATGAAAATTTTTTGGATTTTTTATAGGTGGACCTCGATTGCACCAACGGACGGAGTACTCTTGGATTGTTTACTCACAAACAACTCTCCGTGTAAGTTCTAGATCTTAAAAGCTCTTTTTCACCTAAGAAAAGTTCTCTTAATGTCAAAACTATTATCGCTTCTGCAAAATACGTTTTGCTGGAGAGTGCATATTTTTTAACAAACATGCAGGATAGAGTAAGGCTTTGTTTAGTCTGGTTAGTTTTTTAAAAAAAGAGTAGTTTTGATTTATATGAAAAATATGCTTAAAAAATCATCATTATGTATTTTCACCTTCTGATTGACTTAATGGGCATATGTACTTTTGTAGATGAACTCTTCTTTTTTTTTTTTTTTGGATTTTGTTGATTTTATTTCATATATCATCATTAACCTTATCCTAACTATTTGGGTTGAATTTGTAATGTCTATTTTTCATTTGTTCTTGCTAAATATTGCTTGAGCTCATAAAACTATTTTTGTACATCTTTTTTACAATTTGCTTCCTAATATTGCAAGACAACTATTTATTTTTGAACAACTAGACAACAATGTGGGATTAGCGTGACCATTCCGAACTAAGAATAATAAAGAAATTTGTAAATCTAATATTCAAATATGCAAGCTTGGTTTACCAAGCATTCAAAACTTAAATGTTAGTGGCGTGCAGGTTATCCTGGAAACCTTTCAGATGGGATGCAATATGCTGGAATATTTTCAATTAGCTGAGACGGAATCAGCCGGTATGAAATCTGATGGAGCCAACGACTGAATGTGCGGAAATCTGATGCGAGCGGATGGTAGGATGGATTGTAGGATGAGAAAGAACTTGCGGTGGCTTATGCTTTAGTGCAATGAGAGTACCATTTGTTTAGGTTCTTGGAAATCCTAGAAGGGTAGGCACCTTTAGTAGGTGTAGACTGAGACAATGAGGGAAAAGAGAAATTATAATTTTTCATTCCATAACCTTTTCTTACAATAGGAGGGGTATTTATAATATTTGGATAGACCAAATTACAATATAGAACTGGTCTACCTAACACATTTAAAATAGAATAAAAAAAAGAAATTAGTACTTATTACATATGTATAGACTTTTTAGTTTCTACTTTATTTGATTAAAGATATATTGTTGTCATTTGCTTTTTGTAGTGTCAATGTGGAATGTTTTTTTTATTCCTTTGGTAGACTTTATGCTTGTAGGTTGGTCTACCATATTTGTAGCTCATGTTTCACAATTTGATTGTATCATTTTATGATCTAATAATATTTGTTGATGTCTAACAATGTTACATTCAAAATTGAAAGTAATTAATAACTTAAATATTCTTCTATTATCTAGTGCACTAGTGATATTCTGCACTGGGAATGGATGAGCTGAAAGCTTGCTACTCAAAGTTCTGAGAAATGCCCAGTCTAGATTGTTGCACTTGCTGTATTACGGGATATAGAACTTGTTCTTTCAAATAGTTTGAAATCTTTTTGGAAGTAGGCAAGGAACCATTCTTCTCTGCATGATACAATCTTGTACCACTTCACATAATGAACTTCAATTTTCGATAAAATAAAGCGAGAGGATCATCATCTGTAAAACTTTTATGCCTGCCATGTAATACCGTTTACTATTGAACGAACACTATGGTAAGATAAGGTTCTACCCAAAGAATCAGGCAAAAACCTTAATTGAGCAGAATTTTCGACTCACAATTTGTTTCCTAATACATAGACAGTAAACAATCCCGCATACAGGTTCTGGCCAGCAATACGACTTCAAAGAAATCTCAACCTTTCAGCCAAGATAGATGGGAAAATAGCTAGTCTAACTCAAAGGAAACTTGATTTTATTACAAAAAAATGAAATATATCTGTTGTCATCAGTCCTGATTCAAACCGTGAACAAATTTCTCTCTCTTGCTTGGTCCTTGCGGGTCACAAACCTTCCAATTTCCGCTTACAGCATTGGATAGAAGTGCTGGATAAAATTCCAGTAACCTGCAATAGACTATATAGAACCTAGTGTAGATTAATGATTCCAAGAAACTTCAAAATTTGACAAACAACTAAACAGTGAAAGTATTGAGCTAAGTTCCATGGATATTTTTGTTTTGAGCCATCCTCTAAGTTTTATGTAATCTTCCTTTTTTTCGTTGTTGTTTGTCTTGCAACCTTTTTCTTGTAAATCGCCTATCTATGCTAGCTTGATCTTTCCGCATAGATCGGGCATTTCTATTTACCTCAAGATGCTAACACCTTTCATTATTATTTGTATAACTATATTATTTTGAAATCTCTATTGTTCTACATGGTGCATCATTGCTTATTATTTCTCTTAACAGATCTGTGGGGAACGCAACCGCTGCATTTGCCATGGCACTTCTGGAGGGCGGCACACAGCCTGGTGTTTGGTTCCCAGAACAGGCATCTTCTACACATTTCAAAAGTGTACTAATTTACATGATTGTTCTTTCTTGTCTCAGTTTCTTGCATTTTATATTATGCAGCCTGAGGGAATAGCCGTGGAGGCTAGAGGGAAACTACTTGAGCGAGCAGCTGAGGGAACTTCCAACTTCGTGATGAACAAGTAAGGCTTCGTTTGGGATGACTTTCTTATTGTTTCTTAAAGCAATTTTTTAGTTAAAAAATTTTAATTTCTATACTTGAAAGCTGTTTTAAAAAGCAATAAGAAAACCGTCCCAAACACAACCTAAATCTTTCCAGCTGAATATTCTTTCAACAATCATAATCTATATAAGATGTATCCTCTGTAGTGTAGAAGAAACATCATATTATTGATCTTTGTTCCTGAATTTAATCAGGCAGCCTTGGATGGTGGAAACTAATCCAAAGGAGGTTGGATTGGGAATTTATCTTTGAGGATGATTGTCTCATTATCGATGGAGTTTGAATCTGTCAATTAATTTTCGCTAGATCAAATTTATGCTAAGCTGCAAGGAAGAGCAAGGAAGCAATAAATAAGAGAACAATTAAGGATTTTGTTATGACTACTAAGAAAGTATAGTATTGAGCAAATAATTCGAATGTGTCATGATGTTATTCTCTGCCCTTTTATATATAGAATAAGAGAGTTGTGATTAACTTGAGATGTTGCTCTGAAGTTGCAAAGCATGTAATCCTTGATTTCATTTATGATCGATTTTGAATGTTTGAAGGAATTTGTATTTGCCTTCTAAGCTGACTTGGAATTTGAGAAGTCAAAGATTGTCGAGAGTATCACCGAGCTCTATCTTTTTTGGTGATATAAAAAGAATTCATATCGGTGATGATGTAGATATTTGTTATTCTTTAGGTATGAAATAAGAATTGACCAATTTGAAGCATGAAGTCTTGCTTTTATAGGAAGTATTACTCCTCATAAGCCAATTCACTGACCGTGCCAAGTTCTTATTGCATCACTTGATTCTTCACGAATCAACTCATGAAATTCAAAATAAGTTCCAATGATGATGCATAATATGCTAAGTTTGGCACAAACCATAAGTCTCGTAGCTAAATAGAGAGCACAAAGACTAGACTTTGAAATCCTTTGGTCGACTATGATTTCCAAGGATGCACTTGGCTGGAAAGAGAAATTCTAGTGTGCATGCAAACCAAGGTGACTTAAGGCTCGCATATTGGAGAAATTATTACCTACGGTCATCGGATCTTTCGGAGATGAACCAATCATCCGATACACAGCAAAATGGTGATGTGTCGTGTTCTTATTCGCTTCCGGATGACGTCCAGTGATCGCACGTAATAATTTTTCCACACAATGAAATAATGTCTAATCAAATGAAGTTATTGATTCAAATTTTATGTGTCAAAGGGTTATAGGTCAATGAAGTAGAGAGCGTGTGTATCTCAGATCTTAAATAGATTAAGATAACTTAAGATGATATGTATAATTTATGAAGATATATAACTAAGTATATCGATCGCTGAAATTTTAGAAAAAAAAAAATTTCAGTGTGGTGGCACGGTGGGGTCTCAGAGGGGGCAAATTATTGCATCATTTCCTTACTTTTAAAAAATACATAAATTTGTAGAATTTTTTAATTTAATTTATATTTTCTTAGCCTAAAAACAATAATAACTTTACATTTACAAAATTTTTGCTTTGTAATTTTCTGTATCCTATAGAGATAGAGATTATTAATATTTTGTTGTTTTTTTTTTTAATTTTACATAGAGAATTTTGAGAATTATGCTATTTTAATTGATTAGAAAATAATCCTAATTCTAAAAAATAAAATTTTAGTACAATTAAAATCTTTAAATAGTTTTCAGAACAATCTCGAGTTACATTATGAAATAGTGAATTTTTGCACAACAGTATTCCGCTGACTACTATTAAGACATTTTGGTAATTTCTAAAATAATTTTATTTACATTCATGTTTATGCAAAGCAATGACTTATGTGCATATCTGATTGAATTGTGTGATTTGAGGAGGTCTGGAGTGGATGAAGGAAGTTATATTCTGATGCTAAATTCATTTTCTGGTGTTATATGCACACTCTATTATATTGTTAGAGGGACAAGGGTTAGAATTATATGAATTATGTCTATCGGAAGTCATAAGGGTCAAAATTCTCTACATTCTGTCTATTGGAAATCAAAATAGTCATAATTCTCTAAATTTTGTTTGTTGTAGGCATAAGGGTTAGAATTCTCTAAGTTATGTCTAATATGACGTATTAGTTTATTTCTTTTTCTATAACTATTAGTTAAATTCTTGATAACTCCAATTAATATTTTACTCAGCATAATTAGTTATTATGTTGCTTTTAGTACTTAATTAAATACTTAATAATAGATTCATTTGAAAACTTATATTGGTAAATATGGTATGCTAAGTTTTATTAGCTCACAGTTATTTATCCTTCTACTTTGAGTGTCTAAGAGTGGGAAAGAGCCAATTGAGTAGCAGTTTCAGGATTTGATATGAGCCTATATAGGTATTTCTTTTTCTTTCTTGAATTTTATATAGTAATGCTTTTAATATGCTCTGCTATGTATTCTGGTTTGTAGTCATATGTTGTGGTGTAATTATTGTATATTTATTTTGATAATAAATGAAAAAGAAAAATTTGTGGATGAGTTTATTTTTAGGACAATAGATGTTGTTAGTAGCTCTATGATTGTTGTTTGTTTTAAAATTAAAATTGGACGAAAATTTTAAAAAGTTTTCAAAACTTAGACCCTCGAGTTGGTCAGTTGCAAACCAACATGATAGGACATATTCCATCTGTGGGTATTATCAGGTTAGGATGTGACAGTAGCCGTGATAAACATCTCCTAAACAATCCTATAAAGAATAAGCAAGGTATGAATAACCTAAGTATCAGAAGTACATCCAAAAGTGGGGTTAACATATATGCTTAATATCTCTTTGATCAAGTTAAATTGATCATGTTTTGGGTTAGACAATGAATCATGCTTAAATCAGTTAAAGAGAATTAATTTGTCATATAAAGGTTGCTAAGTATTAAAGATGGCTATAATCTCAAAATAATGATAGGGTTTTAGTTTGCAAGAATTTGACCCAAACACATCTATAAAAGCTACGAGAGGGCTTACTAAGGAGACCATGTATAACTTTGAAGGTCGTTTTGAGGATAGACATTGGTATCCATCGACATTGTAAAGATTAAAAGGGAGTCAATATCAATGGAAACCTATCACACTACAGGAGGTTGAAGAGATCGTCCATTTGATGCTGAAAGAGCTATAAAAACAAGGCGCTCTTAAAAAAACTTTAGATTGACGATGACTATGATGATGATGAGTAAAAGTTTTTTTAACTTCATTTCAAGTTTGTTGTATATGCTTCTTGTAAAAATAATTATAGGTGGATTGCTTTTATGATTATTTTACTAAATTATATCTTTGTAACTGAACTAACTTGATCTTCACTTCCTTTTTTTTTGTGTGTGCGTGTGAAATGAAAATCTAACTTTGCTTTGTATTGACATTTTGTGAAAATGTATACTTGATATGGATGATCGTTATTTTGATTTGAATATTGAATTGAGTAGGAATATTATGTAGGTCTTTAAGACTTGTATTGTGATTGGCATCAATCACAAAGATTCATATTTGGAGTTTATTGGATTGAGATCTTAGCCTTAACATTTTATCACAGTCTATATATGCGATCATTATGTTGATCGTAATTATTTTGCAACAAGCTTTTAGCAACCAATTTTGGGATGCTTGAAACGATTGTAAATATGAGTTTTTGACATAGTCCAAATGCTAACAACCGCACAACAAGTTAAAGATAAATCTTTTAAAACTAAAGAGATAATGTAATAGTCCATATTTTAACATAGTCTAATAAATTTTTTTAAGTTATTATAATTACAAATCACAAATATTCTTTATCATAACATAGATATTATAGTAATTTAATTACGCAAATTTTTTCATAATTTTTTGACACTGATGAAAATCCTTAAGAGTTTCAACAAAAAAAAGAGTTCATCTATATAATTACATATTAATTAGAATATGTTACCAAAAAAATATGATATAAGTGGGTGTAGGATGGTTGGGATTGCTAAAAAATTTTAAAATTAAGAGAAAATTTATGTATAAGATGATAAATATCATTAATTGTAGGATTGAATTGAGATTTAATAAGATGATAAATATCATTACTATTTCTTTGTTATGGTACTGAGGAAGCTATTTATAACAATTGGTGGTAGGAGAAAAAGATGATTAAAAGTATAGCTATCCTTAATTAAAAAATTTGAAAGGACAACAAAAAATGGCAATATCAAAGAGAAGATTTATTAAAATAAATTTTATTTTGATTTATCTTTTTATTTTTATCTTTGTCCTTCCACTAAATATAGGATCATATATATGTAATTAGGTTAAGCTTCTTCCTCACCACTTAGGTTTAGCAACCAAGCAAAGCGCCTCTTTCTTGTGTCTTGCAACTCCAATAGCCTCCTCCATATTGATATCTTCAGCCTTTATTCCATTTGGTATTGACCAATCAAAACAATGGAGGAGATTGGCCAAGGCAAGTTCGACAATCACCATCGTGAAGTTGATCCCTGGGCACTTTCTCCTCCCGAAGCCAAAAGGCAACAACTCAAAATCATGTCCCTTGAAATCAACATCCATTCCTTCAAATCTTTCAGGTAAAAAGTCGAGGGGGTTCTCCCAAATATTTGGGTCTGTGGTAATAGCAGCGGCGTTTATGATAACTCGTGTATAAGCAGGGATCGTGTATCCTTGGATTTCACATTCCTGGATGGTTTCACGTGGAATCAAAGGAGGTTTTAGTCTTAGTGATTCCTTTATAACTTGTTTGAGGTATTCAAGCTTTTCAAGTTCGCTTTCTTGGATGAGTCTGTGTGAGTTTCCATTGGTGGCCTTTTGAAGTTCTTCTTGTAATTTCTTCATTACTCTTGGATTTCTTATCAGCTCTATCATTGCCCATATTATTGTAGCTGATGATGTATCTGTTCCAGCTATGAATGCTTCCTGATCATTAATGTATAATATCACCAATATTCAATATAAATTTCCTAGCTTTGGGAAACTATTTTAATATTAAATTCGTAATTATAGTCCAATAATTATGAGTAAATAGAAAAACTAATTCAATTACAAAGAAAATACATAAAAAACAAAAATATAAAAAATATAACATAAATAATACACAAAAAAAAAATTATTTTAAGGAATTACAATTTTAATTTTTGTTACAATGAAAAAACTTAGGACAAAAAGTATGCTAAAATTTTAAAAATGTTCCTAATAAAATAATGTAACATTTCTTTGTGATGAAAATAAAATTTCATGATTTAACAGCAATAGAGTCATTTTAAATCATAGGGCAATCGTAAAATACAAAGAGGTTGTTTGGTTGGCTAAAAATGAAATGCAGTATAAAAGGAATACTTTGAAGCTGCTTGGATGGGTGCAATGTATATAAATATATGTATTTTTTGTTTTGTTTGAAGTAAAATGAATGAAGTATAAAGTCCAAAGATGATGTCGGAGACTAGTGACGAATGACTGCGGGTGGAGGGCTTGTGGTGGGTGGTGGCTGGTGACTGTGATGGCCGGTGGTGGGATGGCCAGCGGCAAGTAAAGGCAGTTGGAGGCAGGTGATGGCCGGCGGTTGGTGGCGCCGACTAACAGTGTTGGTTGGCATGTGAAGACGGTGTTCAAGCGAGCTTACTTGCAGTGTAAATAGTTGTCGCTCAAAATCGAGCTAGTTTAGGTCAAAAATGATTTACATTATATTTATTTTACTTTACATTCATTTTTCTTCAAACCAACCATCAATATTTTAAAAACTCTTACATATAGAATATTTTATACTCACTTTACCTCAAATCAAGCATTATGGGTGTCAATATTGGACCTGACCCGAATCTGACCCAAAAAAATTCGGGTTTGGGTTAACCCAACTCGAAGCGGGTCGTGTTCGGGTTGACTCGGGAATGTCCCGAAATGACCCAGAAAGACACATAAACCCGTATGCCCGGAATGACCTTGCCTTGCCTGCCCCGCGTATGCCCGGAATGACCTTGCCTTGCCTGCCCCACGCCCGCCTGCTCGCTTGCCCCGGCTGCCCAACCGCATCGCGCCGCGTCTCGAGGCCATAGTAGCGTCACATCCGGCCTCAGTTCCGCGTCTCGCGTCAGTTGTCGACGTTAGTTCTGCGTAACACACTCGCGCACGTCCCGCGTCAATTCCGCGTAGCGCGTCCCGCTTCCGCCGGCTTCTACTACCGCTGGTCGTCAACCCACTGCTGTCGCTGGGCAGTTGCGCTTCAGTGGCCATGTCCGTGGGTCGGTTCGGTTTGACCCAAACCTAAAGCGGGTCGGGTTCGTGTCCATAAAATCGGCACGTTTGCAAAAATGGGTCTGGTCGACCCGAACCCGAATAGTGCAGGATTAGTTTCGAATTCGACCCAAATTCGACCTGTGACTCAAAATTGACACCCCTATCAAGCATACACAATCTTTTTGATTGAAGAGCTCGGGCTACTCGTCAACTTCCGGTAGGACCCGACCCGACGGTTCCATGATGGCTTCCCTGCACATTTAATGAATGCAACAAGTTCTGAAGAAAGAATAAAGCATGTATGGCCCATAAATTTCTCCGATTCTGATTTTTATGTGAAGTCAGATATTTTACTATTTATTTATTTCTCACCGGTTAAAAACATAATATATATATATATATATATATATATATATATATAGACACACACACATGATACGTTATCAAAAAATTATCTTGATCGGGCACGAATCTCGATGCAAAATCAAGTTGGAAACTTCCAAAATTAAAATTAGGACCATCCGAACTCTGATTTCAGCAAACTTACAGTCGAATTGAGCGTCTCCGAAATACGAACCCAACGACACCAAAATCGACTCAATCCGAGTCCAAATGGATCCAAATCAAGGGCCCAAAGCACTGTTGGAGGGATCAAACCACTATTTGGATTACTAAACGGTTTCCAAACATTACGTTCTTATAGTCAAATCAAGCGGCTCGACGAGTCGAATCCAACGAGCCCAAGATCACAGAATTCCTACATCACTAAGACCTTCAAATGTCTGACAAACGGTTCACAATCAAGGGATTCAATATCGGCCGTCCATCCAACCACTCCCCATTTACCCTTGATCTCTCATCTATTTATGGGCTATGTCACTCCTGAAATTTATAAATAGACCCCTCATTTTTCTTGAAAGTGATCCAAGCAAAAATAGAAGAAGAGAAGAGAATGTAGAAGAGAAGGAAGAAGCTACTCCTCGACCATCGCTGGAGTTTCGCCATATCACCACTTGAGGCCCTCGACCTTCCGGACCACCACTAGAGACCCTCGCCTTCACCGGACCACCGCCTGACGTTGTTGCTCCGCCAAACCACCACTTGAGACCCTGTGCTCCACCAGGCCACCACCTGACGCCCGAACTTCTGCCGGACCACCATCTGAGGCCCGGACTTTTGCTAGACCACCACTTGAGGCCCTATGCTCCACCAGGACACCACCTGACGCCCGGACTTCTTTCGGACCACCATCTAAGGCCCGGACTTCTACTGGACCACCACTTGAGGCTCTGTGCTCCACCGGGCCACCACCTGACGCCCGGACTTTCGTCGGGCCACCACTTGAGGCCCTGAGCTCCACCAGGCCACCACCTAACGCTTGGACTTCCTCCGGATCACCACTTGAGGCCCAAACTTCTGCCGAACCACCACCTGAGGCTTGGACTTATGCTAGACCACTACCTGACGCCCCGGACTTCTGCCAGACCATCACCTGACACCCAAACTTCTGTCGGACCACCACGTAAGGCCCGAGCTTCTATCGGACCACTACCAGAGTACTGCCCTACTACTACGGTCTTTCGGACCCCTATATTCTACTAACTATGGTTCTTCCGACCTCCGTCGTCTACTACAGTCTTTTCAACCTACATCATCAGACAATGGTCTTTCTGACCCCACTCTCCTACCAACTACGGTCTTTCTGACATCTATCCCATCGACTATGATTCTGCCGACCAAACAAACATGTATATGTAACTCCCATAATGTAATGTGCTCTATAGTATGTATATTTGTGACATCAAGTCAAGGCATTCTCCTAAGGTGGGGCCTCATTTCTAATCGACTGCAAATACTAGTGGATTCATTCAAACTGGGCCAAACCCCATGATTTTTTCCCCTTTTCAGGGGTTTCCACATAAAAACTTTGATGTCTCTTATGAATATTACACCCTCTCTCTTATCTGCATGTGTGCTGGATCTTTGTACAACGATAAGACATTAAACTATATATTTCTCTACCGCCGCGAATACTCCAGGACGCAATAATATATATATATATATATATTTCTCTTGTCTCCCTAACAGAATTTTAAAAATACTTACCTTTTAAATATATGAAAGTAAATAGAAAATAGAGAAGTTCAACTTTTTACAACTAAGATAGCCTTGACATGGTCTATGTTACTCAAAAAACCTCCATGAAGGACTGCAGCTTTATGGAGCCTCAGCAAAACATGCACCAAATCCTTCTCCTCCTCACCTCTTATCTCTTCTTCTTTTTCTCTCATTTTAAGATGCTCATAAATAACTCTATCAAAAAATGTATTCATCTCCTCAAAATTCTTTTCCATCCTTCCATGAAATCCTCTTAATCGATCAATCCATTCCATCCCAGGAAAGAAATCTGCTACACAGAAACCACCAAACAAGCTTTGAGTCTCTGAAAGTAGCTGATGAAGCCATACTCCTCCTTTTCCACCATACCCCCCATCTCCAAACTCATCACCAAGCGCCGCTCGACAAACCACATTATTTGTGAATGAAAGCGTTAACTCGCTCAAGTTAGCTATTGAGAGATCTCTGATAGTGGCTACGAGCTTCTCCACTTCTTCCCTTCGCACGGCTTCAAAAGATCGAACACGACGAGAGCTAAGAAGCTCGAGCATGGCGATCTTGCGAGCTTGGCGCCAGTGGTCGCCGTAGGGAGCAAAGGCGATGCTGGAGCTGTTGTATAAGAGCTTCTTAGCTACGGTGAGAAAAGGGCGGCCGGAGAAGGTGAGGTCATGCTTGGTGAAGATTTCCTCTGCTATGTCGCGGGAGGAGACGACAAGGGTGGGGATGGAGCCAAGGTGGAGGAGGATAAGAGGGCCATGCTTATTTGAGAGGCTGATGAGGGAGCGGAGAGGCTTATTGGGATTGAGAAGAAAGAGGTTACCGACGATGGGGAGACGCCATGGACCTGGAGGGTCCTTCTTTTTCTCTGTCTTATTAGTTTTTGCTAGGATGTTGAGCAAGAGGGAGGAGATGAGGAAGATGAGGAGGAGTTGGAGGTAGAAGAAGGTTTGTTGTTCCATAGTTATATCCATGCAAGTATACAATAATAGGTTTTAGATTTGGCATATATGTATATATACAAGTCATGTACAATTCGGTTGATGAAAGTCAAAGCAAAGGTGGTCAAATGGAGATCTGACGACCGGCAATAAAGAAGAGGTCTGGCAGAAGTCTAATAGCGACGATCAGCCAAAGATGGTTTGCTGGCTGTTGTGCTCGGATGGAGCTCTAGGATTATTCAAACTTCAGAGCTCAATCTCTTCAATCTCTAGTCAAATGTCCCCCTCATTTAGGGAGTTGGGCTTATTTATAGATTTTTAGGAGCAACATGCCCCATAAATATGGGGGAAATCTAGCACAAATACAGAGCATTTCGTCGAACGGCTCTTAATGATTCCTCTAATTATAGATCATTTTTTCAGCAATTAGGTGCTTAAATGATATCAAAATTAAGTGATCTCGGACTACTTGGATCTTTCTCGTTGAGCCACTCTATTCAACAATAAGCATGTCAAATTCAAATTTATTTGATTACCTAATTTATGCTTTGAAGTTTTCAAAAATGCTTCTGGTCATTAATTTTGGCTCAGTTGGGCTCATATTTGATCAATTTTTATGTCGTTAGGTTCATCCTGCCAAGACGTTCAGTTTGATTATAAATTTGTCGAAATCAAAGTCCAAATGGTCCATAATTTAATTTTGAAAATTTATAATTTAAACATATGTATTAAGTTTTGTGCCCAATCATAATAATCTTTTGTGACATGTCAATCTTATCACACAACTTTGCCTTAACAATTTTTACTATGGAAAATATACGTTTAGGTATCAAAAAATATAGGGTTAAGATTTATTAAGATGATAAATAATTAATTTTCTCATCATTATTAAATGTTGATGTAGATCAAAATTAGTAGAGATATACTTTTTTTTTTAATAAGCTTCAATTTTAAAATGCTGATCATATTAATTAAATTGTTAATATACATTTTCTTGATCCTTGAAATCTCTTAAGATAAAATTTGTGTGCACGGTGATGAATATTATTAATTTTGAAGCTCCCATTACAAGCTCTAGAGCTGCTAATATTAGGCACTACAAGGAGAAGAAGATGACTAAAATATGATAAATATATGATTGATAATAAATTTTATAATTTAATTATATTAAACCATAATTTTATATTTTAGTTTAAGCTAATAAAATTTTTAACATAATAAATAATAATAATTATTGTACTTTAAAGACCTGTTTGGGATAACTTTCTCGCTACTTTGCATTTTTAAAAATCATCACAATAATTTTTTTCTACTAGTGTTTTCTTGCTACTTTCTCACCATTTCAAAAAAAAAAAAATGGATGCAGAAAGCTGCTTTTTATAATCAACGTCACAACAAACTTTATAGAAATTTCCGGCCTTCCCAAACAGAAGCTAAGGTTTCGTTTGGGACGGCTTTCTTACTGCTTCTTAAAGCAGCTTTTTAGTATAAAAATTAAAAATTTTGAAATAGAAAGCTGCTTTAAGAAGCAGGAAGAAAGTCGTCCCAAACAAAGCCTAAATTTCAAAGCTAAAAGCACCCTCAAGTCTCTTTATTCCACCACAGATATGAATCTTAGGTCACTCACTTGTAGCAATATCTCCATGCCACTTCTTTTTAATAGAGACAGCCCAAATGCTAACAACAACACAACAAGTAAAGATAGATCTTTTAAAACTAAAGAGATAGGGTAACATGCTATATTTTAACTGAGTCAAATAAATTTTTTGGAGTTATTATAAGTACAAATCACGAACCTTCTTCCTCATAACATAGACACTATAGTGATTTAATTACATCAATTTTGTCATAATTTTTTTGTACTGGTGCAAATCCTTACGAAATTAAGACCTATCGGTACAAGTGAGGATTTTAATTTAGACCGTTGTGTTTGTTTTGCAAACCGATTTCATAAAAAAAAATTAAATAAAATGAACTATTTTATAAAAATTTTGTATAATTTTTGAAGCCCTAAAAAAATTATATGAATTTTATATTAAAAATTAATTAAATTAAATTGTCGCATTAATATTATATTATTATATTATTATAAAATATTTCAAGTTATTAAAGCTTTTTTATTCTCTTCCTTAACTATGCTAACATAGAATCATAAGGAGAAATAAGAGGAGAGAGAGAAATAAATTAAAGATTTGGAGATCGTAAAGTGATTTTTGTTAGTTTGAACTCTTGGGAGATTTGTTCATCACCGCTATAAGGAATCATTACACTATTTCTGATTTCAATGATTTTATATATTTGGTATTTTTATGATTAAGTTTATGTATTTGTTACCGAAAACAAGAATAATTTTGTATTGATAAAACATTCACTATGTAACTATTTATATGTTATAGAGATTGAGATTATAAATATTTTGAGTATTTATTTGATATTTTTTGGTAGGTGATTTAAAAAATAATAATTTTTATCAATTCAAAATTCTATTTTGACATCTAAAAATAATGTTTTAGTTCAATTAAAGCTTTAGAATATTTTTACGTATGATCTCTTGTAATTTAGTAAATTTATGAAAATATGAATTTTTGTTCATTAGGGTTTTATGTTGTCTGCCTTTAGTACATTTTGACACTTTCATAATTAAGCCTAATTATGATTTACTACAATACATTGAAAATGAGGGTGAATATGTGGTCGTTATTAATATTATAATATTATAATAATAATGTGTGTGTGAGAAAAAATAAGTAGATTGGTTATTCACTTACGTTAGTTGAAGACCGATTTACTTGTACATGATGGTTGGCCGACGGGCTTTCCTTTAAATATGTGATTTGATATTATTCTCGATTGATTCACATGATATACTAATTGGGAGGTATAAAGAGATGATTATTGTGTCAACGGGTAAAGAATGATGACTCTATTTACTATGCCAACAGCTTACTGATAATGATACAATACTAAAAAATACCTCTTAAACTAAAACTTTGTACTTGTTTAGTGTGGCAATTGAAATGCATATTATTGAGGTATTATTTTTATTTATGTATGGATTTATTGCTACTGCAAGTATTTACTATTAGTGTATTATTTATTAGTACTATAACTAGATTGTTACTGATATAGATATCGATAATATTTGACACTATTGATTCACTGTACTAATACTAATTAAGCATGTGAAATACTAAGCATATAACTAATTTTATGCTGAAATAAAATAACCAGATAGTACATGTACACTCCTCTATAATTTTATCTCATTGATATGATTTTGACAGACTTTAATGATGCTTTGGTTTAATCGTTTTATACTATTTGTTTACTGATTGATAGAACTGCTACGACGATTGTTTTATCAATTCGACACTTGTTATTGTTTACTAGTTTTTCTATTGTATTACTTTACTGCATTTTGTATCTACTATTTTACTGTTTACATATTCTACTTTGAGTATTTATTTGATATTTTTTGGTAGGTGATTTAAAAAATAATAATTTTTATCAATTCAAAATTCTATTTTGACATCTAAAAATAATGTTTTAGTTCAATTAAAGCTTTAGAATATTTTTACGTATGATCTCTTGTAATTTAGTAAATTTATGAAAATATGAATTTTTGTTCATTAGGGTTTTATGTTGTCTGCCTTTAGTACATTTTGACACTTTCATAATTAAGCCTAATTATGATTTACTACAATACATTGAAAATGAGGGTGAATATGTGGTCGTTATTAATATTATAATATTATAATAATAATGTGTGTGTGAGAAAAAATAAGTAGATTGGTTATTCAAAAAAAAAATGGATGCAGAAAGCTCTTTTTATAATCAACGTCACAACAAACTTTATAGAAATTTCCGGCCTTCCCAAACAGAAGCTAAGGTTTCGTTTGGGACGGCTTTCTTACTGCTTCTTAAAGCAGCTTTTTAGTATAAAAATTAAAAATTTTGAACTAGAAAGCTGCTTTAAGAAGCAGGAAGAAAGTCGTCCCAAACAAAGCCTAAATTTCAAAGCTAAAAGCACCCTCAAGTCTCTTTATTCCACCACAGATATGAATCTTAGGTCACTCACTTTTAGCAATATCTCTATGCCACTTCTTTTTAATAGAGACAGCCCAAATGCTAACAACAACACAACAAGTAAAGATAAATCTTTTAAAACTAAAGAGATAGGGTAACATGCTATATTTTAACCGAGTCAAATAATTTTTTTAGGAGCTATTATAAGTACAAATCACAAACCTTCTTACTCATAACATAGACACTATAGTGATTTAATTACATCAATTTTGTCATAATTTTTTTGTACTGGTGCAAATCCTTACGAAATTAAGACCTATCGGTACAAGTGAGGATTTTAATTTAGACCGTTGTGTTTGTTTTGCAAACCGATTTCATAAAAAAAAATTAAATAAAATGAACTATTTTATAAAAATTTTGTATAATTTTTGAAGCCCTAAAAAAATTATATGAATTTTATATTAAAAATTAATTAAATTAAAATATATATATATATATACATATATATATTATTATAAAATATTTCAAGTTATTAAAGCTTTTTTATTCTCTTCCTTAACTATGCTAACATAGAATCATAAGGAGAAATAAGAGGAGAGAGAGAAAGAAATTAAAGATTTGGAGACCGTAAAGTGATTTTTGTCAGTTTGAACTCTTGGGAGATTTGTTCATCACCGCTATAAGGAATCATTACACTATTTCTGATTTCAATGATTTTATATATTTGGTATTTTTATGATTAAGTTTATGTATTTGTTACCGAAAACAAGAATAATTTTGTATTGATAAAACATTCACTATGTAACTATTTATATGTTATAGAGATTGAGATTATAAATATTTTGAGTATTTAGTTGATATTTTTTGGTAGGTGATTTAAAAAATAATAATTTTTATCAATTCAAAATTCTATTTTGACATCTAAAAATAATGTTTTAGTTCAATTAAAGCTTTAGAATATTTTTACGTATGATCTCTTGTAATTTAGTAAATTTATGAAAATATGAATTTTTGTTCATTAGGGTTTTATGTTGTCTGTCTTTAGTACATTTTGACACTTTCATAATTAAGCCTAATTATGATTTACTACAATACATTGAAAATGAGGGTGAATATGTGGTCGTTATTAATATTATAATATTATAATAATAATGTGTGTGTGAGAAAAAATAAGTAGATTGGTTATTCACTTACGTTAGTTGAAGACCGATTTACTTGTACATGATGGTTGGCCGACGGGCTTTCCTTTAAATATGTGATTTGATATTATTCTCGATTGATTCACATGATATACTAATTGGGAGGTATAAAGAGATGATTATTGTGTCAACGGGTAAAGAATGATGACTCTATTTACTATGCCAACAGCTTACTGATAATGATACAATACTAAAAAATACCTCTTAAACTAAAACTTTGTACTTGTTTAGTGTGGCAATTGAAATGCATATTATTGAGGTATTATTTTTATTTATGTATGGATTTATTGCTACTGCAAGTATTTACTATTAGTGTATTATTTATTAGTACTATAACTAGATTGTTACTGATATAGATATCGATAATATTTGACACTATTGATTCACTGTACTAATACTAATTAAGCATGTGAAATACTAAGCATATAACTAATTTTATGCTGAAATAAAATAACCAGATAGTACATGTACACTCCTCTATAATTTTATCTCATTGATATGATTTTGACAGACTTTAATGATGCTTTGGTTTAATCGTTTTATACTATTTGTTTACTGATTGATAGAACTGCTACGACGATTGTTTTATCAATTCGACACTTGTTATTGTTTACTAGTTTTTCTATTGTATTACTTTACTGCATTTTGTATCTACTATTTTACTGTTTACATATTCTACTACTACTGCATATGAGATTTATTATTTTTGCACAGATTCATAATCATATACTATTACTATTATGATTTGATTGTTGACATGCATATTGCTCTTTTTTCATGCTTTGAGTTCAATTGTAGGATTTGGTTACTTGATGGGCTCTTGAGCTCATTATATTTTGTTAAATGATTTCAGGTCATGACAAGGAAACAAGAGTGAGAGATTGACCATGATCCTTCAAGTTCATATTCTTGTTATTTTATTTATTCTTTTATACTCAGTACATAATAATTATAATCTGATTGTATATATCATGAGTAATATATTTAATTTTTGAGAAATAAATATAGATGTTTTGATTGATAGTTTTATTTTCGTTGGTATTTATATTGATAAAAGAAATTAAATAGCTCTGATTGTTATTTATTAAAAAATTAAAGAATAATTCTTACAAATAAGATTCTAGGGCGTCACAGGTAAACCCTAAAAGGCTAAAATGCCACTTATCCCTAATTCAATCAATTTAAAAGGCAAAAAAAAAAATCCAAATGAAAACATTACAGAAGATTAGAGAAAGATTCTAGGGCGTCATAGGTAAACCCTAAGATGATAAATGTCATTAATTTTGAATAATTGTAGGATTGAATTGAGATTTAAGAAGATGATAAATATCATTACTATTTCTTTGTTCTGGTTTTGTAGAAGCTATTAACAATTTGGTGGTAGGAGGAAAAAGATGATTAAAAGTATAGCTATCCTTAATTAAATAAATTGAAAAGACAACAAAAAAAACAAATGGCAAGATCAAAGGGAAGATTTATTAAAATAAATTTTATTTTGGTTTATCTTTTTATTTTATTTTTTTTCCTTCCACTAAATATATGATAATAGATATATTAATTAGGTTATGCTTCTTCCTCACCACTTAGGTTAAGCAACCAAGCAAAGTGCCTATTTCTTGTGTGTTGTGATTCCAATAGCCTCCTCCATATTGATATCTTAAGCCTTCATTTTGTTGGTGTTGACCAATCAAAATAATAGAGGAGATTGACCAAGGCAAATTCAACAATCACCATTGTGAAGTAGATCCCTGTGCACTCTCTCCTTCCAAAGCCAAAGGGCAACAACTCAAAATCCTGCCCCTTTTAATCAACTCCACTTCTATCAAACCTTTTAGGCAAAAACTCAATTGGCTTCTTCCAAACAATTGGATATGCAGAAATAATAGTAGCAATGATGAAGATAACTCGTGTTTTGGCAGGGATTGTGTATCCTTGGACTTCACATGCTTGAATGGTTTCTTGTGGAAACAAAAGTAGGATAGGAGGTCTTAGTCTTAGTGATTCCTTTATAACTTGTTTGGGGTATTCAAACTTTCAATATCGCTCTCTTAGATGAGTCTGTGATAGTTTCTTTAGTGGCTTGCTTGAGTTCATCATGCAATTTCTTCATCACTCTTGGATTTCTTATCAACTCTTTCACCATCCATGTTATTATAATATTATTGTTGATGATGTATATGTTATCGCTATGAATGCTTCATGATCTCATTCATGCATAATATCACAAATATTCAACATAGATTTCCTACTTTTGGGCTACTATTTAAATATTAAATTGATAATTAGAGTCGGACAATGATGAGCAAAAAAAAAACTAATTCAATTATAAAGAAAATACATAAAAATTTTACAAAAAGAATATCAACACAAAAATTTTACTTTAAGAAATAACAATTTTAATTTTTGTTACTACCAAGACAATAAAAATATACTAAAGTTTCAAAAAATTATTAATAAAATAATTTGACATTTCTATATCACTGTATGATAAAAATAAAACGAAGCCTTCGGCTTAGTTTGAGATAGCTTTCTCATTGCTTTTTTTAGACTTCAATCCTAATTTGTGTTTGGCCATTTCTTTTTCTCTACTTTAAAAAAAATGTAATAGAAAGTTGCTTTCTTTAATAATTAAAAAAAATTACTTTCTCTATTATGTTCTATTAAAAGCCAAATTCTAAATTTAAATGTAATTAAAAATATATTTTTTTAGTAATTTTTAACCAAGTTTAGGTCCTCTATCTTTCTTTAAATACATTGAAAGGCCAATGTTTTATGTGACCAAATCCTTTAATGTGACTATTTTTTATCTTATCTACAACTAAAGCTAGTCAAAGCTTAGCACATATATACTCGTTTCGAATCTTACCTTTAAGTCTAAAGCCAACTCATCCACTTAAGCATCCTTATGCCTACAACACGTAACTTAATTTTATGCTTCTTTTTAATGATCAATATTTTGCATCATGAAATATTGTAGGTTTCATTCTTATGTTTTATATGAGACTAATTTTCTTGCTACTTTCTATAGCAGTTTTCTAGTACGAAAATTTCTTAAAAGCACCGGCAAAATAGCTGCTAAAAGTTGTCATGCTTCGTTTGAAACAGCTTTCTTACTGCTTTATTTTTCCGACGTACAACCACTTATTTGTTATCATAATTTCTACATGCTTTTAACTTCTCTACCGAAGCTATACCGCAATTTCTCAGAGCCAAACAAGAAAAGTCATGGCAGACGATTAATTGGAGGATTTGGATGGTTCAAAAACTGGTACTCTCACAAAATTGACTACCAATAGCGGTGGGACCCCTTATTAACTTCTCTTATAACAATGTACGGCCTCTTTTTTGATATTTTTCATACTATTTTCTAAAAAGCTATTTTAAAAAATATTAAAAAAGCTGCCCAAACAAAATCATCTAATTATCTATATGTGATCAATTGAGTCCCAATGTTTCATATATTTTTTTCAATTTAGAACGTTTTTTTATTGCTTTTTAAAATAATTTTTTAGTACAAAAATTAAAATTTTTGTACTAAAAAATTGTTTTAAGAAGTAATAAAAAAACTGTCCCAAATAAAACCTTAATCTCTCAATTAAATAAAATGATTCCAAAATAATCCCTCTGGAACTAACTTAGGATTAGTTCTTTTATTACAATTTAAGCATGAGTAGTTGATAGATTAAATTAGAGAAATCTGATAGTTTAGGATTAGATTGGTCACATATGAAGAGTTTGGCAATTAGTTTTGGATTTAGCTTATTTCATCATGCATGTCATCTTATAAACTTAACAAATTCAAAGAAAAAAAAATACATGCTTTTGAGTTTTGAGTTCATCTATATAATTACATATTAATTAGAATATTTTACTAAAAAATTATATTATTAGTAGGTGTGGGATAATTGGGATTGCTAAAAATTTTAAAAATTTGAGAAAAAAATTATGTCTAACATGATAAATATCATTAATTTTGAATGATTGTAGGATTGAATTGAGATCTAATAAGATGATAAACATCATTACTATTTCTTGTTATTGTCCAGTGAAAGCTATTAACAATTGGTGCTAGAAGGAGAAAAAATTATTAAAATATGATAAATATATTATTAAGAAAAATATATGATTGATAATCATTATTTTGGTTTGAATAATTTTTAAATATAATTTTATATTTAGGTTTAAGATAAGAAGTTTTTAATATGATATATAATATCAAGAGATTTACTCTAAATTTCATCAGTACTAAGAGCTCATCAAAAGTTATTTCACATTTTATCTTTGGTCATTCTTATATAGCAATATCTCTATGATATATATATATATATATATATTAAAGCGCTGAAATTTTCATAATTTTTTCTAAGTTATATTTAGAAACAATAAATTCAGCTTGATATGACAATATGATAGCTTAATTTCAAGCTTGGAATATCATGGAAAAATATAGGAACATACATAAATATATAATTAGGTTATGCTTCTTCCTCACCACTTAGGTTTAGCAACCAAGCAAAGCGCCTCTTTCTTGTGTGTGGTAACTCCAATAGCCTCCTCCATATTGATATCTTCAGCCTTCATTCCATTTGGTATTGACCAATCAAAACAATGGAGGAGATTGGCCAAGGCAAGTTCAACAATCACCATCGCGAAGTTGATCCCTGGGCACTTTCTCCTCCCAAAGCCAAAAGGAAACATCTTAAAATCATGTCCCTTGAAATCAACATCCCTTCCTTCAAATCTTTCAGGCCAAAACTCGAGGGGCTTCTCCCAAATATTTGGGTCTGTGGAAATAGCAGCGGCGTTGAAGATAACTCGTGTATAAGCAGGGATCGTGTATCCTTGGATTTCGCATTCCTGGATGGTTTCACGTGGAACCAAAAGTGGAACAGGAGGTTTTAGTCTTAGTGATTCCTTTATAACTTGTTTGAGGTATTCTAGCTTTTCAAGTTCGCTTTCTTGGATGAGTCTGTGCGAGTTTCCATTGGTGGCTTGTTGAAGTTCTTCTTGTAATTTCTTCAATACTCTTGGATTTCTTATCAGCTCTGTCATTGTCCATGTTATTGTAGCTGATGATGTATCCGTTCCAGCTATGAATACTTCCTGGTCATTAATGTATAATATCGCAAATATTCAATATAACTTTTCTAAGTTTGGGCAACTTTTTTAATATTAAATTCATAATTATAGCCCAATAATTATGAGTAAATATAAAAATAATTCAATTACAAAGAAAACACATAAAAAAATAAAATATAAATAATATAACACAAATAATACACAAAGAAGTTTTATTTTAAGGAATTACAATTTTAATTTTTTTTACTATAAAAAAACTAAGGACAAAAAAAACTAAAATTTTGAAAATGTTCTTGATAAAATAATGTAACATTTCTTTGTGATGAAAATAAAACTTCATAATTTAACAACAATAGAGGCATTTCAAATTAGAGGGCAATCGTAAAATACAAAGGGATTGTTTGGTTGGCTAAAAAAGGAATACATTACAAAAGTAATACTTTGAAGCTGCTTGGATGGGTGTAAATTATATAAATATATGTGAATGTATTTTTTTGTTTTGTTTGAAGTAAAAAGAATGAAGTATAAAGTCCAAAGATGAGGTCAGATATCGATGATGGCCGCCTGTGGGTGGAGGAGGGCTTGTGGCCGGTGGGTGGTGGCCGACGACTGTGATGGATGGCGGTGGGTACGTGGCAGCAGCCGACGGTAGTGGCCAACGGCAAGTAAAGGCGGTCGGAGGTAGGTGATGGCCGGTGGTTGGTGGCACTAACTGAAAGTGTTGGTCGGCATGTGGTGGCAGTGTTCAAGTGAGCTTTCTTGCAGTGTAAATAATTATCGCTCAAAATCAAGTTAATTTATCTCAAAAATGAACTAAAAAGATTTACAATATATTTATTTTACTTTGCATTCATTTTTTCTTCAAACCAAACATTAAGATTTTCAAAATTCTTGCATTTAAAATATTTTACGCCTACTTTACTTCCAATTAAACAACCTCAAAGTCTGTTTGATTGGAGAGCTCGGGCTACTCGTCAACTTTGGGTAGGACCCGACCTGATGGTTCCATGATGGCTTCCCCTTCACCTTTAATGAATGCAACAAGTTCTGAAAAAAGATTACCGTATGTATGGCCCATAAATTTCTCCAATTATGATTTTTATGTGAAAGTCAGATATTTTGCTATTTATTTATTTCTCACCGGTTAAAAACATAATATTTATAAACAATTTAATTTTCTCTTGTCTCCCTAAACAGAATTTTAGAAATACTTACCTTATAAATATATGAATGTAAATAGAAAAAAAATTAGGAGAAGTTGAACTTACAACTAAGATGGCCTTGACATGGTCTATATTGCTCAAAAAACCTCCATGAAGGACTGCAGCTTTATGGAGCCTCAGCAAAACATGCACCAAATCCTTCTCCTCCTCACCTCTTATTTCTTCTTCTTTTTCTCTAATTTTAAGATCATGCTCATAAATAACTCTATCAAAAAATGTATTCATCTCTTCAAAATTCTTTTCCATCCTTGCATGAAAGCCTCTTAATCGATCAATCCATTCCATCCCAGGAAAGAAATCTGCTACACAGAAACCACCGAACAAGCTTTGAGTCTCTGAAAGTAGCTGATGAAGCCATACTCCTCCTTTTCCACCATACCCTCCATCTCCAAACTCATCACCAAGCGCCGCTCGACAAACCACATTATTTGCGAATGAAAGCGTTAACTCGCTCAAGTTAGCTATTGAGAGATCTCTTATAGTGGCTACGAGCTTCTCCACTTCTTCCCTTCGCACGACTTCAAAGGATCGAACACGACGAGAGCTAAGAAGCTCGAGCGTGGCGATCTTGCGAGCTTGGCGCCAGTGGTCGCCGTAGGTAGCAAAGGTGATGCTGGAGCTGTTGTATAAGAGCTTCTTAGCTGCGGTGAGAAAAGGGCGGCCGGAGAAGGTGAGGTCATGCTTGGTGAAGATTTCCTCGGCTATGTCGCCGGAGGAGACGACAAGGGTGGGGATGGAGCCGAAGTGGAGGAGGATGAGAGGGCCGTGTTTATTTGAGAGGCTGATGAGGGAGCGGAGAGGCTTATTGGGATTGAGAAGAAAGAGGTTACCCACGATGGGGAGACGCCATGGACCTGGAGGATCCTTCTTTTTCTCTGTCTTATGAGTTTTTGCTAGGATGTTGAGCAAGAGGAAGGAGATGAGGAAGATGAGGAGGAGTTGGAGATAGAAGAAGACTTGTTGTTCCATAGTTATGTCCACACAGGTATACATGAAAATTAAGGTTTTAGATTTGGCATATATACATCTCATATGTCGGAGAGATTATTAAGTGCGGATATTGAATGCATCTAGAGGTCAATCAGGAGCCACCACATTACTTAATGCACTACATCATGTAATGCACTGTACATTACATGATGTGGCATCTTCTGGTTAGCGTCCGAATGCATTCGACGTCACATGTAATAGTTTTTTCATATCGAGTCATTCATTTGACACTTCAATTATTTTTTTTTGCAACAACAACGTACTTACTTATCAACAATTAGTAAAATATTTTCTACAAATAATCACATAAAAAATCTATTTTTTTTTTTTTTTGAAATATGTGCACAATAACAGTAGCATTTAAGAAAAAATTTTGACCAATTCTTATAAGAATACATGTCACATTAAATTATTGAAGTTTGCAATTAACAATGGGATAGATTGAAAAAGTTATCGATCATGAAATTTCTATCATACCAAAATGTACTATTTACTTACAATAAAAATTAGGATATATAGCCAAATATGTTAAGAGTCATAATTTGATGACAAATGGTGTGACATATGTCTTTAATTTATGGTATTTACTTGTTATCCCTCAATATAATTAACTGAGTAGATATTATAACTAAATTATTACACAAATATATCAAAATTATTTGATAATAAAGCATTAGTCATTCATAATTAATACTTTTCATTACAATTGTCTAATAATTTAGTTGGATTTTCATAATAGTTTAATTATATTTTCTAATAGTTTAAGGGCCATTTGGTATTGATTATTATTATTAGTATTATTTATTGTTTTTCTATAGATATTTTGAGTATATGTTTCGTATATATCTTTAACATGTTACTTTAATTTTTATTGAATATTGAATAAATTGATTGCTATGGTGGTGACGAAGGTCATCGTTGACAAAGTAGTAGATGTAGTTGCTAGTGAAGCAATGGCTCAGGTAGACCGACAGCGACAATGGTGTTGTGGTGGTGGTCAGTATTGTTGGTGGTGGCCAGTGTTGTTAGTGAGTTATATTGATTTGTGCAAGTTTTTCTGTGTTTGACAAAACTTCTAATGAATTTAAGAAACACATATTGTTGATCAACATAATCACATCAGATATTCGGATATCTTAATGAATAATCAGTCTTCATGCATGTTTTTTTTTTGTTTTATTTATTAATATTTGTTATACTATATAGTATTAACAATTAGTTATATATGAGATTGGTCAAGAAATGTGTGAACTAAAGAGCTTATATGCATAAAGCTATCATAACTTTGTTAACATAAAAAGAAAAAAAAAATTGGTTATATATATCTCATACTACACGTATTTTTTTTTATTTTTTGAGAGAAATATACTTGAAAGCTTATTTCGATAAAATTGCCCTACAATGAGGGATAACCTATTATATTGGTAAACTACTTGTTCAAGTTGACGTTGAAGTCCTCCAAAATTATTTTAAACTAATTTAAATTCAAACTTGTTTCAATTTGATTCAGACCTAGTTATAACTCAATCAGTTCGAACTTTTCATCGTACTAGCCTCTAAACAATAATGTTGATCATGCCTTTCCCAACAAACTCCTTTTTAACATATCCTACTCAAGTCGATACCTTCCCCCCGATGAGCTCTATTATAAGCTCCTCTTTTCCTTCACAAGTAGTTGGTCACTTCGATGTCATCCAAATTAAGCTCAATTAGGAACTCTTCTTTATCATACTTGTCGATCCTATCAAAACAAATAATGTAAATATCTGCCCAATTATATTTACTATGAGGTACGTATATATAGTCGAATTATCCAAATATAAATTTGTTCAAAAGCTCTTTATAAGCATGCATAACAAATACAATAAATTTTTTTTTCAAAATAATAAGGTGTTTTGTATAATTTAAAAGATTACATTCTATTAAATTTATAGACAAAATTTTTTGTAATAGTTTATAGAAGAAAATATCTTATAATTATTTAAGATAAAATTTTGAATGTTATATATATATATATATATATATATATTAATATATTTTATAAGTAGCTCTTTGTCCAACTTTTTTTCCAACTATGGCCTAATCATGAAGAAAATTTCTTCTAGGAGTCTTGTTTAGAGTCCAAAGAAAATTAGGCTTCTACAACCCATTTAAGTAGTTTTGCACGTTAGAACCAACAAGGTCTAATGACAAAGATTAAATATATAGTAGCTTTTTAGTACAAAAATTAAAATTTTTCTACTTGAAAGTTGCTTTAAGAAGTAGTAAGAAAGTAGTCCCACACGAAATCTAAGGCTTCCTTTGGAATTGCTTTCTTATTGCTTTTTAATAAGCTTTTTAGTACAAAAATTTCTAGTTTAAAAAATTTTTGTACTAAAAAACTACTTTAGAAAGCAGGAAGAAAGTTACCCCAAATGAAGTCTAAATGAAAAAGTTTGTAAATAAGAAAAAACAATGAAACAAGAATAAATTACCATTTATTGCTAAAGTTATTATAATTTAATTAGCATATTAAATTATGTATATTGACTCTTCATATTTTACAAATGAATTTATAGGAAAATCAACTTAACGTCTTATTACACAACTTTGCCTTAACAATTTTTATTATTGAAAATATAATTTAGTTATTGCAGTCAAAATATATAGGTAGGGAAAATATCAATTAAGATGATATATGATTAATTTTCTCATCTTTATCAAATGTTGATGTCGATCAAAATTTATAGAGAGATTTTAATTTTTTTTTATTTTGATGAGCTTCAATTTTAAAGTGCTCAAATTAAATTATTAGGGAGATTTACATACATACCACCTTATATATTCTATTTACATATTTAACATATAAAACTTTAATATTACATACATATCACCTATAATTCATTTTCATATCAAATATGAGTGGTAGAAATGAAATATATGAGTTGTATGAAAGAAATATAAATGGTATATTTGATATTAAAATGATATAGGGTGGCATGCATGTAAGATTAAAATTTTAGGTGTTAGATATATAAATAAGATGTTATAAAGTGGTATGTATGTAAATTTCCCAAATTGTTAATATATATTTTCTTGATCCTTGAAAGCTTCTAAGATAATTTTTTTTGTGTAATATAAGGAGATAAATATCATTAATCTTGAATGATTGTAAGATTTAATTCATATTTAAGATCTATTTGGGATGTTTATAGCTTTTTATAAGTATGATTATAAAACAGTTGTGTAGAAAGTAATTTTTTTAAAGTTGTTGAAGAAAGTAACTTCTTAGCACAAATTTTTTAAAAAAAATTGTGAAAAAATTATTGCCAAACAAAAATTGTGTTTCCTATTTGAAAAGCAAAATAATAAAAAAAATCTGCTGAAAGACTTCATTCGGGACGGCTTTCTTACTGCTTCTTAAAATAGCTTTCTAGTATAAAATTTTTAATTTTTGTATTAAAAAGTTATTTTAACAAGCAGTAAAAAAGCTGTCCCGAACAAAATCTTAATGATTACACAATATTTAGCTTAAATCATCAATACCAAACTGATTTTGAGGTAAGTAAATCTTAGCTCCCATATCAAGCTCTCATCACAATTTCTTTGTCGCGGCAGCTACTAATAGTAGATATATGCTAGGAGGAGGAGAAATCATAATTATATATTTAAGTATAAGATAATGAAGTTTTTAACATAATAAATAATATTATAAATTTTACTCTAGATTTCAGTGAAAGCACCCTCTCAACTACTCTAGATTCCACAAGACTTGAGACCTCATCAGAATTTGTATCAGAAACACATGTAGCAAAATCTATATGCCACAACAATAACAATATAATATTTTAATTTCATGCTTCTAACTTCTTAGTAAAATATAGGATCATATATAAATGTATAATTAGGTTTTGCTTCTTCCTCACCACTTAGATTTAGCAACCAAGCAAAGCGCGTCTCTTTTATGTGTTGTGATTCCAATAGCCTCCTCCATATTGATATCTTCAGACTTCATTCCATATGGTATTGACCAATTAAAACAGTGAAGGAGATTCGCTAGTGCAAGTTCAATAATCACCATTGCAAAGTTGATCCCTGGGCACTGTCTCCTCCCAGAGCCAAATGGCAACAATTCAAAATCATGTCCCCTAAAATCAACATCCCTTCCTTCAAATCTTTCAGGCCAAAACTCGAGCGGCTTTTCCCAAACATTTGGGTCCGTGGAAATAGCAGCGACATTGAAGATAACTCGTGTACAAGCGGGGATCATGTATCCTTGGATTTGACAAGCCTGAATGGTTTCATGGGGAACCATAAGTGGGACAGGAGGTTTTAGTCTTAGCGATTCCTTTATAACTTGTTTGAGGTATTCAAGCTTTTCTAGTTCGCTTTCTTGGATGAGTCTATGAGAGTTTCCATTAGTGACTTGCTTGAGCTCTTCTTGCAATTTCATCATTACTCTTGGATTTTTTATTAGATGTGTCATCGTCCATGTTATTGTTGCTGATGATGTATCCGTTCCCGCTATAAATACTTCCTGATCATTCATACATAATATCACAAATATTCAATAAAAATTTCCTACTTTTGGGCTACTATATAAATATTAAATTGATAATTAGAGTCGGACAATAAAGGGTAAACATAAAACTAATTCAATTACAAAGAAAATACATAAAAACTACAAAAAGAATATCAATACAAGCAATTTTTATTTTAAGGAATAACAATTTTAATTTTTGTTACTATCAAAAACCTAAGTAAAAAAAATATATATATACAAAATTTTTGAAAATATTCTTACTAAAATAATTTAACATTTCTATAACATTATATAATAAAAATAAAACTTATAATTTAACACCCATAATCATTTCAGCACATTAATCTTAAAACACAAAGCCTCTTTGATGAGAGAGCGTGGGTTACTTTTCAACTCTTGGTGGAACCAGATCCCATGGCTCCTTTATAACTTTCTGTTTATAATTAGGCTTTGCTTTTCAAATTGTAATCATAGTTTAGATTTATCCACTAATTTAAAATTAATAATAATAATAAATAATAAAACAAATATTTATCACTTATTTTTTTATCTACTTTTAAAATTTTTGTAATATTAAGTTGCTTTCTACAATAATTTTTTTAAAATTTATTTTTCTATAACATTTTTGTAAGGCAATAAGAAAATTGTCCCAAATAAATGAATCCTTAATTTCATTTTGTGAAATAATAAATGCAACAAGTTTTGAAAAAAGAAATTAACGACTTGTCTTATAAGAATCTAAGGTAGCATTATTGAAGCAATAATGTTTATGATAAGGATGTATGACTTTTATGTGAAAGAAGCATTAGCCCATTGATTAAGAAGAAAGAAAGATATTTTATTCTTTATTTGTTTCTCACCAGCCGGTTAAAGAAAATAATTTTTATATATAATCAAGAAGTAAATAGTAAAAGGAGAAAACCCTAAAACTTACAACTAAGATGGCCTTGACATGATCTACATTGCTCAGAAAACCACCATGAAGGATTGCAGCTTTATGGAGCCTTAGCAAAACATGCACCAAATCCTTCTCCTCCTCATCACTCTCTTCTTCCTTTTCGCTCATTTTAAGATGCTCATCGATAACTCTATCTAAAAACTTATCCATCTCTGTAAAATTCTTTTCCAACCTCCCATGAAAGCCCCTTAATCGATCAAACCATTCCATTCTGGGAAAGAAATCCGCAACACAGAAACCACCAAGCAGGCTTTGAGTCTCTGAAAGTTGCTGATGAAGCCATACTCCTCCTTTTCTAAAAGAACCGCCGAGTGCCGCTCGGCAGACCACATTATTTACGAATGAAAGCGTCAACTCGCTCAAGTTAGCTATGGAGAGATCTTTGATAGTGGCTACGAGGTTCTCCACTTCTTCCCTTCGCACAGAGTCAAAAGATCGAACACGACGAGAGCTGAGAAGCTCGAGCATGGCGATCTTGCGAGCTTGGCGCCAGAGATCGCCGTAAGGAGCGAAGGAGATGCTGGAGCTGTTGTATGAAAGCTTGTTTGGTGCAGTGAGGAGAGGGCGGCTGGAGAAGGTGAGGTCGTGATTAGTGAAGATCTCCTTGGCTATGTCGCGAGAGGAAACAACTAGGGTGGGGATGGAGCCGAGGTGGAGGAGGATGAGAGGGCCGTGCTTATTTGAGAGGTTAATGAGGGAGTGATGAAGCTTGTTGAGATTGAGAAGATGAAGGTTACCGATGATGGGGAGACGCCATGGACCTGGAGGGACCTCTCTGTTTGTTGATGCATTAGTTTTTGTGATGATGTTGAGTAAGAGGAAGGAGAATATGAGGAAGAGGGAGAGAAAGAGGAGGTAGGAGAAGCCCAATTGTTCCATCGTCAGATTCATATGATGATGCAATTTACGACTATTTATAATAAAAAATATATGGATATATATTTTTTTCAAATTATTTTAAAGTTCAAGTTAAATTCTATGAGTTTTTTATTAGTCAATGTTCTTCTTTTTTTTTCAAAACTAATCTTTTTAACCAGGTTTTAAAAACTGAAATGGACAGGACGGTTCAACCGGTTGAACCGTAAATCGGTCTGGCATCCGGTTCAGTCGGATGCAAAAATATTATTTGTGCGAAACTGCTTATGATCAGATGAAAACTGTTGAAAAGATATCATTTAAGATGATCAAATCATTTAATGTGACTTTTTATAATCTTATCACTGAAGCTACTCAACGCTTGTTACATATATACTCGTACTAAATTCTGACTTTAACTGTAAAGTCACCTCAGGCACTTGAACATTCTTATGCCTACGACACGCAACTTAATTTTATGCTTCTTTTTAATGGCTAATATTGTGCACCATAAAACATTAGAAGTCTAAATCTTATATTCCATTTGAGACAATTTTCTTAATGTTTAAACAATTTTTTAGTATAAATTTTTTTAATTTAAAAATGTTGTACTATAAAGCTACTTGATAGGGCAAGCCTATCATTTAAGCTTTAAAGAACGTGTCTTTTTGAATGATTTTAAGGCTTCATTTGGGACGGTTATTTAATTGCTTTCTAAAACAGAGTTTTATTACAAAAATAAAAAAGGGAAATTTATATAAATACCACTTTATAACATTCTATTTACACATCTAACATCTAAAACTTTAATATTACATGAATACCACCCTATATTATTTCAATATCAAATATACCACTTACATTTCTTTCCTACCACTCATATTTGGTATGAAAATGAACTATGGGTGGTATGTAAGTAATATTAAAATTTTAGGTTTTAAATATGTAAATAGCATAGTATTAAGTGGTATGTAGGTAAATCTCCCAATAAAAATATTTAAATTAAAAGTCCGTTTTAGAAATCAATAAAAAAGCTATCCCAAACGAACCTAACTTTTCTACAGAAGCTATACCGTAGTTTCTCAGAGTTATCACGATTTTATTTTTGAATGCTTTTTGAAAAGTCATGGCAGACGATTAATTGGAGGATTAGGTTAGAAAATATTATTATTATTAAAAAAAAACATACAATTTCAAAAAGTGGCACTCTCAGAAAATTGACGAACAATACAGGTGGGACCCATTAATAGCCTCTCTTTAAAAACAATGTACGGCTTTAGTGGAAAAAGTATTTTTTCAAAGCTTTTTAAAATTTTAATATAATATATAATATCAAGAAATTTACTCTAAATTTCATCATTACTAAGCTCTCATCCAAATTTGTATCACATATAGCTTCGTTCATTCTTATATAGTAATATCTCTACGCAACTTGTTCTTAATGGAGACAGCCCGAATGCCAGTAGCCACACAATAAGTTAAATACAAATTTTTCAAAATTAAAGAGACAAACTTTCAAATTTATAGTTATCCTTAATTCAATCAAATGAGAAGACAAAAAAAAAATGTCAACACCAAAGATAAGCTTTTTAAATATAAAATGCATATTTTTTTGTGCATTGTGATTTCAATAGCTTCCTCCATATTGATATCTTCAATCTTCATGTCATTTGGTATTGATCAATCAAAACATTAGAGGAGATTGACCAAGGCAAGTTCAACAATCCCCATCAGTAAGTTGATCCCCGAGCACTTTACTCTACCAGAGCCAAAGGGCAACAACTCAAAATTCCGCCTCTTGCAGTCAACTCCACTTCTCTCAAACCTTTCAGGCCAAAACTCGAGCTAGTTCTCTCAAATATTTGGTTCTGTAGAAATAGCAATGGCATTGAAGCTAACTGATGTTTTGGCTAGGATTATATATCCTTGCATTTCACATGCTTGGATGGTTTCCTGTGGAAGCAAAGTGAGATAGGAGGTTTTAGTCTTCGTGATTCCTTTATAACTTGTTTAAGGTATTTAAGCTTTTCAAATTTGCTTTATTGGATGAGTCTGTGATAGTTTTTATTAGGGGCTTGCTTGAGTTCTTGCAATTTCTTCATTACTCTTTGATTTCTTATCAACTGTCATCGTCCATATTATTATTGCTGGTCATGTATTTGTTCTTACTATGAATACTTCCTAATCATTTATGCATAATATCACAAATATTCAATATAAATTTCCTACTTTTTGGCAACTATTTAAATATTAAATTTATAATTAGAGTTGGAGAATAATGAGCAAAAATAAAACTAATTCAATTACAAAGAAAATACATAACAAACTACACAAAGAAGTTTTATTTTAAGGAATAACAAATTTAATTTTTGTTACTATCAAAAACTTAAGACAATAAAAATTTACAAAAAATTTAAAAATATTCTTAATAAAATAATTTAACATTTCTATATCACTATATTAGTCTATATGATAAAAATAAAACTTACAATTTAACAACAATATATATAGTTATCTCATAATAATCTTAAAACACAAAGCCTCTTTGATGGAGAACCTGGGTTATTTTTCAACTCTGGATGGGACCCGACTCGATGGTTCCTTGACTATTTTTCGTTCACATTAAGGCTTTAATTTTTAGACAGTAATCATAATTTATATTTGTCCATTACTTCTTCTCAACTAAAAAAAATATATTATAGGAAGTTTCTTTCTATAATTTAAAAAAAAAATTATTTTCTCTATAATAAATTTATAAAGTAGTAAGTTAAGTTTTGAAAAAAGAAGTTAACGACTTGACTAATAAAAATATAAGGCAGCATTATTGAAGCATTAATGTTTAGGATATTGGTGTAGTATGGCTCATAAATTGCTCTAATAATGATAGATTTTTATGTGAAAGAAGCATTGGCACATTGATTAAGAAGAAAGAAAGATACTTAACTTCTGTTCCTCACCGGTTTAAGAAAATAATTTTTAAATATAATTAAAAATACTAATTTATTTTCCCATGGCACTCTAAACAAAATTTCATTTTTTAAAATTAATTTTACATTGTTGTCCTAAACATAGTTTAAAAAAATATATATTATCTTTTAAAGATGAATGTAAATAGTAAAAGGAGAAGTTCAACTTACAACTAAGATGGCTTCGACCTTTGGAAGCTTGGGCCCTTTGACAAAATATTGGAGAGAGCTATGAGACATGTCTGGCCGTCGACCATCGTTGGACCACCGCCAGTCCGTTGACCACTGCCGGACAGTTGGCCGCTGCCAGACAACAACCCATATGTCGACAGATGCCAGACCTCCGACCGTCCGCTGAACACCAACCGCCATCGGATCTTTGCCTAGCTGCCGACCATTGCCAGACCTCCGCCCTACCATCGGACCTTTGCCCGACCTTTGCCCGGTAGCCGACCGTCGCCGAACCACCACATGTCCGCCTATCACCACCGAACCTCTACTTGTCAGCCTATAACGACCAAATATTTGCCCATCCGCCTATCACCAACAGATCTCCACTGGTTGCCAACTGTCGTCCGTAGACTATGATCCCTCAAATCACCATCGGCCACCGACTACAATCCTTCTAACTATCGTTGCCCATCCATTACAACCCCTCTGATCTCTGTCGCACGCCGATTACAATCTCTTTGATCTATGTCGCCCACCGACTACCGTCCCTCCAACCTTTGTCATGTTTAGTTTGATATTTTTTAATATGCGGATGTTATCTTGCCTCATGCTATTTATTGAGTTGCTTTTATTCTTCTAATGCTTAAAAAAATTAATTTATTTTCAGTTTTTTTAAAAAACTTGCATCATTTTGTTTTGTCCCTAATTTCGATACTGCTATCTTTTCATTATCATTGTTTGCTTAATTTCAATTACAGTTTTTTTTTTTTTTTTTTTTTTTTTTTTTTTTTTTTTGAGAAAACCCATAGAAGGGGCCTACGTGTTAATATAAGGGCAAAATTACACAGTCCTTAAGGGAAACTCAATCCCACTACCGCTCAAAGAGCTACAATCCAAAAAGCAAAAAAAAAAAAACCTCGGAGTTCGAGTTGCCCATCTAGTAAACAATACAATACAACCTAGAAACATTCTACGACTAAGCACCCAAAAAATGAGAGAACACAAAAAACAACCAAAAAAACTCCCCGCAGCAAGAATCCACCAGCAGAATCAACTTGAAGCCCAACTCCTGCAACCGCCAAAAAGAAACACAAAGCACAAGATGCAAAGAAAAATAAAAGCATTCAATATGTCAAAAATAGAACTAGAACTATAAGGATATGTCTGGATTAAGTCCTTCTCAACTAACTCCAAATACTCCCAGCATTTCGAATAAGGCAGGAAGAGAACACATTGCCTGCAAAAAAACCAAAGCACGAAGGAAAAAGCAAATAAAGATAACCCTCGATCCACTGATTACCCCCACACGAGCCATACAGCAGAGGGCCACCCTCACAGAAACACCTGAGCGAAGCCAAAAACTGGCAAGAAAAAAAGGCCCAGGAACCACCTTGAAATACCCAGTCAACCAACGAATCCAAATACAGCTGAAATGAGACAGAAAAACAAAAGACTGGAGGAAAACTCCACCCAGATCACACATATCTGTTTGGAAGGAATTGTACCTGTAGCAAAGAACAAGAAAACAGAGCAAAGAACAAAAAAAATCTGGACAGAACTTTCTTCTTCCTTCACAAAGAAAAGTTTCACTTCTTATGCCAAAGGAAAAACTGCAATCAAACAGAGAATTTAGAGTATTTTTCGGTACAGACCAAACCTAAATATAAAACTCTAAAAGTAATAACTGCTTCACAGTTATTCACAACAAAAACTAAATAATAACTGTTATATAGTTATTTCTCTAAACAAAAAACACTTAAATATAGGATTAACACAGAAAAATGACAAAGATTAGAATAACAATATCAATTAACATACAGCACACCATTATAATCCAACTTAATGAAGCCTTGAATATGGACAGGAAGATGCTTAAAAGATAAATCAGTTATAACATTAAACTTACTACCAAACTCAGCCAAAGCCTCAGCATAAGAGTTAATTGCAGGGGAAACATAAGCAAAAGAACAGTTAATAGAATCCATAATAACCTTGATGTTTCTACAAATATAGAAAAGAGAATAACTGCAACTGCTACCATCCAACTCCAACAAAGCTTTAAGGTCAACATAAAAATTGCATTCCAGAATAATATTTTGGATATCCAAACCGACACAGAGGTTCAGCCCATGAAAAACAGCCAATAAAATACCCCCAAGCTTATCCGTTTCATTGGTTTTACCAGCAAACCCCAAGACATAGGCCCCATTGGAATCTCTAATAACACCACCAACACACCAGATGTTCCCCTCCAAAACAGTATCAAAATTCATTTTAAAAAAATTATCTTGAGGTTTCATCCAATACGATAATCTGCTCACCGAGGAAGAAAGAGCATCATCACGCTTAATCCCAAAACCCTCAAGCGTATAAAGCACCTTGTCTCCATTACTTTATAGTTAGTTACTTATCTTACATTATTTTGCTTGGACAACATTTCAGCTTCACCTTATTTTCATTTGAAATGCTAATATTGATATTTTTTTCATAAATATGATTTTATTGATAATTATCTTATATTTGTAAACTAATATTGCCATTTTTTCAATCATTTTTGCTTAGAACTTTTCATTTTACTACATAATATATTTAATTGTTTTGGTCATGATGCTAAATGAAACTAAATTTAATGTATTTCATATTTTTGTCATATTTTTTTTTTTAAATAATATCAATGAGCATTTGATGCATGTCCAATTAAACAAGAGTATCCATTATATTTTCTAATTTGCAACAATTCAATATTTACATCCATACAACAACTTTCCATATTTTACAAACTTCCATTGTTATTTAATTGATTTTGCTATTACATCATAAATTTTCAATAGGATGAAGTTAAACATCATGATTTGGTAGATTGACTATAATATCTCTAATGGTAACTAAAAAGACTTGGTTAGAAAATAACAAAAATTATATTTATTTATTAGATTTAAATGAGAATTTGACTCTTAACATAACACAATGTAGAAGAGTAATTCATGTAAAGGCTTGATGTTGTTGTTATTGGTAACTATATATCAACTTTATCCGCGTATATAAATAAAAGGTAACAATCCAAATATATAGTTGTTTAGATTTTTTTTTCTATTAATCTTTATTATCAATTCATTTGCTGCATTTTTCTCTTTACATTAACAACTCTTCACGCTTTTCATTTATTATTTTGATCAAAATCACATATTTGTAATTTTTTTTTTTCAGTTAAAACCCACCTACGGGCCTACGCGTTAATATTAGAAAAAAATTACACATTTCGTAAAGGGAAATCACATATTTGTAATAAAATTTTAAGATATTATTTAAAATGTAATTTGATTATTATTATCGCACTATTAATTCTATAATAAGGATACTTTTTTATTTTTTTATTTAAGATATTGGTTTTCAATTAATTTATATTTATTTTTTGTTTCTATTTTATGTTTTAAATTTATCATGTTTACATGTGACCAAAATCACTTATTTGTAGTAAAATGTTAAAGTATTATTTCAAATATAGTTTGATTATTATTATGGCACTATTAATTCTATAACAAATAATTTTTTGCACCAAATTATAAAAAAATTAATATATTTTATCAAATATAATTTTGTATGTATAACTCTTATATTTTTAGTAAGATAAGTATTATTACAAAAATTTACAAATGCACTTAATAATATATTTTTTTATTCATATAATTGAATAAATATAATTTCAAATTTTATAATATATATATATATTATAAAATTTATTCACGTGCATGTGATGGACATGCAATTTTACTTGTTGTATTAAATTTGACTTGAAAATTATTGAATTTATGTTGAGATTAGTATAATACAAAACTTTCATTTAAAACATTAATTTTAAAATAAATTAACTTTTTTTAAACAACTTTCAATATAATTTGTATGCAATATTTTGAAACAATTCTTTTTGTGATCAAATTGTTGCTTATCAAATTCTTCTCTCCGATGAATGATACTAATTGAATCGTTTTAATTGAGATAGGCCCCATAATTTTTCACATAAAAACTCATGTATCTCTCGTAATTCTTGCACTAATTTCTTATATGTGTGTACACTAGATTTTCATATATATAGTCAGATAATATACTCTTTATCTCTCCATCGTCACGAATGTTCTAATATACAGTAATTATATCCTATAAAATTTATATAAAAAGTTTTTTTTATCATATTATTTATATAAAATATCTTATAATTTTTTTGGATAAAGCTTTAATGATTAATGCCTTCTATATGTTGTATTTCTATTATATTTTATAAAATGACATCATTTGCAATTGATGATTAATATTAATTGAATTATTTCAATTGATTTAGAACATATAGCTTTTTCTCTTTCATGTTTTTTTTACAAAAAAAATACTTTGGTGTCTCTTATAACTCCTCTTTCAATTATATGAGTGCTAGATTTTTGTATAAAGTTAAGATGTTAAACTGTTATCTTGTATTGCTAATGCTCTGCCATATAACATTCATCATGAAGGTTTTGTTTGGAACAATTTTTTTATTATTTTTTAAAGTAAATTTTTAATAGAATTTTTTTTTAAAATTAGTATTCTTATACTACAAAAAAAGCTTTAAAAATATTAAGAACGGCACCCCAAACAAAACCTAAATCTATATATATTTTTAATTTACCAAATATGCTCTCTCAATTTAACTCTCTTAACTATATTTGTACTATCTTGTTTCTTTTTAAAATTTTGCCTATCGATGGTGGGCTTAGAAACCATGTAAATGGGCTTAAATCCCATCCCTACACGCCAATCTCGGAGAACCATATCTGACCGTCGCTCCACCCGCCTCCGACTTCTGCGGCATCTTCTTCCCTCTCTTCTCCGTCTGGCCGCCTTCCATTTTATCTTCTTCCCACCTCTTTTTCATCTCTCTCCACCACCACTCAGCATTCTTCTCCCCTTTGCTACCGGCAAGCTCACAGAAGTGTTTAATGAAATAAGGAAAGCTAAGAGGAGGATTGACAGAGTAGAGGTAATTAGTTCATTTTCATTAATTCACTTGGTACATTAAAGCATGGTGTTATAAGCCTAGGAGGAGACAGGGAAGGTTTTACAGGAGTGATCTGTTTGTCTTGATCGGTGGAGATTCCTTGCCGTCCTCATCCGGATCAACGCAGAACTGTCTTCTTCATTGATTCTCTGTGCTCTTTGAACCTGCTGGTTCGACAGTAAGTATCCAAGTTAAGTGAGGAGGAATGGTTGGGGGGAGCATCGGGACAGGGATGGAAACGTCCTTGAGGTACAGTGGTCAGTCTAAAACACTAAGAATCCATGCAAAGGAGAAGCTTCCTCTGGACTCCAAAACCGTTATCCAGGTTCGCTTTTGATCTCGCCCTTTATTCTTCCAACTAGTTTGAGCACTTGATTTCCCCTTTTTGTCACATAGCTTCGTTTTAATTTTTAACTTTCATCTTTTTTATAGTTTTTTTTTTCTTTTGCGCTTTCCATTTTTCTATAGGATGATTCAAGGTGGAATATTTCTTCCGGTGGATGTTTTCGATGATTAGTTTGATAGTATTAAGTGTTTTTTGAAGCACTATTACGTATTTTGTGTGTATTTGAATTTGAGCTTAGGATAAGAATCAAAGAACCAAAAAAGTTAGAATTAGCACTGTTTCTTGTGTTGTTGTAAAAGTTGCCTAATTAATCTTATTTACATGCTAGTCTGAAAGCTTAGACTGCCTAATTCTTTGCGTGCCATGAATACTTCATCCATGTAAATGTCTTGATGGATTATAGAAGTTGTTACTTTAATAAGGCAGAAGCCTCTTGCTAGTTGAATGAACTATCGAACTAGAATCAACTAAGAACTTTTGTGCCGGAAAATGTTGATACTTGTAGGATTTGGCTGCAATAGGATCTAGAAAGCAAGTTTGAGCCAAAGATCAATAATTGCAGGAAAGGTTGATGAGTTGGCTCCAATCCAATTCCAATCGGGATTAGCTGGATTAGTATTGTACCAAATTGGGTGTCATAAAAGTTGGTGGATAACAAATTCTGATGATCTTTGTTTGCATTTACCCATGCATTCTTCATGGCATTTCGATGATGGATGACTTTTTGATGTGAAACAGAATCGGAATTGCTCGGAAATAATAAAATAATTGCTTAACTAGCTAATATAAAGATTAACATTTCACAATTATAGATTTAGGAATCCTTAGTTGCAAAGTTGCTTAGGCAATAGTACATGCTTTGAAGATAGGACAATTCAAAACAATAACAAACATATAAGTGAAACCAAATGTGCTTAATAAAAATTCACGGGTTGATACTTAGATAATTCACCTTGAGTTTCCCTCACTCAAGCTCTCTTAGGGTTTGCGGAAGAAAGATATCAGCATTATCGATGTGGTCACCACAAGGAGGAGGGAGCTTATAATGCCGTCCAAGAAAAAGCTAGCCGGAGTAGGAGTAGGTGGAGGATGTAGGATTTGCCACCGGGTTGAAAGGTAGAAGCCATCGATGGCGGTTGATAGGAAAAATAGTATTCGATCCACGTACTCTTCAACAGTTGCGTCGATCTCCACGTTGATTTCAAAGAACGATGATCTCAAGACATCTACGTGCCCTTGGGAATCAAAGACGAACCCATGGCCAACGCCCGGGTTGGCCATGCATCATTGTCCAAAGAGGGAAAATTGAGAGTGAGAGAGGAGGGGGCGGGTAGGGGATCGGCCAAGCAATGGGGGTGGGGAAGGGGAATGAGGATGGGGCTTGAATTCTAGAGTTTGGTGGTGGTGGAGGAAGAGTAAGGCTAAATCTGAAATTAATTTCAGATTTAATGAGTAATTAAGGCTATGTTTATTTGAAATTTGAATTTGAAATAATTGGGGAATTAGGTGGGAAAGTGGGGATAGGGTTGTATTAATTAGATCTTTAATTCATGAGATCTAATTAATTAGAGAGAGGAGGGGGAGTGGCTGGCCAAGGAGAGAAGAGGGAGAGAGGGGTTAGGTATTAAGGAGGTGGGCCCGAGAAATTAAGGGGATTGATTACTTGAATATGATATTAATTTCAGATTTAAGTTGATTGGGGTTTTCCTAAATTGAAGGAGGGGAATTTAAGAAGAGTTTGAAATTCTAATATTTTGAATTTGAATTTAATTCTCTCCCCAAATTAGTGGGGCTAAATTAGGAAAGCATTTATGGCGGATTCGAATTCAAAAGTTTGGAGGGAATTATGTGGTCGGCGGCTACGGTGGGGGAGAAGGATGTGGCCAACGGCTTTAAGTGGTGGAGGAAGGGACCGGGGAGGGGGGGAAGCTTAGCGGGTTTACGGCCAGCTTGGGGTTACATGCATCTAGTCCCTCAAGTGAGGGTAAAAATAGAAAAGGACTATAATAATAATAAAATTACAATACATCAATCAAAAATAAAAAGATGCGAGCGTAGCCGTAGATCTCTGATGTCTCCTCGCGCTAGAATCTCCTGTTGATGTCCTCATCACTTTTTTTTGTTGTGCAGCAGGATTTTTCAACAAAATGAATATCATTAGATATGTTATTCACGATTTGTAGAGCTATTTATTTGTTTTGCCTTAAAAAAAAAGAATCAATTCTGATTTTTTGGTGTCAATTTCAGCTTTCTTTATTCTTTGTTTGCATTATTGATGCTGATAATAATATAATAAATAATTTAAAATTGCAAAGCTGAAGTTGTTTTCTGCTGTAAAGGAAAGTTAAAAGTGTTGATTTTGCATTTAAAGTGCTTTAATATTATAATGTTCAGAAAATGATGGGGGCTTTATGCTTGCAGGAGCAAAAATTGTCCCGTACATATTTTTGCACATGCTTGCGTAGATACATGCAAGTATTGTCTTTAACTTCTAGGATGCCTTTTTATCTATGCATCATGTACACATTTATGCAAAACTTTTGTTTTGTTTATTTTTATGCTAAATTCAACTTTAATATTTTAAAATTTAACTATCTAAAGAGTTGATAAAAAAAACTCAACGAGGAAAATATCATCATCATTAGTCTTAGCCTAACTATTTTGGTTTAGCTTTATGAATCATCATTGTCCTTTCATTCCTATTGAGTGTACCCTAGGCTTTAACCCATTCTTCACAAATCATTTTGAGCAACTTTTATCGATGCTACTTCTGGTTTTCCACTTCTCTTTTTTGATAATTTAACGCTAATTTTATTTACCCATCTCCTTGTTGCATTTTTACCTTTCCTTGTACATGTCCAAACCACCTAAGTCTAATTTTAATTAACTTAGCTTCAATGGATGTCAGTCCGATCATTCTTAATCACCCTCTTACATAATTATTTCTTAATCTATAATTTTAGGTTTTTCCAATCATTCAGCTTGGAATTCTTGTCCCTATCATGTTAAATGTATATATCAATGAATTTGTTGTTAGATGACACTTGGATCTATATAACATTATTGATCTATTGTGATTTTATAAAATTTACCAAGTCTTCATAATGTTTTTTTTTTTTTTCTAGCATAATATTCCGACGCCTCTGTTTTGACATCCTTATATATATCCTTAAATTTTTGTATAAGAGATCCAAAATACTTAAATGTATTACACCTTGCATTTTTTTGTCTTCTAATATTATTGATTGATAATTGTTAATTTAACACCCTCTAAAATCACATATCATATTCTTGATCTTTGTTCTATCGATTCTAATTTCTCTATTTTCTGAACTTTTTTTGTATGTCTAATTTTTTACTTATTTTATGGATGTATCACCTATAAGAAGTATCATCATTGAAAGCTTACAACAAGTCATCTTACTTTGAATATTTTATTTTAAGCGACTTCTTAGTCAGTTTAAAAAAGATATGGATTCAATATTAATCTTTGATGTAATATTACTATGATTGAAAATTATCTTATCCCTTCACAACTCCATCTAATATTAGTTAGTGCTTCCTCATTTGTATTTTAATAACTAGAAAAAAAAAAAAAAAAATATATATGTTATATTGATCTAAATGTTGAGCAACAAACTAGTTAATAGGTAAACCAATATGGGTATGATGGAAATGATAAAATGCTATTATGGACATTTGGCACAAGGAATGATAGTGATAAATGCTTATATTTAAGTATTAAACACATATAGGAGCATTTACAAAGTTTGAAAGTGCTCCTCAACTAAGTTCTCTTTTAGATGAAGAAAGTAGGATTGCTTTACCAATAATGGAGAGTCAATCTAGAGACATTCTGATTTATATTCCCACTAAAATATTTTCTATTATAGATGCATAAACATTTTTACATGTCAAAAATTCAATTATGAAATCAAGCCTACTATTAATATAGGTGTTTATGTTTCCAATGTAGGATTTGCAACTCAAATTAAATCCATGAAATAAGATGCCAAGAAAAAAAAATGGAACTAGTTCAATTTGCAAGTTAGAATCCTTCAAACAACTTGCTTCTAATCAAGATAAAAATTTACCCTATTTCTTATCCAAGAGCAGTTCAAGAAAAAAAAAAAGTAGAATTAGTGTGAAAGAATTAGGAAGGAAAATGAGCCAGACAATAGTTACAAGATTAGAAGTTGTGCAAAAGGCATGAATAAAATAGAATCAAACCATTATTTAGTATTCATAGAATGGGATGGTGATTCATGTTGTTGTCCCGAAATAGTTGGGTTAAGGCTAATGATGATGATGATTTATTTTAACAAAATTTCAGATAGCTTGAAATCAAAATGAGTCATCTCAATAGAATGCAATGGGGTAAATCAACTCGGGTACAAATGTCAGGAATCATGAATTTATCTCAAAATATCCTTCGATGTTTAGCATTTTTTTAACTTTGTTTGGATCCACTCAAGGCCCAATTATTCTTATTATCCTTAAACAAAACATTGTTTGCTAAAGACAAATGTTTCATTCTAAAATTTAGAGTTATGATGGATTTATTAATTTTCTGCTCTAAACATTTGAACTATGATGTGATCATTCTTTTATTGAGGTACTTTTTAGAAAATATGCTGCTTCTAATTTTTGAGAAAAGTTCTATGGTTGTGCATCAACTTTATAAGATACTTACATTAATGATGTTCTAAAATAATTTTAAGTTTTACTATATTAGCGTGGCTATAAGTACCTGCGGTAATAGGAGCTTTAAAATGTATTTATTTTATGCTTTTTATGTTTCTCTTGAAATGAAAGGTTTATGAAGCTAATATGATAGTGGTTGTAAAAGTAAGATTTTTTGCTTGAATGTTGAAGGTGGTTTAATGTAATTATAAGATTCGTGCAAATCAACAAATTCCACCCCACCGTCTAACTAGGTTTTAATATGTCCAAGCACGATAGAATACTCATGAACAATTATCCTTCATTTATATATTTTAGTTATTAATCGCCGTGATGACATGGTAAATTAGATTTTAGTTAACATAAAATGAAATTCATCCTTTTGATTATCAGTTTACTATCTGCAATATTTGATAATTTCTTCTTCTTGCAAGACTTAGAATCATGTACGCTCATTTCCTTAATCATGCATTCTTTTGCAGGCACACGGAGAAATAGAAACTGGTGTTGGGCACCCAAGTTTTCTTGCTTTGTCCATCCGACGCTTCTATCCTGAGGTAGTTCATCAGATTTTTTTTAAACATTTTGAATATTCTATTTAAAATGATCAACTTATCATGACATGTTGCTGTCTCATCTAGCTCTTAGCAAGCATTCGTGTAGGCTTTGAGTTCAACAACAAAGATAAGTTTGGCTATAATATTCGAGGAAAGAAGGCTCTAGCACTAACATCTAATGGTATGCTAGGCATCAATGTGAAGGGCAGGTGTGACACTGACAAAGATTTTAAGCAGGTCCGCTATGTTAACTTTTTTTTTTTTAAATTGTTTCTTGCAATCAAATGCTAAACTTTAGTTGATTACAGCACAAGCTTGTGCGATCTCTTGAGGATTAGCTATACTTGTGAGCAAATCCTAGCAATGGTTAATGCTAGCCATGCTAGAGAGCAAAATATAGGGCAATTTAAAATGGATATGGCATGTGCTTGTTAAGTTTGTTTCAATCATTCAATAATATGGTAAAAAACACAGATGTATTATCGACATGAATATCAAGGGATGATTTAGGTGGTGTATGATATGCTAAAATAATAAGATTACTTAAAATATGATTGCCTATATGAGAGATAACAATTAAGAATACTTAATTAATAAAATATCTTTATTTTGTGAGCATCATGATATTGGTATTTGTCATCATATAGTTCAGGCATAATAATTATGTCATTATTGTGAAATATTATACACAGTGATTGATATGCGCAAGAGTTAAATAATTCTTTTACGTGTGTAAATATTGAATTGCTTTATCCATGGCATGCTTGAATCCAAATAACTTTTTTAATGAATTCAACAAAGGTGAGGTAATTAGAATGAGACAAATTTATCCAAATTATTTTTCTCTTGTAGATATAATGATTCTTGATAATCAATTGAAAACTTCTGCTATGGAGATGCGGTTTGATGTAAAATTTTCATTTGTTAACACTTTGAAACCTTGCTAAGAAAATAGCCAAGAACAAAAAGGCTACTTTATATTCCCTTGTTTTCTTGCTAATAAAATTGACTTTAGTTTTACCTGTTGTTACAACAAATATTGAAAGTGCTTTTTATGCTATGAATACTGAAAGGAATAGATAAGAAATAGAATTTGAGATGAATGAAAGAATGATATTTTAGTCACTTATATTAAAACAAATATTGGATATTATTGTTGATAATCATTCAATGTTTTTAGCATATGAAGAGTAGATACTCTCAATTGTAAGTTTTTTGTCAACCTAGATTTTTTTTCTTTAATATTAAAAAACTCTCAAAAAATAATTTAAAAAAATCAATTTCGTCCCAAATCAAGATGAAAAAGACAGGTATTTTTAAAATAGTCTATTTGTGCCTTGTGCCCTACTAAGAAAAAATATTTTAGCTACACCACTGAAGAATTTGCAAGTATACAAACATTCAAATAAATTATTTGATAAACCTGGATTTAAAAAACTTATGTTTATATAGCTGTCTTCTACATGTAAGTTTAAATTAATACACAACTAAGTGTATCTAATTAAGCGCCTAAGAATAGTTTAGAGATTGAAATATTATTCAAACACGACCGGAATATAATAACTTATTTTGATTTGTCATGTCTGAACTCTAAATGATGTGATTGGCCATTAAAAACATAGACAATTCCTTCTGTGGTTTGGAAAAATGTGTTTACTTAACGCAACATATGAAATTGAAATTATACAAAATTAATTTGTACAATATCTATTAATGATCTCACAGTACGACTTGGAAGGGAGGAATTTTCATATAATATGAAAGTATGATACATACGGTGCATTTTATACTATTTTTAATATCAAGAAAAGGATCAGATGTACTTGATCTTATACGCATGTGATTTGTGCTTAATTGATCAAGCTTTTCTTCGCTGCATTAATGGCTGAAACATTTACCTGTTCCTGTTAGGTTCTAAAAAAGTCTTATCCTTTTTTCTTTGGTTTATAGCTTTTCTCCTCAAAATTAGGGGAAAATTCCAACTAATACTTAAGGGAAAATTCTATAAGATGGTGGTTAGACCTACAATGCTTTATGGTGCAGAATGTTGGCCATTAAAAAAGAAGCATAATATTAAGTTAAGTGTTGCAGAGATGAGGATGCTTCGGTGGATGAGTGGCTTTACTCTTAGAGACAAATTATGAAATGAGCATATACGTGAGAAGGTTGGAGTAGCTCCAGTAGAAGATAAGATTAGAGAGAGTCGCCTTAGATGGTTTGGTCGTATAAAACGGAGGCCTTCTGATGACCCGGTTAGGAAAGTAGATGTATTAGATTTGGCTTATGTTAAGAAAAGTAGAGGTAAACCTGAAAAAATTTGGTTAGAAAATATTAGAGATGACATTTCTTTATTAGATTTAAATGAGAATTTAACTATTAACAGGACAATGGAAAATGGATTCTTGTAGTCGACCCCACATCGTGGGATAAAGGCTTGATGTTGTTGTTATTGTTATAACTTTTCCGTTTCCACATCTGATTCAATGAATTATCTTTCATTAAATTCAAGAATCAGCTATATAGTAAATGAAGTAATTGATATATATCATAGAAGTTTTTTGTGCTGAGTTGATCAGCTAATGTGTCCCGGTCTTTCTTTTTTTTATTGCCATATAATAAAATGATTCAAAATTGTCCAGAGGAACGTTAAAGGTGCTGTTGAGTTGGTATGGAGTATACTTGATTTCCAGAAGGACCAAGATGTGAGGGTCAAAGTAGGCTATGACTTACTTGAAAAGGTATCATTATTTTTTTTTATGTGCACTTTTGACCTTTGTATTATTTTACTTGTTCTGCCGGTCTGCCTTTAGATTTCAGTGGTTGAATACTTTTTAAGTTGGCTATGGATTTCAGTCACTTTTATCACATAACATTAAACAACAAGTTTATTTTCTTTTTTTGTTGCCTTTCTTTTCACTTAGCAGAAAGTTGTAATCAATTTATTATTTATCAAGGAATGCATATGGAACGAATGATACACATTTAATAAAGATAGCATTATCGATGTATTCCATTGTTAGATGAGAATTTTATGCATGAAGAAGCTTGTCTTCATACAATGTGAAATTAGGAATCTGTATTGCGGTTGAAAGCTTTCATACTTTGTGTAACTAGATGAAGATTTTCAGCACAATTTTCATGCTACATGCATACAAAAATGTTTTATGTTTTTCAAGAACATAAAATGGGCAAAAGGATAGCTAATAATCAAATAGTTGTTTCCATATCCAAGTTAAATGCTACAGGAAAATTCTGTGATCGCTGTTAGATACCCAATCATACCAAAGAAAAATATTAGAAGATGTATCTTGTCTCTTCCCTGAAAGTGGACGAAGGATAGGAAAGAAAGATTATTCTTATTATTATTATTATTATTATTATTATTATTATTATTATTTTGGACATCACCATGCTTAATCTTATAGATTAGGTGAACCTATCCTTATCTTTGAAGCCTATGCCAAACAATATAATGGTGGGGCCATCCTCTAATTTGGACATATGGCAATTGTTGACCTCTAACCACCGGCCTGGCCCCATAGACGATCCATGTTCGCCAAGCAACACAATTGTTCGACCCAAATGACAACTGCTTGGCTCCTCTTAATTAAAGACACGCAAGAATCGTCGACCATTCACTAGCTGATCTCTCTACAAGCTGCACACAAGGAAGAACCCCATTCGACTCTCTTTGTACCGCACAACCTTATATATAAGGAGAGAGCAAGCAATATGTACCATCAATTCGAAGACCTACGGCGTTGTATCTTAGATCTGGGCAAGATCGGTCAATTTGAAGCCCCTGCATCTTTGTTTCTAAAATCTTGGCGGGGAGAATTCGATTTGAAGACCTCATACCGTCGTATCTTTGATCCGGGCGAGAAAATCAATGTCAAGTGTTGTCTCAACCTCCCTTTGCTAGGGAGGGTGTTGGAAGGTTGCCGGATTTTTAAGAGAGACTTAATTTAAAATTTAAATTAAATAAAATTAATTATGAGCAACATGTATATCTGATTGGAAGACCTGTGTTGTTATATCTTAGATTCGGGTAGGAATGACCAATTTGAAGCCCCAGCGCCTTCGTATCTTTGATCCAGGCAAGAAGAACCAATGACAAGTGCCTCACAATCTCCCTTCACAAGGAGGGCACATTGGAAGGATGCCGAAATTTTTGAATGACAAAGAACCCCCACATAATTATGATTGTGATTAAATGATATACAAAAGCTCTCTTAAAACACAATTTTAAATCATGTATTTTACCAATCAAAACAAACTAGTACACGTTAAGTATCATCATGATTATCTGGAAGAGGGTGATAGTTTGACTGCCTTAACCTATTAAAAATGATTTTCACTAATAGAAAGGGTCCGAATTGTATTAAAGCACTCTTACTAGCTTCTAAAATTTGTGGGGAGAGCAGTGCTTATACAGAAGAAGGTGTATCTTACACAAAGCGCTTACTAATTTGAATGGCAGGACGAGGCATTTGAAGTGCTTGAAAAAGCTGAGAAATTTATGCAAGTAAAAGATTAAAGAGTAATATATCACCTCAGCTTAGAAAGTGCTGAAGCAAAGGGACTTAGGTGTAGCACTCTGTTATGCCAAAAAATTGCTGAAATTGGAAGCCGAATCAAATGTGCCGAGTTAGATTCATGTTGCTCGAATATTATCTCTGTAGAAGTTCATTGATGCTAAGTGTTTCCAGGTAGTTGCCATTCTCGAAGAGTCGGCACCAGTTGAACCTTTATTATGATCAATGGATTCAACAAAAGGCACTAAAGCTTGAGTGCATTAAGCACTTCAGTAGGGAACCCTTGGGCATGCTTTATGAAGATTGTAAGGCTTTCTGGTTTGGCAAGTGTGATTCATTATCTGAAGTTTTGTTTTTGATTTACCGTCCTGTCAGAGGGGGAAAACCATAGGGGACAATAATTTTACACAAGGCCTCTCTAAGTTGAAGCGGCTACAAAACAGTTGTAGTTATGTAGTTTTGTGCCTGTTTGAATGAAAGAACCTTATGTCAGTAATTATTACCACTATTGACTACTCCCATAATTCTGTAATTGGTGGCTTCATCTCTCAAGCTATACAAAAAGTTAGGAAGTTTCCTTATGATTCCTCTCAAGAGTATTATGACCTAATCAACCTCCATGACTGGCATCATTCTTGCAAAACAAAAAGGAAGCTGATGGAAAAGGATAGACATTGCAATTTAACTGGTTAGATGTCAAAGAAGCATTTTATTTACGCTGTAATGATACCTTTCTTCGTGGATAAAAAAAGGGGGGTTGAAGCAGCTGTTGAGGACCTCAATAGAGAAATCTTAACAATTCAAACAGGAACTATCAATATGCTAAAATACGTTCCACATGTGCTACGATCTTTTTATAGAGTTTTTAAATGCTAGATCTGAGAATGCTTTGTGGATTCGTTAAAGGTGCTCAAACACCCATACAATAGCTCTTATACGCTAAAATATAAACCCTCATGTACTTCGATTGTCATATTTAATTCTTAAATCTAACGGTTTGAGAATGTTGTGTGGGTCAAATATTCCAAGTTTCATCCTCATCCTTGAAAACACTGGAGTCAACTTGCTTTGAATTTATAAACAAATACCTAATCATAAATCTATTGTAGCACTTTAAAGGCTCTCTAAATCAAATTCATTATAAAACACATTCGATTTTAGTGTTTGTATAATCATCAATTATTAAACCCGATCCTTAGTAGGTGAACAGAGTTGGAAAGGTTTAAATAACTAATTATCTAAAACCTCTATGATTACCATGTTGAATGTAAATCTCAATCGGAGAGGAATCTGCCTTTTAAGATACTCATGAACACCCTTGCAAAATACAATATGTTTAAAGTGACTTTAATGTCACTACGATGATGACTGTGTTGAATGTAAATCTCAACCGGAGTGGTCAATGCTCAAATCATATTAAAATTCCAAAATAAAAAATTAAATCATAGTCTAAATTCTTAAAATGAAATATGTCATCTAAAAACTTAAAAATAAAACCCATCCACCTCCCACAACTGTTTGTCGGGGATTATAAATTTGAAATTAGCTTCAGCTCACAAAAAATGAATGTCGTGTTGGGTGTATCATTAAGTTTCAATCTCAAATAGTCTCTTGTCAGCAGGGATGTAGAACATGCCCTTTGATTGGATGATTTTGCTGCAAAATAGTGCAACTATATTATAATCACGGCAAATGCCCGTATGTTCCCTTATGATTTCAAGTCCTTAAGATGGATCAGAAGATGTACTCGACAAGCATAAAGCCCTTTTTTTCAGTTAAGGTGAACTTAAAAATATCTCCTTAGACTAGCAACATCTCAGGTCTACAAAGTATCATTGGATGAAATAACTCATGGCTGCCGACAAAATTCCTTCTGTTAGGTTGAATCGACTACCTAGTCTTATTTAGTAGACTAGGGACCATGATAGCCCAAGACGACGAAATCATGAGATGTTAATCGGGCTCATCTCCATTCCCCCCATCACCCATTTTAAGTATGTGATGATAAATTTCAAAACTTGAAAGTCCCCAAAACTCCAAAATTCAATTCCTAAAATTGTTGCTACTATATGCTAGGTACTCATTGCCTATCTCATAACTAGCCTTAATTGAAAGTTATCTCTCATTATCGGGAGGAGTTATTAACTATAGAGATTTGCGCCTATAGAAAACTAGAACTCTTATCATAAAGTCCTCGCAAAACGAGAGCGAAATCTCTTGGTAGTATCTTATTTGAAAACCCAATCTGCCTTTTGAATATTTACCTGGAACTTGAATCCATTAAAACTCTCTTCGTCAAACAAAAAAAGACGGCTCGCAGAAGCTGGGCTGCGAATTTTCGGAGCCCACATCAATAATTGTTCACCATGAGAATTCAAGTCAAACAAGAGGTGATTAAAGCATCATCGACGCTAAAAGCCAAAATAACATAATTTTTGCAAGTATGGTGTGGATATTTGGGGTGGACACCATACCTCATCCAAGCCCTTATCTTTGAGAATTTATTGCATCAGGTTAACGCTTGCAGCGTTGCATATGTATAGATTGGACTAGACGCTTATATGTACTCACGCTCACATAAATATGCAACTATGTATTTTTGGTTGCGTATGCACACAGTTGTGTTTTCCCGCATATACGCTATCTAGATGCAGTAATATCTCCTTATCCTTTGGGTTGGATTTAGAAGGGGTTCAAAATGTGGATTGATCGCCAATGTCAACCTATAGTTGTAACCATTAAGGACTCCATTGATGAATTGTTTTGTGATGGTTTCACTTTAACTGTTGAACATCTTGGTAGTTCGTACCTGCATGACAAGCAACCAGTATTCTGTAGCTGTTCGTACTAGTTTCAAATGGAATATTTTGCTTGTTGAAGTTACCAACAACAAATGCCATGAAGACAGGCCATGTGGTTAAACTTATAAATGTTGCACAAAGAGTTTCTACTTCTGCTTATAGCCATGTCATGAAAGAAGAAAGGAGCTTTCTGTTTAGTTCCTTCCCCATCTCTGAGTGATCCTTTCGGCCTAGTTGTGGACCATTTTGTTTAGAATTCTGAGTTGTTTTTCTATGTTATTAGTTCTCTGTATGTGTGCATTAACTTGTTCTTGGTTATTCTGATAAGAGAGAGATTTGAGGGTATTGCTCGATGGGTAAGAGAGAGTGGGAGAGGGACATTAGAGAGGTTCGGTTGATAATAGAAGAGTGAAAGTGATGGGGGAAGGATAGAGAGAGAATTAAGAGAGAGGTTAAGAGTAGTAATTCAAATATAAATTAAACCAATCATAGAAATAAAAATAAAAAGAAATTTAGAAAAAAAAAACCAATCATATCAATGTCAGTATTGAGAGAAATTATTCTGTGCTGAGGTCGGACGCAGAACGTCGTTCGGAAACCAACTAGAATGTGCCACGTGTGCGGTACCGAGTTGTGGTACCGAGCGAAGGGGCGACGTGGCGCATTCTAATTGATTTTCCGATGGTGTTCGGCGTCTGCACAGAATAATTAATTCAGTAGTAATGGCTTCTTTTAGGGTAATTCAGATAACTGAAATTGAAATGAAAATATATGAAACTGTGATATAATTTGCACATTTCATTGATAATTTGCTTTTGTAATTATTGCAGGTGCCGTACTTCCAAATCAGAGAGAATAATTGGACCCTAAATGCTGATATTAATTGTAAATGGAACGTAAGATTTGATCTGTGATTTTGAAGAAAAAGGAACCTCTCTCTTTCATTGCTTCTTAGAAAAGGTACAATTTATTTGAATCTGTCAGTTTTCTTTCTTGTAATCTATATTCATTCATCGAACCTGCAATGTCTCTTTAATTTGAAGCACAAACCATCTAATTATCTTTTCATCTATTCATAAATTTTCATTATAAGAATGCATCCATTAGGGATATAAAGGAGTCGAGTTGAGCTCGAGTCACCTATGAATTGAGCTTGAGCTTGATTTAATAAATCGAGTTTGAGCTCCAACTCAAACTTATTCTCCGACTTCGAGTTGGCTCATTAGAGAGCTAGTTCATAATGAATTAGAAATATATATTAGTAAGAAAACCGTATGACAGTTTTTATTTATTTATTAAAACAGTTTTTTAAAAGTCGTTCCATAATCAGACGAAGAAAGCGGCCAACTGCTTCGTAACGGCCAACGCCTTCTCCGTGTGCGGCTCAAAGATATGAAAATCGTGTTCGGCGTCGGGCGTATCAATAAGCTGAACCTCACCGCTCCACCCGCTCGACTTCAGCTTGTCGTAGTAAAGCTTTCCTCTGCTCCACAGCACATCCTTCTCCGCCACCACCACAAGCACCCGCTCGCACCCCAGTCCGGCCAAACCCGGCGCCGCATCCGCCACCGGGTTCATTCTCGGGTCATCCAGCCCGCTCGTTCCCGGGCAAAGAAACCGCCACATCCGTTCCATGTCGGCCCGAAACCCGATATCTCTATCCTCCGAACCCACCGGCTCTTCTCCCCAGAAATAGGCGTCCACCAAAGCCATCCCTTTGATCATCTTCACCCCCTCCGCCCCCGCCCGCACCGCCATCTGATGCGCGATGTTCGCCCCCGCGCTATCCCCCGCTATGTAAATCCGGCTAAAATCCCCGCGTTCGGAAAGCCACGGGTCGGCCCGAGAGATCACCCATTGTAAGCCGGCCCAGGAATCGTGGTAGGCGACGGGAAGAGGGTTTTCCGGGGCGAGGCGGTAGTTGATTGAGACGGCGAGGAGTTGGCCGAAGGAGGCGAGGTTGTTGAGGTGGGGGTGATATGTTGGGGAGAAGGCTGATTCGATTAAGAAGGCGCCGCCGTGGAAGTAGACGAGAATGGGGAGCTTTTGGAGTGATGCGGCGGTGGTGGTTGGGATATAGAGGCGAGCAGAGATTTCGCTGTTGATGATGATATCTTTGGAGGAGACATTGGTCGTGGGGTCGAAGGAGGCGGGAATGGTGCTGGTGCCGCACAGGCGTTCCACGCGGCCGCTTTTGTAAACGCGGATTATGGGCAGTAGTTGGAACGCGATCTCGTCGTCGCCGGGGACGGCGGCGGTGCTGGAGAAGGGAGGGGAATGCATGTGGAGGTGGAGGGGAATTAAGGTTGGGAAGAGTGGAGGGAATGGGAGTTCCGAGCTTGTTTAAATAAGAGAGGATTTACACGCATGCTGCAGGTGAAAATCAGTCAGGAGAGGAGGAAGGAGAAGACCACATAAGGGAAAAAAAACATCTTTTTTACTGCAAGAAAAAAATTATTGCTTGCGGAGTTCGAACGCTCTCCAGATTTCAATCACCTAAATTTATTTTTCTCCCTCTTATATATAAGGGCTCCTCTTAATTAGCTAACTAATTAGTTAATTAACCATTAATTAACTATTTAACAGTTAATTAAAATTAAACTAGTTAAGGTAAGTATATTTACATGGATAGAAAATACTTGAAACTAGTATATTTAAATGTCTTTGATTTAAAATTATCTATTTCTTAAAGTATCAATTCATTAAATGTCTTTGAAACTAGTATATTTAAATGTCTTTGATTTAAAATTATCTATTTCTTAAAGTATCAATTCATTATGTTTCCAAGCATTGGTGTTTCTAGGCTTGTAAAGATATTGATGATGAAGAAATAAAAGAGGTTGTGATGAGATCTTGTTATTGAGAAGGGTATCAATGAGACTAATGACATATGAACATATAGAAAAAATAAAATTTATTTCACTTATAACCTTGTGATTTTGGAGAAATTATTCTGAGCGGTCACGAGACTGTTCGAAGGTGAATCAGATGTGCCACATCATCTTGTATACAGTGGTACACAGCTAAAAAGTGACATGACCTGTCCTGATTCGCCTTTGGTGACCACATAAAATAATTTCACATGATTTTAAGGCTTTCAAGTCATGATCATCATACAATCATTAGTCACCTATATTTTATGATATTTATTATTTTAAAATAAATTTAATATGTAATTAATCAATCAAAATTTATATTGTTTTTCTCTCAAAATAAATTCGGATCTTATCAAATTTAAATTCGAATATTTTCACTTTTTTTTGTTCATTAATCACTTGTTTTTATATAGAAAATACTCCATTTGTTGGTTTGTTAAATCATCAAATTATTTTATGATTACTATTATATTTTGCTGATGAAGCAATATAAATTTTTATTTATTTATTTTTCTTTTTAAATTTGACTTAGCAATTTTTAATGATAGAAGAAGGTACTTTAGCTTTGAGGTTTCTTTCAAATATTTGATTGGGCTTCTTGTAATAAGCACATTACTAAGACTTTTAAGCTTGAACTTGAAGCATGCATGATGAATGGACTAAAGATCAATTTAATGAATGCTTAAGCTATCATTAATGAATGGCGGACTAATTAAGGCTTTGGTTTGGACAACTTTTTTGTTATTTTTTAAATCAAATTTTTAGTTAAAAATTTTCTAGTTTAAAAATAATTATTCTAAAAAATAAACAGTAATAAGAAAGTCGTTCGAAATGAAACATAATGTTTCGTTTGAGACGGTTTTTTTACTGCTTCTTAAAACATCTTTCTGTACTAGAAAGTTGCTTTAAGCAGTCCGAAAGCTATCCCAAAAGAAACCTAAATCAGCCTTCTAACCATACTATAAACTATAAAATAATAAAGTTGGTGAAGGAATGGAGTGTTCAATTTGCCAATCGATTAGAGTGGTCATTACTTCATAGCTATGCGCTAATTAGGTTGTTGATTATAACGCTAATGATTAGTTTAATGTTAATTAATCTTTGTGTATAAAATAATGGATCATAATAGGTGGTCGGCTCATGAGTCGGCTTGACTCACTTACACCCCTTGATCATATTAATCATGTTGTGCTTGAGCTCAATCCTTATATTACATAAAATGATGCAAGCATGAGGTCATAGGGTATGAGATTTTACAATTTCACTTAGGAGTGAGTATAAGTGAGTCAAGTAGGTCAAGTTCCTGTTAATGATCTCAAGAGTAGAACTTATCATACCATGAGTTTGAGCTTTAAATTATACTTCAACTCATTTATTAAACAAGCTTGAACTCAGCCTAACTCAACTCAAAAACTTGTTGACCCACACAATTAACTTAAAATAAATTTAAATTAACATTATATAATATATTTTAATATTTTAAATTAATTTATATTAAAAATAAATTTTTAAAAATTAAAATTTTTTAAATCCTAAAAAAAATCAAGCTCAACAATCGAGTCAAGCTCAAGCTGAGCCCGAGCCTATAAATTTTTTAATAAGTCAAACTCAAGTTGAGCCCGAGCCTATAAATTTTTTAATGAGTTGAATTTCAATAAGAACTTAACAAACTTAACTCAATGAGACAAATATCCAAATTAACTCAACTTATTTACACCTAATTTCACTAGATAGGCTTGCACATAACAATCAAATTCTATTATAAATTTTAGTATTTATGATATTTGACAAACAAAAGGAAATTGCCAGTTCTATAAATAAGAAAAATTTGAGTGTTAAGATGAAATTATCCCATTATTTGTTTTTGATTGATGAAGCAGATGTAGAATAACTGACATTCAGGCAAAATGATCACAAGCATCTCTGATTGATGATTGGAAAAATGAGCTTCAGATTTGTTAGGAGAAAATAAGCAATAGAAGCAAGAGAAAGTTTTGCATGAAAGCCAAAAACTCTTGATACAGGAAAACAAAAAAAAAAAAGTCCTCTTTGGAGTACAGATGTTTGCCTATGGTGACAAGCTGATGATAAAACAATTGCCAGATATAATAATTAGGGTGGAGAAACTCCTTTGAAGTTTAGCCAATGCCTTGACACAAACATGTCTGATACTCCAATTGGTTTTGGGACAAAGAAATACATTATTGATGAAATATCAGTAGGAAGTTCCAACCTTTGACATCATTTTGCTTGAGGATGAGAGGCGATGAAGTCGACGGCGTCATTGATCGAGCTAATCTTGTCTGCTTCGTTGTCGGGAATCTCGAAGCCGAATTCTTCCTCAAGGGCCATAACGACCTCGACGGTGTCTAAGCTGTCCAGTCCAAGGTCAGTTTGAAAATTAGCCTTTGGAGTCACCTGCACAAAATATTCAGAATCTTTAGCTCAGTCTGATGCAAGGCTCCTCACAAAAGAGTTGGCATCAAGAATTTGGCAGTTTGTTGAACAAGAGGTGCTGAACAATTTATTGGCATGTTTAGGGGCTGTTTGGCTAAAGTAAGATTTAATTCAAGTAGGATATAGTAAATCCTGGAAATTCATGATTTAGTATATCTCGGGAGGAATAAAATCTGAAAATTATTCAGCATGACAACTATTAAATTTGTTAAATCTGGATAAACTATTTAGCTATTTGTTTCAAGATTTAAGTTCCCAATAGAGGAAAATCTTCAAATCCGTTAAATTCTATGATAGAATTTAATCAATAATAGGAATGTAATATGGGGATAGCTTAAAGATAGAAACTTTATGGATAATGGTGAAGAATTATAAATAAATTAATGAAATTTAGGTTTTCAATATTACTTGATCAAAGCTTTCGAGGTTCAACCATTTATTGATGTTCTTCAAAGTTCATAAAGCTAGGAATGGATAAATAAAGAGAGGTGATTATTAGGAAATAAGGAGATGTATGAAAATGGATGTAGAGTGATTATAACTAGAATTCATACCTTTATGTGGATGATTGGTTTACTCATCTTCTTATTTTGCACATTTTCTTTTGGTTTTCTTGCACTTTTTCCCTGTTTCTTCTACGAAATAATTCTGCATCCCTTGGTTTTTGAGTAAAGAGGGAAAGCAAATATAGAGAGGTTCAGAGAACAGCGCAAAACTGAGAGAGACCATAAGGAGAGCATTCAAGCAACCTTACCCTTGATTCAATATTCTTCAACAAATCACATACAAAATTAAAGAACCATTTATATAGATTAAATGCTCTTAATATATACCTAAAATGTGTAAAAGTAACAAAGAATGATATTATATATCTTTATTACATGACCATTAACATGAAACATAGTCAAAATATGCTTAAAACAAATGATTCTTCAACAAAGAATGATATGTATATTAAGCGTGGTGATGAAGATCAAATGCAACTTGAAAAATTGAGTACACCCAAAGGAAAAAAGAGAGAAGAACGCACAACTGAGAGAGAGGAAGAGGAGAGCATTCAAGCAACCAGACCCTTGATTCAATATTCTTCAACAAATCACATACAAAATTAAAGAACCATATATATAGATTAAATGCACTTACTATATACCTGTAAAACTAACAAAGAATGATATTATATATCCTTATTACATGACCATTAACATGAAACATATTGTCATTTTGTATGCATGGAAAGGTTTTAGCTATTTTAAGACGGAGATTGTGAAGGAACTTGAGGGGATTTGGAGGGTACATGGTTGGAGATATTGCAAAATCAATCTTATTTGAAGCCGAAATGGAAACCAGATATGAAGGAATGTCGTGAGACCCTAGTGGATTTAATTAGTGCTAGAATATGGAAAGGAATAGGTCAAATAAGAGAGAAAATTATCTTGATATGTGCAATTTTTCAAAAAATAACACGTAAGATCTTACCAACTAGAACCTTGGCTTGTGTAGGTGGTTTAGGTGATGGTGGGTGTAAGGCTGTCAAAAAAGTTTATTGTTTGTGTTCAACCATGTTCAACTTGACAAGTAGCTCCAACTCGGCCTATTTTTACAAGCTTGTTTACTTAAATGGGTCAAACACAAACATAACATTGTTCATGAGTGCATGCACATGCGCATGCGTGTGTGTGAGTTCATGCATTCTTATATGCATATATAGATGTATATAGATATATAGATTGTGTAAATTGATATTCATCCATGCATATTTGTATGGATAAATATATATTCCCATCATAGTTGCACCCTCCATAGCCCAAGCCTACTACAATGATCCAACATTATATCGAGCTACCGATGTACCCCAATCAAATTATGAGTAGATAAAAAAATATATAAAACAATTAAAGATCTCTGCATCATTTTTGTCCAATAAGAAAAAATTGAAATCATATGTGCAACCAAACTCCATGGCCAGATATAGGCCTCAAGGCACATCCATTGAATGAACATGAGGATCAAAAATTTAAAAATTAGTGGAATAGATTTATAAGGGATCAATAATTATAGTATAATACTATAATTAAGAAGGCAAGAATTATCAAAATAATTTAGAGTTTAATTGATGGACTTGTAGCCCTTGACAGAGTTGTGCATTTAAAAATTATGATGTAAAAACCACATGCCTGAATAAGTGCTAATATTATTGATATCCAAGGTACCAAGATTATAAGAAAAGAAAAGGCAAGCCAACCATCAGAGTTGGGACAACAAGAAAGGGAATGATCCCCTCCATTACAGACCAAACTTAATGCAATATGTTACCGAGAGATGAGTCAATAAATTGTGAAATGTTGAAGCACCTATTAGAGAAGGTAAGAAAGAACAAATAAAAAATAATTGAACACAAAAAAAAAGAACTCAAAATCATATCATTAGCATTCCTACACCACTAGTTACTTAGCCTACCAACTCATCAAAACTAGAATAAAAGATTACAAGCCGCCAACAATATGTAGTACCTACTGACCCAGAGTAACACTGCATCCCATGCAACAAGATTTAATCACAAATATACAACAACCACCGAAGCCCCAAACTCAAAACAAGTAGAACAATACATTAAAGTAGTAGGCCATATGATGGAGGTAACACCCAAAACGAAAGACATTAGCCCACACAAGCCCGCATAATCCAAAGAATAGTAATTAGTAACACTGACCATCAATAAGACTGAAAAAAGGCAATAAAATCATCTAAATTGTAAACTTAGCTCAACCCAAATTTAAAATCAATCCTTTTGCAAAGCCTCTAATCAGACCTAAGAATACACACGACATTATAACAACACCAATATAAGAAAAATGCACCGTTCCAGTGATTCATATGAAAACCCCAGGGAGCCAACCCCATACCAACAAATAGCATGCCCACTAAATCACATACAACAGTAAAGAGGAATACAGAAAATATAAGAACTTCAATCAAATGCTTCGCAAATTCAATTTGCCTTGCCTATAAGAACAATGCCACTAAATCTCCCTAATTGGGGAAGACTCTAAAAGGCTTTACTCTCTTTTAATATATACACGATCAAAGCTAAATAATCAACAGCTTTGTCAGCCTCTTAATGAATGAGGGAGAGAGAGAAAATTACCATCTTGTAGCATTCTTTTATTTAATTTTATAACTAATACTAAAAACATCTCATTTCTCAAGCATGCAATTCAAAGGAAATAGTGAAAATTGTCCATGATCCAGAGAGATAGAGAGAGGAGAAAATTCAAGCAATCAAATTCTTGATTCAATCTTCATCAACTGATCATATGCAATACTATTAAACCATGTATATAAGCTAAGTCTCTTCATGCATACTTAAAATATTTAAGATAACAAAAAAAAGGTAGTACTTCTGTATCACATAACCATAAACATTAAACATTTTTAAAGAACGCTTAAATTTATTTTGACATGCAGAAAACATGAACACATGTTGATGGTCTGATCAGAAAATAACTAATAATTGTGTTAGTCCAGCATTAGTTGACCCTTGAATTTTAATAGGGGATGATGTCCCTGATGAGAAAGCGAGATAGAATATGTAAGAATATCGAATTCAAATTAAATTTTCATGAAAGAAAATTATATAAATAACTTTATTCTTAGACTTTCATGCAATAAAAACAAGCCTTTATCCCACTACGTGGAGTCGGCTACTCCTGAAATTTCATTAAAACTAAAAAATCATACTTAAATTTAATTTAAACTAATTCCTGACATGGGGGCATTCTCTTAATTCAAGCATGAAAAAGAACACAATATCTAACAAACAAGCCATTTTTCAAATTTCATGCACCCTATCTTCATTTCATAATAACGTTAGTATTCCTCACAAGCCATTTTAAAATGTTGAGGGCGACATTTTTTCAAGGTAGGTAGATTGTCACAACTTGATAATTATGAAATTATTTTAAAATTAAAAATATGAAATTTCTGAACTGGAGCACTGTGGCGCTGGATATTTCGGTGCTCTGGCGCCCTAGTCTCAAAAAAATTTAAAAATAATTCAACATGGCGGCGTCAGGGTTTCGAATGTGACAACATCATGAACTGACATGCGGTACTATGATGTTTGAGCACCACAGCGCTAGGCCACAAATAGTACTTTTATATATATTAATTCCTAAACCTAAAGCATTAAGCCATTCCTCCCTCTCTCATTCATGTGGCTTGTAGTGGAGGAGAGAGGGAAGAGAGAGAAATTTGGGTTTTCGTCATTTTCATTCGTTGTTTCAGTTAGGAAAAATCTTTTGATCGTAGTTTTCAACCTAAACCTACTTTTATTTTCAATGATTTTATATCTACTGATTTAATTCCCAAAAATGATAAAAATACATTTTCTCCTTATTTACTGCACTTTCTATGTAACCTTTTGTATATGATAGATATGACTAATATGAACATTTTGACTTTAATATTATTGAATTTCACCAAGTAAAATGAAAAAAAAAAATGATTTTTTGAAGTGATTGTCTAGTATATAGATTTTCCTGTATTTTATAGATTTCAACATTTCATGTTGCATTTCATACATTAAGCCATTTGCGGCATGTATTGATAGCATATAATGATTAATGACCAACTCATACAATTTGGATTATAGATGTTGAAAATACCACATTAAAGATGGGTGACCAGATTCGTTGAACTATATGATATTGATAGCATATAATTGACTCATGCATTTCTTATTCATGTTCATACATATATAGTTTCATGATTATATATATCATAGACTGTTATACTAAGCATATGTTAGCACTACTTATTCATAGCATACTGATATGACTCTTGTATGTTCTTGATTCACCTCACTGATAGAATGATAAAAATTGAATTATTATAATATCGATGTGTTGTTACCTACAGTACTGATTTATTGATTACTGATGCATTTACATTCTCGCTTTGTT